GGGGTAGAGCAGACGCTGCAGCGAGTCGTGGCCCCCTTCATCGGAGAAGCATGGAGCCATGCTTCTCCGATTGAGTTGAAATGTACTCATAGGCGACGCTACCATCAGTTTCGCCCAACTCGTGAACTCACAGATTCATTCCGTCGCGTGTCGACGTGACGAGACACACGTCCGCTAGGGCATACATGGCGGTCAACTCCTCGAACGGTACCGAGCGATGCATATAGATGATCGGGGAGGGGACCGAGACTTTGAGGAGGGGACTGAGCGACCATGGGAAACATTGGATCTGTGAGAGGGCAGCTCCGACCCCTATTATTACAATGGGACCGAGATTTTGAGGAGGGGACCGAGGGGACTGAGCGACTGTGGGAACAAACTTTCACACGGTTCAACTATCAGTCAAAGTCTCCCTCCCACAGTGCCAGCACAAATTCTACCGGCGGGCAAGCGGTCGGAGACAGCCTCCCGCAGAATCACACTTTCCCACGGTCGGGCTATCAGGTTAGGTCTCCCACGCTGCCTGCCTGAACTTTTAAAAACAGAGAACATGTCATCCATGGCAAATTCTGTACACCTGTACAGTTCTCCCCAATGGGGATCCGAGCAAGTGCCTATCGCGAGACAGTCCCTTCTGGGCGAGCAGGTGCCGTGTTGATCGTGAAATACACTGAAACTACCCAAAACTCTCCGCATCTCTGCATAAGCTACCGTGAATTACTGAAGTGACAGCCATAAAAAACGTGATCCTAGGCGGGGTCACCTCCAGGCATGCCCAATCCGACGATCAAGACGAAGATCTATGTATCTCCAGTTGATAGAAGGGGGCCACGACTCGCTGAAGCGTCTGCTCTACCCCTTGCCGCAACAGGATGGCCACTAGACAAGTCTGCACGGTTCAGAAACCTCAGACGGAGCTACCCACAACTCCCTCGATTTTGAAGGTAGGGATGCCATGTTTTGACACCTGTGATATGAAAGAACGCTCTTCCCGATTCCGGTCTCAAAACGAATTTCTACTCAACAAGTCTTCGAACGTGACCGCACCACATTGTCTGCAGCTGCAGAAGGGAGAATCGGAGTTCTCCTAAACACAGTAGATTTGTTATGGTGATTAACTCGCGATGTGTCCTGTTGTTGTGCGGGCGTCGCATCACTCATCGTCGCAAATAGGATCTATGCCCGTCCTGAGAAACTTGGTCGGATCTCATCGCATTGCATCCGTCGACGTGGATACTCAAAAATATTCACGATTGCGGTCACATGCGTCCCTAGTGCGTGCAGACGGAGCGTCCTCTACCATTATGCACGCACTTATCATGCCCATTCCACGCATCCGGTTTCACGCTCCTCAGCACCAGCTCGTCGCTCTTCCCGTATGCATGGGCGGGGTGTGCTTCGTGCGGACGCCGAAACTCCATAGCGCACTTATACGCCCACATGGTTGCGTTCAAAGTTTTTAATACAAGGGTCTATCCCGTGGATACCGCCGCTGGGCCAAATTCGGTGCTCAGTGGCAGGGTTAGCCGGTGCCACGGGATTCGCCTCTATTAAAACTTTCGGGCGCCCACACACTCTTGAAGGAATCAAGCTGGAAGGCCGCTGCCTCGGGCATAGGCATGTAACAGGCAGGCTCTATCTGGACATGTGCCGTCCGTTCTATGGCGGGACGGTTCAAGGCAATTGTGTCGCTCAGAAACATGTCCACACGCCCACACTGTTGAGGCTACCGCTCCCCCTGCCAATCTCAGCGCAAATTAGTGACCTCAGCACCCTTGGCCTGATTATATCCCCCGAGAAAATTGTCTGACCCACCTCCCAATCACGCTTGCCATTCCCCAACGAGATAGAGGGCGTCGGGCTAAGCTGGCAGTGCGAAGATGACGACTAACAGATTAGCATGTTCCATCGAGATAGGGCGCCCAGAGTTCCCATAGGAGCGAGGGACATCATGCCCCAAGACTCGGTCACGAATCTGCTTCGAAGAGAACACTTTTCCAGCAACAACTAAAGAGCCCTCAACTACCATGCCATACGCCTGAAAACTCACCCGCGAGCAATATCCTCGCAGACTCTACCCGTTCCGGAGTTTGAAGCTCGCCACAGTGCGTTCGAGGGCATCGTCATTGTGCCCTGTATCGCTGCCTCAGGAAGATCGCAACTCTGATGGCGATCGACACAACCCTCCATGACCTGGTTCAAATTCCCACTAATTTACATCCAAGAATGGCAAGTTGGCGAGGTAGTTGCCCGATGTCAGCGGTAGCTTCAGTAGGGCTGGAGTGTCATGGGATACTACTCCGCCATCCGAACAAGGAACACGATTGACAGATCTCAGGTGCAGATATTTGGTGCTGAAAGCAAGACAAAGCTGCAGCAGTCTGCTCAGAAGACTAGGGCGGCGTCGTACTATTCTTGAGCCCCAAAATCAGCTCAAACGAAGCAGAAATGAGTGAGGTACGACCACCTTAGTCCTGCAGTGTCGCACGGGACAGCGACCTAGCAAGACAGGGTTGCAACAGTGTGATAGACGACCAGACCGGCGTTGTCCTATCAATGAACCCAAAAATCAGCTCAAACAAAGCAGAAATGAGTGACATATGACCACTTGAAGTCAGTGTTGCAGTGTCGCAGTGGACAGCGCCGCCAAGTGGTGATGTGAGCCCATCGAGCAAGCACCGTCGGAGGATGTCTGAGCCGGATTGCAATAAGCACCACAAATTGCTCCCAATCACACATTGCTTCCAATCCGTTGAAGACAAACTCGCGGTCGGAGGAAACTTCTGCTAGACTCGAATCTTCCCACGGTCAGTTCCTCCGGGCTGCCATGTGGATCCAGGTCACGAGTTTCCTATAGGTCGATCGGAGAAACTTCGGCGAAACCTAATCTTTCCCACGGCTGCGACTTCGACCACGTGGCAGCCATGCTTTCCCCACGGTGTCTCTTTTTCTCCCCTCCACCGTAGCTTGAACAGACTAAGGATCGGGAGCCCCTCACTGTAATTGCTGTGGTTCAATATGTTCTCACCACCGTGGGCAGAAAGGTGCTCCGGTCCAAGCCCTGCTCTGGATGTCGGTGCCAGAGAGACTCGCGATGGGCTCGCGCTGCTCTGTACATGCCCTGTTTAGCGCGGTTCCAATGTAAACAGTCATGGACTCCTTACCTGGTGTGAGAGGTTGCTGTTACAAGCGCATAATCCGGCAGCACCTCTTACCGCGTGCTACCTCAAGAGGCCAGAGTGACGATGTTGCATACATTTTGGTCTGGGGACACCTTGCCCTACGTTTGTCTACAAGTCAGACCTACTCCAGCTTGCTGTGTTCTGCTTTAGGAGTGGTAGCGGAGGAGTTGCCTACTGTGAAGCGGCGCTTCATGCTAGTCTTCGAACTCGTTCTACTCAAGCTTGAGCTGGACTTGCGGCGCCCGCCAAGAAGCGGACCCGAAGGCGGCCGGCCCGTGGAACGGTTCAACTCGTTAAGGAAGGACAGACCCCAGGATTGGGCGGTGAAGCTATATCGTCAGTACGCGATCAAGGTGGGAGCAGGCGGCAGTGTACGAACTTGGAAACATACTGATTGTCAGCGTTTAACAGCAGAGGTCACCCACAGAGAAAAGCTTGGTCCAATTCTGTTCACGAACTTGCGGTGACAGTGTCAGCGCAGTGTGTATCGCACTCGCTGTGGAATCGACATCCCCTGAAAATGTCAGCGACATAATGGCAATGGGTACTCACAAGGGTTGATGATCAGAGACCCCGCTAGACTTTGAGAAGCTCTGCAAACATCAGACATGTGCGCTTTGGGTCTCTCTTACCCGGCAAACTCGGAGAGGATCATGGAGCCATGCTTCTCCGATTGAGTTGAAATGTACTCATAGGCGACGCTACCATCAGTTTCGCCCAACTCGTGAACTCACAGATTCATTCCGTCGCGTGTCGACGTGACGAGACACACGTCCGCTAGGGCATACATGGCGGTCAACTCCTCGAACGGTACCGAGCGATGCATATAGATGATCGGGGACCATGTCGGCGTGCTAAACTGGCCATTTATTCTGCCCACCAGTTCGTTCACGCACGACCGAAGGTTCATGTATTCCTCGACGTCCTGCCGGGACGGGATCGCCAGTTGAATCAAAACTACCTGAGGCTCGGTCAGATCAAATTAGAAGGCTATAACGCACCTTTCCAATCCATTCCGGGTGCTGAGTTAGGAACACTTCCAAAGCGTGCAACTTTTGCGGAATTCCCTTGATGTAATCCAGGCGGTCGACACCAATGATCACTTTGCAGTCCTCGAACCGACGCTCGAGCTTCTGTAGCCTGCTTTGGACCGCCGGACTCTTGACGCCTTCGACGAATTGCCACGGGTCGATTCCGATGGGAAATGTTCCGACCTGGGCATATCTGCCCTCGAATTCGATTCCGTTGGGCTGAGTCTCAAGCCCGAGGATGCGCGTACACGAAGACAGGAAGTGGCGCGCGTAGTCATAAGTGTGGAAGCTACCGTAAGCCGCATTTCAGGAGATATACCCACCCGATCAAGTCACACTGCAGGACGCCCAGCAGGATTTCGCGGCGAACAGGGAGAATGCTGAACTGGTCAGCACAGAAGCACGTTGTTTGCTTACCGATAGATTTCGCTGGAAGGGAAAGGCGTGTGAAGGAAGAAGCCAATCCTGACACCTCCCTTTCCCCTTTGGCGAGCTTGTACTTCCTGTTGCTGGAACGCACTGAGGCCCCGGACCATGGCAGTGTGATGACTGCCACCTGTGGTGGTTACTTCTCCGCCCTCTTCCTCGACATCTTCCAGCATTTCAACACCCTCATCGAGGCCTTGGGCGACGCCGTGCTGCATGCCAAACTCTTCCACATCGTCGACCCCTGCCTTCACTCTTCCCATCTCTTTGCGAGTCATCTCTCCCTGCGCCGATTCACCCGAAATCATGGATCGCAGGAGCATGGGCAGAAGCATCAGATGATAGTCTTGAACCCAAACGACGTCTCCTGTTTGGACGAAGTTGGAGACCACATCTGCGAATCGGATGTTTGCTTCGCGATATGCTAGCCAGTACGATGCGTCAAAGTTCATTTCCCCGGGATGATAGTGGAATAGCGGCCACAGAATGGAGTTTGAGAAGCCTGATGTCAATTTCTGTATCTCGCGATGCTCGTACCGTTGTAGTGACGATCGGCTAGATCATCGGAAAGGTAAACTGGGTAGCACTGGTACTCCTCCAGCAACCGTCGGTTGACGTATTCTCGATCTTGCACTGGGATCTGCGAGTCAGCCCCGGCCATGTACACAGAACGTACGTCTTTTCCGGGCCACCCGATCCATGTGAATGACATTGTTTTCTTGCAGCCAGACAGCGCTGAGACTAGGCCTCCAGACGACATCTAGGAAACAGTCAGCGTGATTGTCTGCATGACGTACCTTGAACGTGTAGTCACCATTAGCCTCCTTTGTTATGGTGACCGGAAGGCGGTTAGAGACGATGATGAGACGTGGCTCCGGTGCACCATTTTCTGCTTTAGGAAGGGAGTCGTAGGTAAACATTTGCGGCGAGTGGTTGGAGCGGGGAGAGGAATGATGGTTGTTCTGATACGCTGGGTCACTCATGTTTGACACCCGATGACAGTCGAACCTGCGTGTTCAGCCAGACTTGGAGGTAGAGAGAATGCTTCGCGAGTTTAAAGATGGACGATGTTGTGATGATCAAGCGAAAGTGAAATTGATTGGGGCAGGTGTACCGAAAGATCTGGACTGCTGTTGTGACGTCAGGCCGCAGTGTGTGTCAATGTCCTGCAAGCCAGCAGAACGTCACACGTCCAGTTCCTTTCCTTCCTTCTTGGCTCTGATTCGCGGCTTGAAAGTTGAAATATTAACGAGAGACGAACACGAGGCTGGTAAGGAGCGACTGGGCACTGAGAAAGCCGGAATCGTGAGAAGAGTGCGCTTTAGGGGAAGTGAGAGCGACGTCCGATGACGCGAGGGCGCGATAGGTAATCCCCATCGCGCCGTCAGGCACGGGCTCGGCGCCATAATCTTCTTCCGTAACCTAAGGCCGCAGTTCAACAGTTGCATCACGATGCCGGTTCGGAGCCCTGAATGTCCAGTCGCTGCATAGAGACAAAGTTAACGTCTACGAATTCTAACGCCGTCTCATCACGTCCCCAAGCCCGGCCCAACATTTGTCTTCATGAGTCGATGGAGGACCTCTGCAGAATCCTGCCTTCTTAAATCGATGTCCGTAGTGGGGTTCCATGAACGACTGGAATGCTGCCGGGAGTGCGATGGACGTGGCGCCTCAGCAGGGCTGACAGTGAGGGGCGCACGCCCTCCTACAGCCTCCGGCGGTCCCGTCGTGGTCTGCACCATGGCATCTACACCAAGGCGCTCCGTTTGGGCTTCCCTGTCCCTGTACGTAGGAGTGCGCCTGCGGCTCGCCTTCGCATGAAGACCACGGCCCCTCTCGTCTTCATCGTCCCCGTCAGCACTGCTAGATGAAGGCGAGCGGCGCCTCGAGGGATGGTCTTGATATGCTGGCGCGGGCGTGGAGGTCCCTCGAGGAGTTCCTACTGTGGTCTCCAACCCACTCGTTTGCGCACGGCGCTCGACACCGATGCCCAATGCGGTTAACCGCTGAGCATATGTGTGGATGGACGCAACCTCATCCCAAGCGTTTGTATATGAGGCCATGGATTCAGCAAAGCTGAGAGCGGGGTGACACCTGTTGGAGGCACCCGACTCGGTATGCTCATTCCGGCCACCCTCAGATGCGCCGTGAAGTTGAGAACGGTTGTGTTCGGTGCTGTGTGCCTCTGAAGCGCTTTCTGAGGAGCTTTCGGGGCTGCGCAGGTCGCCAGACGGCAGCGCATCGCGCAGGGCGTCCTCCGCCGGGCGATCTTGGGGGAATCGTCGAGTCGCTGCGGGGCGGCTCTGAGCATCGCTCTCCCAAGGAAACACGTTCGATACCATTCGAGGGTCCGGCCGCGTCGCTGTGATGTCTCCATACCAGTCATTCGACAGGACGTTTTCAGGGAGCGTAGGGTAGTCGAGTGATGTCTCTACCATTCCCTCAAAGTAGACGGCAGAAGCGCTTGAGGGCTCATCCCACGCCGGGGCATAGATTGTTGTCATAGGAATAGCCATCTCCGGTCGGCTATTCTTCGGTGGGGGGTAATGAGCCGCATCCCAAGCTGATTTTTCGGCCGGACTCTCAAGGTTTTGTTGCTCGATATCCTTGCGAGTCCGCACAATCGTCTGAGGAGGATTGGTCGAGTCGGCATCCGTGTGGTTGACAGACGCAGCGGGTTTGCCGTGCAGAATGTCCCGGTCCCGGTCGCTATGGTCGGGTGAGCTTGCGGTGTCACCCTTGGGCATCAACAAGTCGACTCGACCTTCGAGGGGCATTGACATGTAGCGATCCTGCTTCATGGCGGCCACTCCGGAGAGGGTGGACGCCTTTAGGTCCTCTAGACTCATTCTCCCGTCCGGGGTGCCAGCGACCTGGGGTTGGTTCCACACAGAGATGTGCTGGGGCACTTCGAAACGCCGAGCGATATCTGGCTGGGAGGCTGTGGAGGGCCTTACAAACCTGTCGTACACATCATACCAGAGGTCCAGTAATCTGCTGTCTGAGAATTAACGCTTGCCCGCAAGCCGTGCAACTCACAGTCGAAGGGGTTGGTAGATTGACTCTTCGACCCGGCAGCGCGGGATGCGAGGCTCTGCCACGGTTTCTTCGTCCCGATAAAGTGCAGGATGCTGATTTTGTTCGCGTAGTATTTGTACGCCGGGGCGTACTGATAGGCTGCGCTGGGCGTTACGTTATAGCTGCAACTGTCAGCTGATGCAAGTCCGCACCGAGCGCGTACGTGAAGGGAAGTCTGTTCCATGTCTCCCCAGTACCGTCCTCCGAGAAGTACTGGTTCAATAAGCCTTGATCAGCACCGTCAAAGCTGCTGTCCTCGGTCCGCATTGCTTTCCACAAGCTCTCAAAGTCCGATTCCTGCGGTCGGATGACCATTACACCTGAGTTGAAACAGTCGGGCCATCCGATGTCCGGACACGCGGACAGGGTGTGGGGACTGGTCGAGTCGAAGAGGTGCGAAAGGGGTTTGATGGGTAATGTGTCGGCGTCGAGATAGATGATCGTGGAGAAAATGGAACCTAAGCGGAAAACGTGCAGTTTGGTGAGAGCAAGGTTCAGATCCGTGCGACCTATCCTGTCAGCGCTAAGCATTCGGGGTACGTACCCATCATCTCCAAGCCTCGATAACCCGCCCTACCAGAGGCAATCGGTTCCACGCCAATCACAAGGTCAAACCCAGCATTCTGAAGAACTCCGACAACCCGGGCGTCAACCGTCTCTGGACTGATGAGGCAAACGATCTTGAAGTCTCTTGGGGTCGGATGAAGCTCTTTCAGAGCGTGAAGCAACACAAGAGCCCCCGGTAGGTACGACGAGTCCGTAAGAAGAGTGACGAATGCTTGCGGAAGCATGATGGAGAGCTCGCGAACAGCCGGCTGGACCTGGCTGAAAGCTTGCTAGTACCTCCGCTGTTGCTGGCCCTACTGAAAGCTCTAGCACTGCCGCTAGCTGAACAGGAAGCTGGTTGATTAGACGTTTGAAAGAGGAGGGCAATTCGAGCAAGGAGGGCACGAGTATGGTATTCGACTCGACGGGGGCGAAGGAGCGAGGCGGCGAGCAGATCCGTTGGTAGTTGTGGATGAAGAGCGGCTCCCTCGCAACAGTTCGAAAGTCGGACGTAGGGTGGCCAAGTGCTTGCAGTGTATGGGGAGCGGCGGGGACCCAACAACCCCTGGAAAGGCTGGAGATGCGTTTGCGGAAGAAGTGAGCGCAGATCCCCATCAGTAGGACGTCCCATAAACAACCTCCTCGGCCCGTTGAGCTCCGGTCTCAGTTCCGTGGGGCTCCAATCCCTGCGAGGACGTCCGCCGATTAGGCTCGCCAACAGCGCGAGCCTACATGTGCATTCAGGCACCGAGAGCTGCATCATCGCTGACCATCTTGGCTCTACGGAGCCCGAGGGGTCGTGGTGCTCTCATCTGGTTCTCAACTTCCTGCACTCTGAGAGTTTAATGAAGGTTGACTCGTCAAAATCATGAGCGACCCAAACGATTCCAACGTCCGTCTTTTGGCATCGGAGTACGAACTTGACGAAGGCGAGACACCTCCAAGCAACTCCGCCGTTCACCACTCTCCATATCGCCTTCCGCCAGGGGAACAGCTTCGAGGCGTGGCGAATCGCATTATTTTCAGCCGGTACTACATTCTTTTCTACTTTGTCATGATGAGTCTGAGTCTCGCTACTGTGGTATTGAGTCTTGTTGCCACAAGTACGTATTGACGCGAGGGGGAAACTGATGACAGGTAACCGGCAATGCCCACCTTGGTCGTGGAGTGTCCTTGAAGTGATCATCAATCTGATGATGGTGGCCGAGGTCTCGCTGAGATGGACAGCCTACGGAAAGGTAATACCTATTCGAATGACAGCTCTGATGACTAGAAATATCCGATGACCTTGCTCAACATCATTGATTTGATACTGGTGCTGTTTTGTGCGATAACGCTCATTGTGGTCTTCGTAAGCCCATGCGGGGATGGGGCGCGGCGTAGGTGACTCTGGAGGCTTCGATCGGCTGACGACTTGCAGAGGAGGAGGTTCTTGACACAATTCTTCTGGTGATTCGTAACGGTGTGCAGTTCTTGCGCCTGGGAAACATTCTACGACGGTTTGTCACTGAACTCTGATGTCGCTGATGGAAAGGTCCGGCCACTCGCTGTTCAATCCACCGAAATCAATGGACTTGTCTCAGGCACGCGCGGCTTCTCTCGCCTTGGACTTTGATGTGGACGCTGAGGACGATGAAGCCGCTGCAGAGCGGACACTGGCAAGTGCGACTTCGGGATTGACACAGACGCGATACGAACCGGCCTATTCTGATGGTCCTTCTGGAGTACGCTCGGAGCGGTCCCCCCAAGGTGTAAACCACCTCACAGAAGAGGACGAAGAGCTCTGGGACCGATTGTGATTATGTTCGTCATGCATTCAGTCACTATAGCTTGTAGAGGAGGCGGGGTCGATGGAGCAACCCTGCGTGCACGAGTGCGGAGACCCCAGGTGGAGGCAACCATGTGGAGGTTCAACTTTTGCCGCCAATCCAGTCTGCACATCTGACATCATACACAACTCGCGGCCGTATTGAGACAACAATCGACTCTCGCTGCTCTAAGGATCAAAGCCCCAGATGATTCGATAATCATGTCCGCTTCGGTTATGCTCTCCGCCAAACGGGCTATCCCAACGAAGACGAACGAGTCCAGGGCTTTTGAACGGGATGCTCTTCTTCACTTGCCATCGAGGTCTGGGCCTCGTCACTTCATGGGGCGACGAGGAGTGAGCGAGCTTCTATTTCAAGAAAGCAAGTGGACATGGGTCTGGCCGTCTCGGGGAGAAAGTGTGTAGTCATCGGTCTCTTCTCCTGACCAACAGGGGCAGAATCACTACGACTGCGGGCAAGGCAACCTGTTTTCCCACCCATGCAGACGATACCATTTGATATCTCCGAGTTCCCGGTGCATGTTGCGCTGGCATCAGCGGTGAGCTCTATCTTAGTTTCACGCTGATGGTCAGACACAGTTTGTTTCCGACATGCGAGATCCCGTGGAGACCAGCTCCGTTCTTCCTGTTATTCATGAGACGATCGCCCAGATCCATGACGGCCCCCGGTCGCGGCCTGAGGATACCCATGGGAGCGTTCTTGTGAACTTGGACTTTGGATGCGAGGGTATTCCCCCTCTTTTGTGCTTTCCGATGGGCCAAGTAGGAGAGCAGCTTAGTGAGCCGAGGGAGTGAAGCGCCATTGACAAGAAGATATATCACCGGTCGTCGAAGCGCCAATGACGAGCTTCTGTCCCTCGGTATCTTTAGATGCCGTTGCAGAGCCTACAGAGACCTTTAGCACTCCGATTTTGCAGATGGCGGCTTCTCCCACAGTTCAAAAGTCCTGTCGTGAGCTCTAGCAACAGGTGAAGAGCTGACGATATCCGCAGAGCCTTCCGTCTACCTGGGGATCCGCTTGGCAGGCTCGACCAAGATTCTAAACCTGGCTGCTGATGTCTCCCAGGTCTCTACTCGCAGACTACCTGTGTCGATTGCGAGCGTGGAGGAAATCACTACGCGTGATACAAATGGCCGCAGCCATGCAGACATCGCTCTTGATCCCTTCATCGCTGGTCGTGCTGCCATCGTGGATTCTAACGGAGGCCTATGGATCTGGAACGGTGTCGGGGGCTGTTCAGAGCTGTGAGTAGACTAGGATGTGATCTTCTAATCTCGAGTTTCGCTGTCCGGCAACCGACGAACGAGGGCGACTTTTATCGGGTGTCCTTCGGCGCACGTCAGGACACGGTCCTAGTGTTGTCCCGTAGCAAGCTGACGGCTATCGACCTCAGCGTAAGTTAGTATCCCTCGCCCTTGAACCTAACACCCAGACCATTCCCGAGCCGCGTTGCGATGTCCTTTTTCATTTGGAGGACGGGTCAGAGTTTACAGCGATAGACAAGGATGCGGCTGCTCGGCACGCAGCTTTCACCTGTCTCTGCACCACTCGGCAACTGATCTGGATCGATGAGCTCCGTCCAGACGCCCGACTTTTACGATGGGACCATGACTTTGGTGGTGGAAGCGCTACTGACATTGCTCTTTCTGTCATCGGGGGGGCTCCCTCCGCGGTGGGCGCGGCAGGAGGGGAGCTGGTGGTATTGAGTTCTACTTCTGTGGACTACGTACTAGGGCTGCGAGCCTCCAACAATCCTGTTCCAGGCGTCGAGTCACTGCCGTGGTGCATACCTATACGAAGTCGTGAACCGCCCCTGCGGGCACTCGTTCCGATTCGACTTCTTGCAGGCGGTTCCATCCGTTTCGCCCCTGCTTTCGCAGCGCAATACCAGGATGGCTCTGTTGTCTTTATTGAGGTGGATCCTGCGTGCACCGGGTCTCCGACGACAGAAGAGTCGGATGCATGTCTGCAATGGAGCCCAGACCTATTGCGGCTGGAAGGAGACTACCAGAGGCCCAACAAACTTGTGAACGACGTGGCAGCGACGACGTACATCTCGTTACATGGTCGATGGGCTTGGCAAGGTGCACTTGCGTTGGTGACGAGCTAACCACAGAACTACACCGACCCACGAAAACGTTGGACCTGCCTGCCCGAAAAATCGAAGACTACCTTGCCGAGCCGAGGCCTCCTACAAGCTACCTTCGCACAGCGTGCGTGATATCGGAGGCGAATCTTCTAACAATTAGAGCAGACCTCGCATGCGAATTGCGACACTGCAAGACACCCGCTGCGTGGAGTTTAACCCGTTCGGCATCCGTCGATCACTCGGACATGATTGAAACTCTGAAACGGACATCTCCGCTCGCCAGTCGGACAGGAGTCGATATCACCCAGCAGATCCAAGGGGATGTGCCAATCAAGGTGAAGAACGACCTGACAATGTCCTCGGTGGCTTGTCATGGTGCAGTCGAGCCGAGTATGGACACTGCTCGGTTGGTGCGCGAGGGTGTGGTTGCTGTTCCTCCTGGCGAGATAGACGAGGGTTCATTCTCAGCACCCAGCCACATACTCGATAGCAGCAAACTAGCGACAGTTGCGCGTCTCTTGGGCTCCTGGGATATCGGTGGGGATCCTGGTTCATGGCGGGAAGTGCATGCGTTAGGAGATTCACATCCCGATCAGCATCCCGGAAGGCAGCCAATCCGCAAACGTCCATTGATGCGTCTCCCGTCACACCCGATGTCTGAGCCACCGCCGTCGGTTGAACCATCCGCTACAGCGATCCCAGTGGTTTTGCCTTCAATCCCTGAGCTTCGCCCGAATGCCTCGCTACCTGTCCGGCTCACCGATGGGGAAGCTCATCCATCTGTGGTTGGAGCTCAAACACAGACCGAATCAGGTGCTCACGCGCCCCGATTGCAGATCAAGAGAAAGCCCATCACCCAGAAGCGTCGGCCAGGAGGATTCTGATTCATCTCTCCGAATACAATCGCCTATGACAAGGACTGTACCAATTCTTGTAAAATATATCTTCTTTGTGACAATGCAGAGTCGCTGTGATCCCCCGGGACGTCATCCTTGATATCGCTCATGCGACCGAGCATGTCTGTACCGTCAGTAACCGCGGCATGGAGAGACCTACCCCTGAGAGTCTGGGTAATTTGGACAAGGCCATCGCCCCTTCGTGCGAGTAGTTTTTCGATGTGCGCCTTGGCCTGAGCACATGTCAGTGTCACCAAATGGGTAAAGCGCTCACCCCGTCGTCCTCTACGCAGACCCACGCAAGAACATAGTCGCAAAGTTGCAGAGCGGACAGGCCAGCGTCAAGTCGGCGCAAGTACCTCTCCTCCTCGTATACGCCTTCCACGTCTTCTCCTACGATCTGAGCTGTCAGTCATCACCAGCACGTGATAACCACCTGTAACTCTTCCTTCATGTCGTCTTCCGTTGCCTGTAGACGCTTCGTGGCCGTCTCTCGGAGCTCCAACAGTCTATCCAGCTTCTCGTAATCTGACTCGATAAACTTGGCAATCAATCGGAGTCGAGGAGCGGAGTCTGACGGCAGATTGCTGAATAGGCTTGCTACAATGCCGAGTATATGCTCGTCGTCCTCGAAGCTCAGGGGAGGGAGCGCTTTTCTCTTCCTATCGCCCTAGGAGTGAGCGTGATCTTCCAGAGAACTCACTTTGCCCATGAAGGCTGAGAACAGCGTCTTCAGGCCGAGCATATCGACGAAGCGCTCGGCTGCGGCAGATCCGGCCTCATTCTGCATAACGTAGTCCAGCACCTTGATAGCGCAGTTTCGAGCGTGTTTCTTCTCCCTGAATTGTTAGTACTCAAAGGCCATCGTCATACCTGATCATGATTATCATGAGCTCCATGCCCTCGGCCACCACGAAGGCAGACTTGAACTCGTTGACTCGTACGATTGAGCAGAGACAATCAAAAGCGTTCTCCATAAACTCTGATTCCTCCCCGTCCTCAGGATCCCTCTTACGATACTCCTGGTCGGTCAGTAACGGCGACAAAACCGGTAACATACGGAAAGGACCAAGAGCAAAGCATCGATGCCCTCCGCTGCCGCCACTTTGCTGACGTTTGAATGGCTGCTTTGGAGGAGAATAGACAGGACCTCTGCGGCGTATTGTTTGTTGCTGTCAAAGTCTTCCTCACGAATACGCCTCAGTAGCCAGTCGAGGAACGACGTGGACTCTCCGATCTGCTCGGCCAAAGGCGGCATGAACGACAATAGATTCTCAAAGATGCCGAGAGTTTGAAATACACCTTGACGATCTGCGTCCTCTTTTTCGTCCAGCCGACCGAGATTGGATACCAAGAGCTCAAAAATGGAGTTGACAAGCTTCGGTCAGCGGCTAGTCATCATCGTCACGTACCAAGTCGTCAATGAGTTGCGCTACTGCCAAGCGTGAAGCGGACGATGAGTTGTCACCACCGTCGCCTAACCCTTCCGAATCAATGTCGTCGTCTGTAAGCTCTTGCAAAACCTCTATGACATCCAAAGCAATGTCGGTGTTGTCGTGGGCCAGAAGGCTGCAAAGTCGAGCGACGGTTCCCTGAGCGACAATCTCGGGGTAGTAAAGTGCTGGGTTCTGGGTGAGTGGAAGGAACTCCTTGATTACAGCATCAAGACTCGACTCAGATTCAATGAACCTGCTAGATCAGCTCCATTGGACTTTCCGACGGACCCACATTGTTGGGTCGTCGGGATACTTCCCCCGCTGTTCAGCATTCTTGGTGACCGCTCTTTCAAAGCGGCCGATCAGACGACGTAGTGCTGGGATGGTCATTGGCCCAGCCTGAGGTCAGAGACTGACTGCCTACTGAGTGACACGTACCTCAGCATCGTTCTCGCCGGCGCGATCGAATATGTCCAGGATTTGCTTTCACCGTCAGCCCGAGCTTAAAAGTGGGACACAAACGTTTTGCTCTTCGTTTAGGCCGCCTCCGAAAAAACGTCCCTCCTCATCTTCTTCGTCATCGAAGGATTCGTGGACAAGTCCTTGGAATGGTCAGCTTTGCCTGAGCCAGCCTACGTACCATCATCGGCAGCGGTAGGGTTTACCATGCGGTCGCCGCTCTCGTTTGCAGAGCTGTCTTGTCGAAAACGCTTGAGCACTTCCTCCGATGGGAGGTCGGGCAGTTTCCTTTTGACTCCCTGCCCAGTTCCCCCAGGGGGGAGCTTGAACATTTTGTCGATGTCCATGGCTCTCGTATTGTATGAAGTCAAAACAAGGTGACATGGGTTGTCAATAGGACGGGGTCAAAGATCAGAAAATGCGGGGCCCAATCGCACGCCGGTGCGTCATCAGCGCACCTTGCAACTTGTCGCTCCTGAGTTTCAACACTCCCTCACTATGACTGCCCCTATATCTTCCACCGGCGAATTAGCCAAAGCCATCGCTTTTCAACCGGGGCCCGTAACTGCAGACGTGCGACGAGCTGCTCAGGGGCTGGAGGCCGCCATTCTGCAGACACAGGTGAGCCGGTCCGCAAGGCAATGTCGCTAACTAACAGAACGACCTTCAGGCCTTGGTGTTACCTCATGCTGCAGACATTGAAAGGCAGGTTGGGCAATCCGGGAACCTTTTGGAAAGAGCCACTGTTACTCAACGTGATCTGGATGAAGTGGAGAATGAATTTGATGCCAATCAGCCAAAGGTACGTCGAGCTCGCACTGCCGGTGTCTGACTTTAGAACGTTTCCGAGGTTTTCCACTTTTTGAACGTGATCAGCGCACGGCAGACATCACAGGAGGGTAGTTATCTTGCTGAGATTACACTCAAATCCCTCCGATCTCTGAAGGTCAGCTACGACAGGTTGAAGGCTGTGGAGGATGCTGTTTGGTCTGGTCAAAGTGTTGACACGACAATACGACAAGACCTCAAGGGCATTAGCGAAATCGACTCTCAGCGTGTGAGCGGTGAAGCTACACGATATATTCATGTGCGTTCTCAACGGTCTGATGCACGCTGATTGCTGCAGGATCGCGGTCAGTTGCTGGACTCCCTAGTCAAAGAGCAACTGTCTACGGCGTGGTCGGCAGCGTTCGAGATTGAACAACGTGAGGAAGGCCCACTCATTAGAGTCGCGGATACAATCACTCTCGCACCACCGAACGGTATGTTGCTCACGTAATGGCTGACTGACTGTAGCGACGAGGGTGACAATGACCTTGGGCAACCACTCTGCGCTTACCCAGTCGTCCACCATCGCCGAGCTTTGCGAAGCATTGCAAGGTTTGGGCATTTTGGGCCAGTGCCTCGCGCAACTCCAGACTCGGATATTACGCGAGCTTGTCACGCCGCTAGTGAGCTCTCGTTCGCTGGTGTCTGAAGGCTATGGCTCAGAGCTTCGAGAGCTTCGATTCAAGCAGAAGGGTGACGCGAGTCTAATCGAAGTTGTGTCTTCCATTCGCGACCTTGTGAGATTTGTGACACACGCACTGCCCTCTCCGCTCGAAGCTGTGAGCTCGTTTCTGTCGATGTTCAGCGAAGCTCTCTACCATCGGGTATTACAAGAGGTCGTCATTCCCTCCATACCACGTGAGCTGAACAAACTTCCGCCATGGCTCAGTGATGTCAGGCAATGTGCCTCCTGGGAGCGTGGAGAGTCTGAAGACTCCCACAAACAGGTCCTGCAAAGATTTTTGGATGACCAAGCGGGCACCCGGTGGCTGGAGAGCCACCGCGCGGAAGGCTTGCTCGAAACGCGCAGCCTGGTTTTTGATGGATGGAAGGACTGGGACTTCCGCCTGGAGGAAACAAAGCGCCCTACCTCTTCCCGCCCGGAGGAAAATGCTATCGAGAGGGACGACGGGTGGGGTTTCGATGACGAACCCTCCATTTTGCCTGCAAACGAGGACGGCTGGGACTTTGATGACCTGGCACCGATTCCAACAGATTCGATCCCAGCGCCGTCGGTCAAGCCGGCTCGGGAGGCGAAGCGCTTGGGAAAGAAGTTGTCTTCCAAACACGCTTCTGCCAGTCAAGAAGCGCTGCTCAATTCCCGGGAGTTGCAACGAGCGCCCACGCCCAGTGCTCCACCCGTTCACCCCGAGGAGGCCGTTGCTGCACCCAAGTCCTCAGTTAGGGTGTCCGTGGCAACAAGTGCCGCACTGTCTTTGCTCGGCGCCCGACTTCGGGAGTTGCAGGATATTGAGAGTTTGAGGTAAGAACAGTGCTTTTAAGCTGCTGATTTGTACAGATTACCACTTGATTTGCAGGCCACGCTTCGCATAGGTTTACAGTCTCAGCTCACAGACCTATTAGACTTTTTGCGGGCCACCTTGCCGGTGGCACACCGGTGCACCCTCCGCGCCACTCCGACCATGTCAGTGCAGCTCGGAAACGATTTCCGTTACTTGGCATCACAAATGCTGCAATGCGAGCCCGATGTAGCCTGGCCGGCGCGCGAAGAGGCAGCCGCGGGTTACGTCGCTGCCGCTAGCATAGCATACAAAACATACCAAGTCCAGGAACAGCTCAAGCTTCAATCCATCTTTGCGGAAACCAATCACTTTGCGGATCTCAGTGAGGACCAGGAGTATCAACGGGCCGAGTCGGCTGTTGCGGAGCTCTTGCAGTTCGTCAACGATGCTGCGAACCAATTGGAGGTAAGATACCCCACAGCCTATGTACTGATGGGCAGCCACTCGTTGATGATCATCTCTACCATGAACTGGTTGGCGCTCTTGTGGAAACGGTTTCAGTCCTGGCCGTCGACTCTGTCCTCGCCATGGAAGACATTACCGAGGTCGAATCTCAGCGAATTGAGTCGCTCATGAAGGGTCTGGAATCCATGCAGAGGTTGTTCCGCAATGATAACCTGCAGCTGTCCAGTGTGGCCACATTTGCGCCTCACTGGCTAAAGATGTGTTACACGACCGAACTGCTTGTGAGTGATAGGCACATATGACGCTGATGGCAGCGGGCCAATTTGGCCGAGATATCACAATTGTATGAGAATGGGTCCCTGGTGGATTTCACGGGTGCAGAGCTATCGAAGCTCGTCCGCGCGTTGTTCGCGGACAGCCAGAAGCGCGCTACGCTTCTGGAAAAGATTCATCGATGACATCTATAGCTCTGAAACCTTGGCGTACGCCGCGGGGTTGAATCTTTGATGGATTGCTTTGATAACGTACAGCGGGAAGCTGGAGATGGCCACAATGATCGCTACCTTGTATGCGAAAGCTGCGGAGAGCACAAAACGCAAGTCTGTGGTAAGCTTGACTCTGCACGACCTCTTACCGAAGTACTCGGGCAGGACAGCCATCGAGCCAAAGTATACGACAGCCGTCCCAAGCTCGCTGAGGACCATGTATGTATGCCACGTTGTGATCTCCAGCGCCACCATGATCAACTCGTTGATGACGAGGGCCGTGAAGGAGATTGCAACGATGTGCAAAAATTCTGATTCGAAAAGAAAGAGAGACAAGAGCATGATAATTCCACCTAGGACGTCAGAGTAAGCACTGTGTGGGCGCCTGACCTTGGTAGACACTGATCGTGAGCCAAGTGAAGAACGTTTTGTAGCTCAAGGACCGCCCCTGCAGCGTCAGCTACGATCATGGGCAGACACACCTTGGTGAGTTCCTTGTAGAGTTCCGGGTAGAGGAGTGCCAGATCCTCGGTGACATCACGATCGAGAACAAGTGAGAAGACTGGCGCCATGGTATACAGCGTTGCATAGCCGACCTGCAGCCAGCCTTGATACAGGGCAATTGCTGGTGGTCAACAGAACTCGAAGCCTAGGCTACTCACGAGCAAAGTAAAAGATGGAACTGAAGACGGCCTGGATCACCGAGATGATAAGTCCGCGGTGAATCACAAACTGAGAAAGCTTCGCTGAGCGCTTATACGAATTGCGACCATGCCAGAGTAGCAAGATGGCCAAATAAGAAAATTGAGTAATCGAAAAGTCGGCGGCCAGCGACGCCTGCTTCCCTTCTTTGCCCACAATGCCGACGCCTGTCATCAGAATGCAAAGTAATGGTGCTGAACTCACCGACGTTCGCAGCTTGGATCATGCTGACATCATTGCCTCCGTCTCCAATGCAACAGACGGTCTTCTGACTGAAATCGCGGATAAGACGGGCCACATCAGCCTTCTGCGTAGGGGAACACCGGCATGCCACAACCGCCGGCAGTTGGGTTGCCAGGGCGACAAACTCGGTCCGGAACTCGTCGAGGCACATCTCTAGGTCAATAATAGTAGTCGGAAACCTCACCTGCAACGATCCGCCGTCGATCACCAAGCAGCAATCGGGCTTGGCATGGACAAAGTCCAGCATATCTCTGACCTGATCCGGAGTCTGTACTGCGATATTAGCACGTGCAAAAGGCATCTGCTTACGCTTTGAGACCTGATGAATGTACTGGTTTCGGGAAACCAGTTTGCTCGATACAGCAATGTTGGTAGCGGTTTCAATCTTGTCACCGGTCAACATCCAGATCTTCAGACCCGCATTCCGTAAAAGTTCGAGCGTTGACTTGACGTCCTCCTGAAGCTTGTCCTCCACTCCAGTCAGAGCGAGCAGCTCCAAGTCCACTTCCAGGTATTCGCTGATGGCTGCCTGCATGGCGTCGGTTCGTTCTTCACCCACTATCAGCTGAGCAGCTTTATAGCGGGACTCGAACGCGTTGAGCGCATCCTCACTAAGACGCTTACGCCCTACAACCAGCGTTCGCAAGCCCTCCCTAGCCATGTTCCCACACTCCTCGTCGAGCCAGTCATTCTTCTGAACGATCTGGGACATTACCACGTCCGCCCCTTTCTGGACGAAGGTGGTAGCCCCAGTATCGCGGTCCTTGATGATGATACCCATACGCTTGGACTCTGAGGTGAAGGGAAACAGAGCCAGAATGTCAAAGGACACAGTCTCACCGCTGCGAGAGCGCACAGTCATACTGTTCCGATCGCGGGAAACAAGCGTCAGACCGACAGACTCTGTCCATTCTACGATGGCAACTTCATCCGGAGAGGAAGCCTGGTACGTGACTGTTCCGTCGTCATTCGTTACTGGCGTGACGTTGTGACAAGTGGCCAGTGCCATGACGGCATCCTTGACTCGGACCGATATGTCGCGCCGTCCTCGAGGACCAGCTCCAGGACCGACCGACGACTGCTTGCGATTGAAGTCTTCACCAAATGCTTGCGACAACAAGTGGGCAACCTCGTCCATGGAGTCCCACGCGAACACTACTGTGCCCATGTGTAGCTTTTTCAGCTCCATCTCGTTTCGAGTCAGAGTACCTGTCTTGTCGGTCAACAAGTACTCGACCCGTCCTAGCTCCTCTGGTAGCGTGCTCGTACGGACAATGGTCCCCGGAATTTCTCGGTCGTTTTGGATCTGGTGCGAGTAAAAGGTTTTGCCCATGTCCAGGTTTACTCGCAGGCTGATGGGAATGATCGAGGAAAACAAGATCAAAAAGCGGAAGACGTAGATGTACCACTCGCCTCGGAAGCCATTGAGGGCAACGAGAAAGATTGACAGCGCAAAAGTCACAGCGCAGAGGATCTTGGCCATCTTGTTAACCTCCCACTCCAAGGTGCCCATCTTGGTTTCTGGTTCACTTGTATTCAAGACGGCTCGCGTGTCACGACCCGTGTACACCACAAGACCTACGGCAGACCCCGCCGCCAGTACGGTGTCCGCCCAGAGCACGTTCTCCACCGATAATGGAATCTTGGTTTCGGTTTGACTACCGGGGCCAGTAGAGCGAAGTGTAAGACTGCCTTGAAATGTGTGGATATCCTTGATCGGCACATCGGCGTGAAGTACTCCTTCGATAGTCCCCACGTTGGCTTCCCCAAGAGCTTGGGTCTCAGCTACAGCCACTTTGAGCTTCCAGTCGGTTTCACCGTCGAGTTGGTCTGTTCTAATGAAGCATGTGCCTTCCTCTTCACTCGTGGTCAAGAGAACCATATCGGCAGGCACTCTTTGATTCTTCTCCAGAAGGACCAAGTCTCCGACTTTGATGGAAGACGAGGGGGTAGACCGCGTCTGAGCCTGAAGGGCTGGCGACATCGACATGACCTCGGCATGTGGCAATAGGACCAAGTACCGTGTTGAATTTGCTTCTCGGTCCCGAAGATAGCGACAATAGTCGTCATAAGCTTCCTTGCCCATCGTGACCGCCAGTACAAAGGCCAGAGGTGCGACATAAGTCACGATGTAGCCTGCAGCGTTAGTGAATGCACTGATTTGAGACTCACCAATCTTCAGGGCAGGGATGAATTGTGAGAGAGCTACCACGAGAAAGTAGAAGTTGAAGAAGAACTTGAACTGCTCGTAAAAGACAATCGGCAGGAAAGTGACGACATTGTACTTTTGATTGCGAACGATGTTGGGTGGAAAGTTGGAAGCGGCGCTCTCTTTGAACGTTAGGACGGCCATCCGAAGTATGCTTACTCGTGGAGGGGATGGGGATCTGTCTGCCCGTCGCGTTGACGGCCGCGTGCTGGCGTGAGATAGGCTTGCTCGTGGTGCACTTACCACTTCTCCCTCGTCACCATCGTCTGCGCTCAAGAGTGCTCGACTTTCTTCTTCTTCTTCTTCAGACTGGGGTCTTCCACGTGATGATCCCCGACGAGATCCGAGCAGAAACAAGGCGATCATCGTCCTCCAGTGACAAGCCAGGCATGAGATTCGAGGGTGTCAAAGTCGAGAGTGGGTACTCGTCCGCCGCAAACCGAGGTGAGGGCATGGAGCGATATAGAGACCGAGAAAGATGAGTCTTTCGCGGACTCTAGTTGCAAGAAAGGAGGCTATCTCAAGGTGCCATTGAAACGCTGTACACGTTGGGCTGATATGGGTGGTCGCAGGTTGCCGATGTCGGTCAGCCGGCCGGCCGGCACGTGACTCGCCACCCGCAGGCGGTACATGGTCAGACAATTGCATCAGTGTTTTGCCTCTCCCGCATCGTCTGCCTCTAGCATCACTCCAGTGGACGTCAGGTAGCAGTCCTGGGCAAGCTGCTCGAAATTCTTCGAATCACCCGGAATACCCATGGTGAGAGGCTCAGCTCGCGAAGACTAGGCTGGTATGTTCTTGATCGTGTTTCAGCAGGCTCAGAGCTCACTTTCACAGCAACATGAACGTCTCTGACCCGCGAGAGCTGACTCGTGTTGAGGACTTTTCCGGCTGGTCAAGCTCTGAACTATCTACTCCGTTGCAGAAGAGTCGCACCTTGAACGAATCGCAAAGTCCAGCTCGGAGCTCGTCGCTCACCAGTCTGAGCGACATTGACGGGTTGGAGCATGCGTTGGGGGATTTGAAAACCTGGGTCCAGGAGGATACCAAGCTTTCCGAGCTGGCAGAGTCCTTGCCAGCTGAGATTCTTGCACAGGTAAGAGTGTCTTGGGTGCGCGCTAACGTAGAGATTTTGCAGCATGTCTCTCCGAAGGACCTCGTCTCTGCCATGCTCGTCTCCAAGTCATGGTGCTTTGCTGCCTTTCACTTGTTGTGGCAGAAACCTGCCCTCTCGTCCATCACGCAGTTTGCCGATTTCGTCCGAGTCATTACGAGTCCATCTCCTCTTCTACCCTATGCTTTGACTGTTCGACGGCTGTCGTTCAATGGGTTCTCCAAGCATCTGTCCGACAGACTCTTCAGAGACATCGTGGCATGCAAGAATTTGGAGCGGGTTACCATGCCAGGAGCTACGAACCTGTCCTCGTCTGCTCTCTGTGAGGTGTTCGCCAACCTGGAGGAGCTGGTTGCTATCGATTTGAGCGGGGTAACAGCAGTAGATGACAGCGTCGTCTCGACCATCGCGGCAAAATGTCGACGCGTTCAAGGCTTGAACCTGTCCAGGTGCAATAAAGTCGGAGACGAGGGACTTTTGGCGATCGCTCGAAACTTGAGGATGCTTCGAAGGGTAAGGCTGTCCGTGTTCACTCGCTAATGATGCAGATCAAGTTGATGGGCTGCATCCGCCTGACGGATCGATCCATTGTTGCGCTGACGCGGTCTTGTCCTCTGTTACTGGAACTTGACCTCGCACATGTTCCCCAACTGTCAATGGATACGACAACATCAATCTTTTTCAACAGTGCCAATCTTCGAGAATTGCGCATGAATGACAACCAGAACTTGGCGCAGAATGCTGTACCGGATCTTGATCTAGCGGCTGCCGCCGACGAGGATGGTCTATATGACATTATCGGCGCCTACCCGTGGTACTTTCTCGACGTTCCCTCGCCGAAAGCAATGTGGAGGACGTCCTCACGTCCTAAAGGCGTGTCACTCGGCCAAATACGCCCCTTTTGCAAGTCTTTCGAGCAACTGCGGGTGGTCGACCTGACCAGTTGCCTTGGCCTAGGGGATGACTCTGTTGAGCATTTGGTGAACAATGCGCCGCAACTTCGAAACCTTACTCTCGCCAAGTGCTCAAACCTGACGGACGCATCGATTGACAGCATTACGAGGTTGGGAAAGCATTTGCACCACCTGCACTTGGGCCACGTCTCCAAGTAAGCTCTCGTTGAAGCTGAACTAACTGCTAGCATTACGAACGACGCCGTCGTGCGCCTCGCTCGAACTTGCACTCGCCTGCGCTATATTGATCTTGCCAGTTAGTGTGCACCATGAGGAGATCCTGACGGCAGATTGCTCTTTGCTCGGAGATGTCAGCGTGGTTGCGCTTGCCACGTACCTCCCCAAGCTCCGACGCATCGGATTAGTAAAGGTACGTTGTGCGCTTTGTTGTTCTGACGCTAGGTCACCAACGTTACAAATATCGCCATTCAGTCCCTCGCCCAACGGTCGGCCACGCTGGAGAGAGTGCACCTTTCCTACTGCGAGAAGATCACCGTTCCCGCCGTGGCGTACCTTTTGAACCGGCTGCCACACCTTACACACTTGAGTGTTACTGGTATAGCAGCTTTCCGCACTCCCGAGCTCCAGCAGTTCTGTCGCACGGCCCCCGAGGTTGGTTGAGGACGTCTCCAACGCTGACGATGGCAGGGTTTCAATCCGCGACAGCGGGCTTCGTTCTGCGTCTACTCAGGCCCCGGTGTCGTGGCGCTCCGTAATTATCTGAACTTTCAGGCGACACAGAGCTCCGAGACTGTGTCTGCGCGGCGGTCCTCGGCGTCATATCATCAAACCAGCCTACCAGAGGATGGCCCAGGGATCATTTCGAACTTGCCCCCTCATCTTGGACATACCTTCTCCAACGGCAACCACCCGGGCCTTGATAGTTCTTTCGAGCCTCAAGCATTTCAAGCTGCCCGGGGCTCTCCCCAATAGCTAGCTCCGCCTTAGCATCAGTATCTCCTTTGTAATTACCGAATATGTTGTCAGTAAAGCCCCTGTGATGTTAAAGCGGTGACATCCCGAACATATACCAGTCGTCTAAATACATAACATTCAGCTAACAGCTGCACACAACGAACCACCCTTAGTCCTTAACGCTGCAATGTTAACGCGGTCAGAATAGATCCACTCACGCTTTTACAATCGGCACGACGATAACAACAATGAGAACAGCGATACCGATGGCGATGATCACGCGCATCTTCATGTCCTTCCACCACATTTGCTTCCTGACGCGGTTGGCACCACGGCGGAATCCTTGAGCTGAGACCGCGAGGTTGTCTGAGAGATGAGTGGAAGATTGGAAATCGACAACTCACCAGTCTTGTCCTGGAGATTGTCGAGCCTTTCGCCTCGCTCAGCGACCTTGGTGATGTTCTGGTGCATGATGTCGACCGTGGAATCAATCTGGGCCTGGATGTCGGCAATCAAAAGAATCAGCGTCGTTCTTAACAGTTGCAAACCTTCTGACTCTGGGGGTTGCTGCCACCGGCCCCAGAGGGACCCGCAGAGGATCCCGAGGGGATGTAGGGGTCGTAAGGCTCAGATGACCTGAGTGTCAGCAAATCGTAGGCTTAGCAACGCACATGGTAGGGGTGGTGGCAAAGTGTCTGTCGCGTAGCAGGAGCTGGCAGTGTCGTTCAATGAAGAAGTGTTCGACAGAGTCGAGGGATGGCTACTGCTGTGAGGACAATTGACAAAGGAAAAGAAGAGTGTGCATGTCGAAGCTGTGCTGTTCAACACGCGTGCACACGGCGGCGTGCGCGGCGTGCGTTGACACCAGTAGGGCACGCTTGGGGCGTAAAGGCCCTGTGATAACGTGGTTCAAGTCACGTGGTTGGCGTTCCCTGACGTCGACAACCTTGTTGGTGGCAAAGCTTTCAAGATGACTACGCGACTACGAGCAATCTTATCCCCCGCACATTCGCGCACTCGCCTGGTCTGGAGCTGGATGAGGCCCATGGTACTCCCGTACTTCAGACGTGAAAAAGATGTGGCCATACGTGCTTCAGCGAACAGCGTTGTGCTGGTGAATCCCGTAATCACCACCAGCAGCTCGAAAAGGCCAGACCGAGCGCTGGACTGTAGCATCGACTCAGCTATACGCTTCGTTCAAGAGGTAACGCCCGCCGCTACTTATTGGGAGGTCCTTAAGGTTTCCATGTATCGACCAGCTGTTCAATCACTGAACGATGAGTGTGGGCTACAGTGATCACCTATTCGCGCAGAACCTCTCCATCCGGTGGTAAAGTAGCTGAAGCGCAATCGATCGACAGACAGGGGACCAGGCACCACCTGGTGCCCCACACTTGGCTCATCAGTCCAGTCATAGGCGTGTTTGCAGTTCGATGTCGACACTCAGAACTGTCTTCCACACAACATGCGCTTTAGGACAAGGGTGACGAACATTGGCCTACTTCACAGTGGGTGTCGCTTGTTCGCTTGTGTATCGCCAGTCTGACTCAAGAAATCATCCGATCACTCGTTGCGCTGGCCAAGGTTGGAGTAATCCGACTTAGTCCAGACGTCGTCCACTTCATCATCCCCGGAAATGAGGGCAGAGACGGTGTGCAAGTGTGGTCGTACGTTCTTTCATATCGGGAAAATTCTATATCAGGAGAAGCTAACAGAATCAGGCAGGTAAAGGTGGTGCGTACGTTTTTAGGACCTGCCTGATGGTTGCAGCCAGTTCTATTCGATTACTACCGCATAGAGTCCAATGCCAATAACGAGATCTGGCTAGAGATCAACTTGGAGTCTCTACTAAAGGTCTTAAGAAGTGCAGATGGCTCTGGTAAGTCGCGCCCCTTCTGTGTAAACTGAGACCTAGGCGACGGCTCTGGGTCAATCGACGATATCATGCTCAAGTTGAACAAGCGCGACAATAGGGCTATCTGGGCCTTTGACATCAAAGGACATGTGCGCGGACACAGTGAAATTGCTAACAGAGCAGAGCGCCAATGGTCATCCGGTTCACATCAACCACGAAGTCACAGTGACGATCCTATCCCCAAGGCGCCAGAACGAACTGAACGAGCCTCTTTGTCCGCCGCCAGATGTACGAGTGTCTTGACACGTTCTGCTGACATCAGGTTCACATTGTTCTTCCTGGCCTGGCCGATCTCAAGAGCATTGTCTCTCGGTTAGGACACCTCGACGACGACATAACGATATCAGCCAATCACGTGGGTAGTTGTCGCTTGCAGCAGCTTATGGCAAGGCCGGGACGTTGGAACTCAAGGTAAAGAGCAACAAGGTTGAGACCTCAACTACATGGGCGAATCTCAGAATCCCGCAATCCGACGCGATCGCCCCGCCGCAAGACGACGAGCAGCTCCACAGCACTAAGGTTTCAGTCCGTGGATTCCAAAAGTTCCTCACTAGCCATTATGTCGGCGGGACAGCTATCGCCTGTGAGTCGACGTTCTGAGTGATGTTGACAACCAGGCATCTGCGAGGGTCACTGCGTTATAGCCTATGTTTACATCGGTACGTGAGGCTCGTGCGCACGGTCGTTAACGCTGCAGGCGAGGTGAACGAGTCTGGCGGAGTCCTGACCTTTTTCATTCCTGCAAAGCTGGACTGACAGGGATATGTATGGTTTCGAATCGCTCTAATGTATAAAGTTGTATACGCTGTAGACTTGAGGCACGGAAGCCGATCGATCATTAGGTGACATCATGTATCCGAGGTACCTCCACATATCCACATTTTACTCCTCGCCGGACCCATCGGTCTCTCACCTCTTCTTCATCCAATCTCCACTTGCTGTGACCCGGCGCCATGAGGCCTTCAGATTACCCCAATCTTCTTCTCTGGGCATTGGATGAGGTGAGTTTGAGGAGCATAGCAGCCTAACCCACAGACTCATGTGACCGTTACGGCCGCGACGGGGCTCGCGCTCCTGGTGACCCAGAATGCACAGGTGGCATGGTTTAGTTTGGGTGCCCTAACGTCCACCCTGGTTGGTCAGTCGCGCCGAAGGGAGTGAGCTCTAACTTGCAGCCCGAGCAATCAAGCACATGATCAGACAGCCCCGACCCCCTGCTCCCCCTCCAGAGTTCGGGAATGCGCCGGTGCGTCCCAAACGCACGTATGGTATGCCGAGCACACATTCGACCGCGCTCGCATTCTATTTCTTCTATCTGTGGCCGCGGCTGCCCCTCTTCTCGAGTCACAAGTGGCTCGAAAGAACGGTTTTGACCGTTGTGACAGGTCTGACGCTTTGGAGTCGCGTGGAACTGGGCTACCATACCCCCCAGCAGGTCCTGGGAGGGGTGGTCGTTGGAGCCATCTTCGCGTTCATATGGTCGTGGCTCTGGAACAACACCGACGTCTCGTCCCTCGTTCAAAAAACCATCAACTGGGCCAAGGGACTCGTCGGCCTGTAACAGCGAATTTGACGTAGATGTACATGCGATATACAAACATTAAGCTTTTGGACTATGCGTCGTAATGCACGAACTCGCGCTGCTGCCCGTATCCTCCTCTGCGTCCCCGCCCACGTCCCCTATAACCAGAGTGACCTCCACGGTGTCCCCCGTAGCCACCGCCATGCTGATTGCCCCCAGCTTCGCCAAACGTGTCGAGGTTACGGTGCCTCTCATCGGCCCGACTGACACGAGACGAGTCGGAGCTAATGTTGTCGAAAAAGCTAGACTTGTTGTAGGAAGCAGCCTTGCGCTCCGGCTTCGGCGCCTCCTCTTGCTGAGCGACGACGCTCGGGTGTGGGGCACTTTCGGGTTCTCCAAGTTCGACAGTGTCCTCCGCCTCCCCTTCGTCTTTCTCCGTAGCGGCAGCCTTCATAGCCTGTCGCTCCTTTTGGAATCTTGCGTTCCCTTTAGAGAAGTCAAACTCCGCATCTGGGACGGCTGGTGGCGAGACGTGATGCTGGGGCTTCCTGCGGCGGTTGCCATCAACATTGAGGTTTGATAAGGACTTTTGCACGCGATGCATGGCCGCGTCGGCTGACGCAGCGCCGTGAGATTGCTGAGGGCGAGGGGGTAGGCCGTTGCCGCTTGTTCCGCCAGATGAACGCTGTTCCTGTGGACCGTTCCTGCTCTGTTAGGTCAGCTTTGTTCAGGCCGCAAGTGTTGATGTCAGAAGGAAGGCAACGGAGGAATCCACATGGGTTTATGCGCTCTCGGTGTGTGCCCGTAGGCTTTAACATCCGTGAAATGCTTCATCATATAGACGTGGTCAGAACAAAAGCTCACCACTGAAGCCAGAATCGGGTCCACAAGGCCGTCGTCGCTCTGCGGAGGAACATAGTTGTCGATCAGTGCCAAGGACTCGATAGAGTTGGTGCTGGAGTCAGGACAGGCAATGTTTCGGCACGTACTGGAATCGAACCCAGCCAAGAGATACGGTCGAGCCAGGGATGGCTCGGGCGACAGGCCTATCCTCTGTGCCATGGTTGTACACTGTCATCAGAGGTGAATGATTCCCAATGCTTACCGTCAGAGAGACAGATGGTCTGGGACTCCTGGTCGATATCCTGGTACACCCCAGAGTACCTCACACCTAGCTTTGAGATGACTTGGAAAGGTTTTCTGTACTGTCAGCGATGGATCGACAGGGCTCACCCTTTGAACTTGCTGTAGTCCATGGTCAGGTCTTCTTGCGTTGACGACAAAGACCAAGTCAGGAGGAAGGACACATCAGAGGATAGACGTATGGGTCGTAGGGCGCTGTAGGAGTAGTGTCACGCGGGAGAAATGCGTCATAAAGCGCCCTAAAAATAATTAGGTTGACACGCCGGACGCACGCCTCGATCACATCGCGCCTGATATCCTGATGTCATCGAATTTCCACACCACAGACCAACAACGCTGGTTCAGTCGACCATGCCGACATGACTGACATGATCAACGTCGTAGGAACACTTTTTCTGATCTTACTTTTCACTTCCGGGAATGTAGAACGTTCGGTTTGGTACGTCAGTCTGGCAATTCAGAGCTGAGCCCAGGCTTCTTCTTAACACAGCCGACACACTACGAGCACTGAAAGTGGTGCGCGCAAACGGTCGAGTAATCGGCGTTCGTACAAGACGCAAAAGCTTGCGCGAAGCTTTGGTATCCTGGGTCGCCTTCGTAAGTGCGATAATGGGTCTCGCATTGATGGAACAGATCGTAGCACAACCTATAAGTTGGCTGGCTGATCGCGTGCTGGGATGGTTCCCATTTTACCAATCAATCAAGACTTTGGCAGTGCTGGCCTGTGCATACTGGAGACTGGAGGTTGGAGAATAGTACCTTCGGAGCTAACAGCAGTCTTCTGCCCTATTCTACCAGCTCGTTGCTGTCCCTCTCCTGAAGCGGCACGAGAGGCAAATCGACCTGACCTTGTCACTTCTGTACGTGACGTTCGGTGTCCTCTACCACCTCGCCGTTGAGCTGCCTCGCGCACTCATCCGGAGGTTTCTGCGATCTTGGTCCCTGTGGTTGTTGCCCTGTGATGACGGGGGGTCAAGCGATGTCGGTGACACCCAGTGTTCGAGTCGAGAGAAGCGCCAGCAGGAGGCTCCACCAGCGACATCTAAAACGCCATCGAAGAGGGCTCGCCGACGCGTGTCGCCGTCGTCAAACGCCAGCCAACTTCCGGAATGGCCACCGACGAAACGTTCCGTCTTCTCGGGTGACTCGTCCACCACTCGCAAACCTTCTCTTGGGCTACCAAGGTCTCGGTCATCGAATCCCACCGCATCCGTCGCCCTGCCACCAATAACTCAGCCCACAAAAGAGCCTGCCACTGAGCGCCGGCCTGTTTCGGGGACATCTCGGGTGATCTCTGGGGGCGAGAGGCATCGCGGCAGAGAAGATAGGGTCACGGCCAGAAGAGGACCCACTCAAGGAAATGCGATCGCATCTACGGCCGCCAAGCTCAAGTCGTTACCGCGACCCCCGAGCGGTGATCTGAACCACTCGAGTGGCTCGACTTCTAGTGGCTCGACCTCCAGTCCGACTGACCTTCGCCCTAGCAAACAAGCAGCATCCAAGGCTAAGGCGCACCAGGATCACGCCGATGTACTCCCTCAGAAACGCTCGCGGAACATGAACGAAGATGAGAGGTCCCCATCACCAGAGCGCCACACAACCCGTCAAAGGCGCTTGGCATCCCGCGAAACCGGTAATGGTGTAAAACGTCTGACGGTCAAGGAAAGGGCCGCACTAGCCACAGCGTCCACGGTGAAAGCGAAGTCTGCTTCGTCTACCGCTGCAGGGAAACGACGTCGCACTGCCGACCCAGAAGGTGAGGCGGCCCTGCCGAAACGTGTTAGGAGCACGCGCTCCACCACAGCGAAGCGAACCACCGCGTAGCTCATTACACAAACTGTAGCATAGAGACAGAGATGATAATGTACTGAAATGATGACAAGATTTACAGGGTGTCGCTGTGCGAAGTGTCATGCTTACGCCTAGGAGGAGGGCACAGACCGACTGGCGTGGTGGGGCAGAGGAAGGGGCTCGTAGGCAAGGGTGTCGGCGATTGAGACATGCCTCCGGGGCTAGCCGGAACCAGCAGAGTGTCAAGACTGTCGTCAGAATGTGATGCGCTGGACAGGGATCGAGCTGATCGGGCTTTGACCTCAGACGTCACTGCTGTAATGCGCGAGCGTTCTTCCGGGGGGATAATATAGGAGGCTCCGGCTGAAGTATCGAGATCATGTACCCAGGTGGCCGTCCCGGAGAGGTTGAGTCCCAATGCACTGAAACTGCTCGCCGAGGTGTCGAGCTCAGCCGACCATCGGCGATCAGTCTCAGCCAGAGACGAATAGCGCGTCGAGTAGTCGTTGCTTCTCTCACACGAGCTTTCAGGCAAGGGTGGAAGGGGTCCCAGATGAATAGGGACGCTGAGTTGATCAGGCCTGGCAGAGGGTAGGCAAGGTGACTGGGAATCGGCCTGCGTCGTCGCTCGGTTTCCCTGCGCCGATCCCACCGAGGACCTCGACGACCGTGAGGCACCGGAGAGTTTGCGGTTTCTTGAAGCAAGCGGTCGCATGACTTGCGACTGCCGGAGTGCTGTCTGAGAAGATGATCTAGGCCAAACCGAGCTTGCATGACGGACGTTGTAGCCGCGCGCAAGGGAAGGCAGGGGGTCTCTCGCGAGCCGTCCTTCGTCTTCAGATGTCGCATCGTCGTTGCAGAACCCTTCCAACGCATCTAGGGGTGCGAGGGGAGACTCCGAGCCGTCCGAATCCTCCTCCTGAATCGCATCGTGCCACTCACGACCAGGTAGCTCGCATGAAGTGACCGACATCACAGGATGCAATGTTTCCCCGTCCCCGCTGCTGCGCGGCGTCCAGCGCGGCTGCGCCTCATTGCGAGGGCCGTAATAGAGGAGCGGACCAGGCTCACTGGCAAAGGATGGGCGAGGGTCGTCGACCGAGAGACTACAGCTGGGCAAGGGATGTCTCGTGGTGTTCCAGACACATGAGCCAGTGCGCGTCGGACCAGTGTTTCGTGTCGCCTCCGGTATAACCCGTCGAAGGCCTGATGGCGCTGGCGCTAGGTTCGCCCGCTGTGTATCATGAGCAGGTGTACAAAGTGTGTTAGTTGAAGCAGAGACAACCGACGGCTTGCGTGGAAGAAGCCTCTCAAGCTCTCCGAAAGGCAGGAACGATATGCTATCGCAACTCTCGGCGGTGGAAGCTTCGGTTACGTCCAGGTCGGGAAGAAAGCTCGTCTGCGTTCGATGCGAGTGTGCGTACCGCACTTGGAGGACGCTGGGCCGGGGTCGTACTCTTCCGAACGCGGGGCCACCGGTGCCGCTTGTTACCGTCGGAAAGTGGTCCGCCGTTGGCGGAAGCTTGTCCATTTTCCGATCTCTGTTAAGCGAGCGCGGCTTTCGTGTAAACAGCGAGGAACCGAAGAGGGACGTCGACATTTTAGGGATGGGGTTGTGTGAATGTTTAGATGTACGAATGAACGACGCGTTGTCTTGACATGCAGGTCGCGAGCGTCGTGCTCGTCAGCGCTCACCCTGTCAAGTGCGTTGTCCCAAGTCAGTGCACACGTTGCGCCTGAGACGCGCAGCGCCGTGCCAGATCTGCTGGCACATCGTCAGACCGTCAGATTGTCTGGCCCTTGTCGCCTTGTGGGGGGGGGGTGGCTCATCCGCGTTGCCAGAAGCCCTTCCCCTTGTGAATCGTTTGAGAATCCGACGTCGTGCTCACTGGCGAAATGCAGATGCTTAGCCCACTCGGGAGCTCAACTCGCACACCGCCGAGACCGGGAATGCCCATCGGCCGTTGGGGCACCAAACGTTCCCTGTGTGCGCGAGATGCGCCGGGGCATGAGGGCGACGAGTCACAAGTCGGTGATCACCAGCACCCAGTCAGCTGGACACCGGGAGCTCGGTCGATGTGAAGGGGCAGCGATCTGCAAATGCGAAGACAAGAGTTTAAACCACCTCTCACGACTCACACAGGAACCAGTCACGCGCCAGTCGGGTGTGCCTTGGTATCACAGAGCGGAGGAGTGTAGCTGGAATCAGATGATCAGATGACCCGGCCTTGTGGCAAACATGCCCAGGCACCGGGCACGGCGGCCCTCCATCAGGTGTCCTATTTATAACGGGTTGAACCCAAGACTCCGGGCTTACCCTAGACAGCCCTCTGCGCCTCTGCGGCTGTCGTTCGGCATCAAAGTCGCCCACTGATTGGAACATCAGAACATCGATAAGCCAAATGCCATTCACGTATTCGTTCCCCCCCAGTACAGCTCGATCTCGACGGTGACCAGGCCCTCCGGGACTGGGTTACAGACCTACAGTACAACAAAGACCACGTAGTCAAGAGATTGGCCGCTCGTCAAGGACCAAATCTGTGCGGAGTCCGGATCTTCGAGGTCCGACCTCCTTTATGGGCAGTTGGCCACTAGCCCAGGTGTCATCCACATCTGCTCTCCATCCCTCAGGAGGGTCGGCGCCAGTACGCCAGTCGGTCTGCGCTATTCCGGTTGCCGCAATGACTGCGCGTGCGGCAATGGTTCACAGGTGATCACTTGGACCCTGGGCAAGTGAAGGGGGGTGTTCCAACATGCCGGTGACCGTCGAGCGTCGCGGACTGTGCACGGCGACCAGGGAGCGCAGCTGATATGTCGAAGCCGATGACAGATGCGGTATGGCAAGGCAGTTGTCTAGGGATTGGGCAGGGCGGAGTCAGTCGGGCCATTCCAAGCCAACCAGAGTACAGAGTCTCACGGATTCGTGCACGGAGATGCGCAGATGCATAACGACGAGTCCTCAGGGGTATAAAGGGAGCGAGGCACAGGGAAGGGGAATGAACGGCCACTTAAGGAATCGTATCAACGTTACGTCACAGATGGAGCCAATTCCGTGAGAGACCGTCAATGTTCACTCGGCTGCGTCGCAAAGTTGACTCCCATGTGCTTGTTTAGCGCCCCAGGCATCCTCGTCCCCGGCGTACAGATAGATTCGCTAATGGGCGCGATGGAGGACAGGTAGATGTGCGGCAGGGCTTTGCTCTTGGCTGGGCTCCAGGGCGCGCTGTTGCAGGCGACTGTGGTGTGTTTCAGGAATATGCATTCAGCGTGTGGCTGCGATCGATCTCTGTCTTGCGGCGGCACGGTGATCCACCTCTTGCGTCATGCTCACCAGCTGCCCTCCCCACCTCAGTCCCCGCCTCCTCTCCCCTTCCACCTTGCCCCACCTCCTCCTGTCCCTTACTCGTCAGCATGCGCGCTCCAATCTCGTCAGCAACTCGCTCGCAAGACCGGACCTGAGCAGGTGTGCCCCTAGGGCTCGAGACTCTGGGTCGAACCAGCCGTCGGGCAACCCCTTTTAGCGTACAATATTAGTGAACCACCTTACCCCGCCCGGAGTCGCAGCTCTTGTTATCACTCTCATCACCACACAACTCTCAACAATCTAGCAGAGCTTTGTCTTTATCATCTCTTACTTGACACTTTTAACCTCGTTTATAACAGCCAGCTATGGGTGGCGGCGGTGGAGCTCCCGCTTCTGACATCGATGCCGTACTGGCGCAGTCCTCTTCGGGTGCGTCAGGCTTCCGCGGCCTGTTCGCCAATCGCAAAACGTTGGCCATCGCTACATTTGCATCCCTCGGCGGTGTTCTCTACGGTTACAACCAGGTAAGGCGGCGCCCACACGACACGAAATTGACGCAAACAGGGTGTATTCGGACAAGTCCAGGTTATGAAAAGCTTTTTCAATCGTTACAGAGACACTGTGCGTTTTGGTAATGATGCCAAACTGATATCCAGCTCGATGAGGAGGATGCATCGGCCACCAAGGGTCTCTTGACTGCTATTCTGGGTGAGTTGTATGACACTGCGCCGGCTTACAATACAGAGCTCGGTGCCATGATCGGCTCGCTCATGGCTGGCCCACTCGCTGACATGTACTCCCGCAAGTACTCTATCTCTGGCTGGTGTGTCGTGTTCATGATGGGCGTCGCTATCCAGACCGGTGCAAACATGCACGTAGCCTGTATTTACGGTTTGTACCTCCCTTGCCTTCACGTCCCCTGACATTAGCCGGTCGTTGGTTCGCGGGTATGGGCGTCGGTGCCCTTTCCATGGTAAATTTATAACCATATTGAGTCGCTAACGTCGATTCAGCTGGTTCCCATGTTCAACGCTGAACTGGCTGCCCCCGGAATCCGTGGTTCCCTTGTAGCTTTGCAGCAGTTGGCCATTACCTGTAAGTCGAGATCTGGCGATGGCGCTGGCACAGTCGTTTCGCCACAACGCCACCTTCCCCGACGTGCACAGCTGACTCCACCCCAGTCGGCATCATGATCTCCTATTGGATTGCGTACGGAACGGTAAGTTCAACGTACAAGGGGCTTCGAACATGTTCGAGGCATGCGTTGACATCTCTAGAACTTCATCGGCGGCACTGGCGATACACAGAGTGACACTGCCTGGCGCCTTCCTCTCGGTCTGCAGCTGGTTCCTGCTGTCGTTCTCTGCGTCGGCATCTGCTTCCTGCCCTTCAGCCCCCGTTGGTTGATGCTCAAGGGCCGCGAAGATGAGTGCCTCATGAATCTCTCTCACCTTCGGTCCCTCCCTCCCGACCACCCTGCCGTCCAGGCCGAGTTCCTGGCACTGCAGGCGGAGCGTCTTGTTGAACGCGAAGCTGCGAAGGAGCGCTATGGCTTCGATGACGTCAACTTCAAGGTCACCTGCCTCGAGTACAAGCGTCTTCTCACCACAAAGTCGCTGCTCTACCGTCTCCTCGTTGGTGCTGGAGCGCAGGCCCTTCAGCAATGGACTGGTATCAACGCCATTATCTACGTGAGTCGGAATTGCCCTTCCCTACTAACAGCTAGTACGCCCCGTCGATCTTTAAGGGCCTTGGTTTGACTGGTAACACTATGGGCCTTCTTGCCACGGGCGTCGTCGGTATCGTCAACTTTGTTTTCACAATCCCCGCAGTGCTTTGGGTCGACCAGGTCGGTCGTCGACCTATGCTTATCTGGGGCGAGTTTATGATGGCTGTTTCGCACGCCACGATCGCTGCCATCGTCGCCGTCTACGGTCCGTCACGTGCCGAGGAGCAAGCTGGTATCGGGTGAGTTTTCTTCCAACACTCTTCAACACTTCTTTTCCAAGGAGAGAAAGTTGACACCCAGCTATCGCAACAAGGCGGCGGGCAACGCGGCCGTCTTCATGGTTTACTGGTACATCGTAAACTTTGCTGTGACGTGGGGACCGCTTGCCTGGGTCGTCAGTGCCGAAGTCTTCCCTCGTAAGTGGATTTTTGATAATTTTCGATAATTATGACAACTAACTCTTCCAGTTGACATGCGTGCCAAGGGCATGTCTATCTCGTCTGCCACGAACTGGATCATGAACTTTACCGTTGCCATGGTCACGCCTGTCATGTTCAACACGATTCGTTGGAAGACGTACATCGTTTTCATGTGCTTCTGTATCGTCGGTCTCCTCTACTCGATCTTCATTCTCCCCGAACTCAAGGGCAAGTCCCTTGAGGACATCGACCAGGTCTTTGGTGACAAGTCTGGTGCCGAGGACCAGCGCCGCCGTGAGCGCATCGCCCAGCAGATTGGTCTCGACAAGGTGGCGCGTGATGTGCAGCACATCGACAATGACCCCGAGGCGTCCGCTGGTGCCGAGAAGAAGCAGATGCGCGACCTCTAGGCGTGGCATTCTTCGACTCTGTCTTAACACCTAGCCATCAATCCACCCTTAGCACCTCTCCATATGTTTGTGCATGGCGCCGCTCAAGGCTCTGCTGCGTGAATGTCAATTAGTAACTCAGAGAACATGCAGTCTAATCAGTTTGTTGAGAGCTGGCCAAGAACAATCGGTGATTCAGGCGACGGAATGATACGCAAGCAACTCCTTGTTTTAACGACTCACCTGAGAGGCGAGTCTACAATACATCCCAGCGTCGTGCACCTGTCGCGGTGCTTGGCAGAAATTCAGACTCGACGGATTGTTCATCGAGTCGTCAGTTGCTGAGCGACGGGTTTACTCGGGTTACAGCAGTCGCAAAAGCGCGCACGACCGCCAAGGGTGCACCTTTGGCCATGTGATACGTTCGCCCTGCCGTGGGTGGCCCAGCAATGTGTGGTCAGAAGCACTACTGCAACGGTTAATTTTGACATCGTCGTGGGCCACCCAAGCTGTCCTGCGCCACAGGGTGCCCCAGCGGCGTACGTCTGCGAATAACCCGGAGCCGCCGGGGGCCGAGGCAGTCCGCTGGGCCCGCTGGACACCCGCCGGACCACCAGCTGGGCCCATTGCCGCCGGCTGTGGGGCTTTGGGGCTCTTTGGCCCTTCAAAAACGGTTCACAGCCGCAGAAGCCGGCGGCGTGAAGTATCCTGGCCAGTGCCTGTGGTGGCGCCGGCGAGCAACAGGGTGTTTCTTCGGGGACTGACAAGTTACCGAGATCACAACCATATCAGCCTCAGCGGCGTCCTTTGTGGGCGGCGACGTGTCCCACGACCCTGTCGGCGACATGGCTCGCGAGCCAACCCTTCTTTGCATGATGCCGACAAATTTTCCGCGTACAAACAATTATACAACTTGTCACCACACCGAATTTCACCCAACAGCTCTCAGTTTCTCATCATCGCCAAGGTCAATCTCTGGGGCGCGGCGGCGGATACCATCTTCTGCTTCCAGCACTTCGGTGAGCGCATGCCGCTGGCCACGGGAAAAGTACATGGCAGGCTCGCGACCCTGTGCAGTTGAGGCGGTAATCAGACAGTGCTGAACACCCTGCTCGTCAGCAATGCACACTCTACTGTCACTCACAGAACCAGGCACCTCGAACATGGCATCAACAAGTATCTCCTCAAGGACTCCACGGAGTCCACGGGCACCACCTCCTCGGTCGAGACCCTCCTGCGCAATAGCCCGGAGCGCTCTGCGAGTGAAAACAAGCTCGGACCCGTACCGCCTGAACAGTGCTTGATATTGCTTGATGAGAGCGTTCCGAGGTTCTGTGAGAATGCGTACGAGGTCTTCCACCTCCAAAGCATGGAGAGAGGATACGACTGGCAGACGGCCGAGGAACTCGGGGATCAGTCCGTAATCCTTCAAGTCGTTCGAAGTGGCCTTGAGAGGTCCCGACGGGAGGTTCGCATTTATAGGAGCTCCAAAACCAATGGACTGACTGTCAGCTGAGCACCCAGAAAGAGACATACGCCCTTGCCCAGACGCTTGGAGATGATGTTCTCCAGCCCGACAAAAGCACCTGAGAGAATGAAGAGGATGTTGCTGGTGTCGACAACGAATGTCTCACCCTTGGAAACTCATGGTCAGCAGGTTTCGCCTCGACCTACGTACCATTAGGACCAGCGGTGTAACCCGGAAGGCCCTCACGGACGCCCTTCTTTGGGCCAGGCGATGCGCCGAAGCTGCGATTCATGGGATTGTTGGGGTCCCAAGGAGGCGGGTCGTTAGCGTACGGATTGGACTCGGTCTTGGAACTGCCAGCGGTCACTGTCGAAGGGGGCGAGGAAGCTGTTGGTGCATTGGAACTGATGGGCGCGTTCTTCGCCGAGATCGTCACGCTAGTCCCCTCTAGAATGCGCAACAGAGCTTGCTGTACACCCTCACCACCAACATCGCGACCTCCGCCCCACGTCCCAAACTCGTTGCCGCCGCGTCGTGCCAACTTGTCGACCTCATCGATGTGGATAATGCCCACCCTGACGGTCAGCAGAGTCATCTGTAAATCGACTTACTCTGCACGCCCAACATCGTACTCTGCAGCTTGAAGTAATCGCAGAATGCAGCTCTCGACATCTTCGCCGACATCTACTCTGTCAGAATCGCCAAATGGACGTACTCACACCCTGCTTGGGTGTATGTGGTGGCGTCACACGACACGAAAGGAACGTCTAGGGCTCTCGCCAATGTCTTCGCCATGAGGGTCTTGCCGGTTCCTGTTGGTCCACTGGACATCAGCACCAGCCTGCGGAACCAGCTTACATCATGAGGACATTGCTCTTCTCAACGACAACGTGAGGGTCTTCGTGAGTGGGGGTGCCCTGAATGCTGCTCTTGACGGCCGCCGCATACTTGGCCTGAGCTTCCTCTTCGAGCCGTGCTTCTTCAGCAGCTCGAGCTTCGTCTTTGCGAGCTTTCTCCAACTTTACTTCCTCCTCTGTGATCTCATTAGCGGATCGCTGATCCTCCTCTGTACTCTTTCGTCGGCGACCCCGGACAGGCTTCTCCGGCTCAGCCGCATCCCCGTCTGTTATCTTGCCTAGAAGCGTCGGCGGCCGAAGAGATGAAAAGTATCCGTCACCTCGAGCTTATGTATCAGTTACGCGCGTCCCCCTTCCGTTGAACGTACCCCACCGCTCTTCGCGCGACAACACATGGTTGTGGGTCAAGGTGGGGTCGGAGCCCCCCTCAGCTCCCACGACGCGCGTGGCGTCACGTTGCGGCTGATCGTAAGCCGACTCAAAACCAGGTCTATCCCAGTTGATATAGTCCTCATGGGGCAAAGGCGGGGCCGGAATGGCCTCCGCAGAAGCGGGCGGCTCTGGGACTGGCGGGGGCGATAAGAGTGGCTCAATACGGCGGTAATGGTTAAAGACCCTTGCTGTGAGCTTGATAATAGCCTTTAACAACTCACGCAACTGAGAGCGTCTTCTTGGCTCCCTCCTGACCGATAATGTACTGAGATAGATGGTTGTACAACTAAGCTGTCAACAATGATCTGGAGGGTGGCAACTCACGTCCTTGGGGGTCCTGACAGAGGACAGACTGGAAGTCCACCGCAGATTCAGCTGGTAGAATCGCTTGGTACAACAGCGCGTTCGAACGAGCATTCTGTGTGGTGTCTAGATTGTCACACCTGTGCTCAGAAAGTGATATCGACGCGACAAGTGTGGCCAGGTGAGCAGACTGAGTCGACTCGGCCGGCGCACTCCGACGCCTGGAGGTGGAGGTGGGGGATGGGAATGGGGAGCCGTGGGAGAGCTCAGGAAATATCACGTGACTAAACCAGTCCGTCTCCGTCGCGACTGTGAATAGGTCGCTCACCTTGTGCCACCCGTTCCATCGTCTTCACTCTGTTGCTCTCCACATCCATTCGGCTTCATCGCTTAATCTCAAAGCTCCGCGAATTTACGGTGTTTCAAGACCGCGCAACGATTGTGCTTCACGCCGCACCTGCCTGATTTCGGTGGACACGATTCAAAGTCGCATCGGTAGAGCCTCAACAATCATCACGACTCGCTTACTTTCCGAGAACCCGCTGTCAAGCATCAAGCCAAGATGAGCAACCTCGCTGATCCTAACAAGATGGTGCCTTTTGAGCCGACGGATCTGGACGATCCAAACCGGTCAAACCGTCGAGTTGCTTAGTACGTCACAATAATTTGCACGCGCTAACAGTAGCTTCTACGACCGTTCGTCTCACCCGCCCTTGTTTATGCTGACCAGCAGACGATGTAGGAAACTACCACTTCTTTTTGGGACACCCTATGAAGCCGCACCGAATTCGAATGACCCATAATCTTATCAGCAACTACGGTCTGTGCGATGAGAACGAATATGATGCACCAGAGGGAGCTGGTGAGGGTGCGCGTGCTCTCAACGATTGGGCGGCCGACAAGGACCCAGAAATCCAGGAGGCTGCCAAGTGGGAGAAGCGCATAATGAATGGGCCCCGAGGAAAGGCGATGCAGGTTTTTGTGAGTACCCTTGTGGATGGTGACTGATACGACAGCGCCCGCGCCGTGCCACGAAAACAGAAATGACGCGCTTCCATACGGACGAGTACATTGACTTGCTGGAGGCGGTCACACCAGAGACGGCCGACGCGATGACAGGAGGGGGCATTAGATGTGAGTTGCGGCTGGTCGCACATCGCTGACTTCGAGGTCTGACGGGTGAGGATTGCCCTGCTTTCGAGGGAGTGTTCGAGTTTTGCACCATTTCCGCGGGTGGCTCTCTCGGCGCCGCTGAGAAGCTCAACTCTGGACATGCCGACGTCGCTGTCAACTGGGCTGGCGGCCTGCATCACGCTAAGAAGTCTGAAGCATCAGGATTCTGTTACGTCAACGACATGTAAGTGTTGCCGCTCCCTCTGAACTGACCTTAGTGTCCTTGGAATTCTGGAGTTGCTTCGAATTCATCCGCGAGTCCTCTACATCGACGTCGATGTCCACCATGGAGACGGAGTCGAGGAGGCCTTTTACACCACCGACCGTGTCATGACGTGCTCGTTCCACCGTTTCGGAGAGTTCTTCCCCGGAACTGGAGACGTTCGTGACCGTGGCATCAAGCGTGGAAAGGGTTACGCTGTCAATGTCCCATTGCGTGACGGTATCACCGATCAAACGTATCAGTCTGTCTTCAAGCCCGTCATTAAGCAGATTATTGAAACTTTCCGGCCAGGCGCCATCGTCCTACAGCTTGGAGCTGACTCTTTGTCGGGAGACAAGCTTGGTGGCTTCAACCTGACGCTGGAGGGACATGGCGAGTGCGCGCGTTACGTCCGAAGCTTCAATATCCCCGTGATGATGGTGGGCGGAGGAGGATACACGATCAAGAATGTCTCCAAGGCGTGGACAAAGGAGACCGGTATCATGTGTGGTGTCGAGCTTCCAGAAGACTTGCCCTACAACCGTTACCTCGAGTACTTTGGTCCTCGCTACAAGCTCGAGGTCATGCCCACCAACGTCGATGACCACAACCCTCCCGAGTATCTTGAGGCGTTGAAGCGTACAATTGCCGAGAATCTGCGTGAGCTGCCGCACGCTCCGAGTGTGCAGATGCGCGAGGTTCCCAGCAAGCCTATTTCCCGTGCTATTGGTCTTTCCAAGGATGACGACGAGGATGACCCGGACAACGAGATCGATCAGCGCATCAAGAAAATCTTCCGCCAAGGCGGTGATGTCGACTCGGACTCGGACTCTGATGACGACACTGCCGCTTATGCACGAGCCAACCGTGCCCGCCGCCAAGGAGGGCTGTCGTTGCGTCCCAATCCGAGACCTCGCGTCAACGGCTTCCCTTCATCGAAGCGTCAAGCTTCCTGCTCGCCCGATGAGGGCGAGGAGCAAGAGGGTCGCAAGAAGCGTAGCTTTTTCTACTCCAAGGCCGGTGACGGGGTTTGGGATCCGACGTCGTTGCTCAACCCCAACGCCAAGCCGTCGGATGGCTTGGTGAACGGTGTCAAGCCGAAACTGTTCGGTGGTATTCCAGAGACCTGGAATGTCGGTCGCACGAGCCGTGCCGGTAGCCCTGCTAGCGTAGTGTAGTTATAGTATAGAGTCAGTGTACGATTTCCGCAGGCGTGTTCTCTTATGGAGTATGAATCCTCATAAATGTTGAGAACGAGCTGGGGACAGGGCTGCGTTTACTCCTCCTATCTGTCCTGCATCTCGAAGGACGAGTCCGGCGGCATCAGATTGGCCCGTGCCTGACGCCCGGTTGTGTTTTGCCACTGCAGTACGAAACACTAGCAACCAGATCGTCTCCTGCGCCCTTCCTTCCTCGTCGCAGCGCGCAGTGGAACCGACACACACACAACGCACTCACGTCTAGGAATGTCCAAAACAATCTGCAGAGACTGGCAATCCACCGGGTACGTGCGACGGGAGCAAAACTCTGCTGACTCGCAGTAACTGTCGATTTGGCAACAACTGTCGATTCGCCCATCCTCCTGGTAAGCACCATCACCATCATGCGGAGACTGAGACCAGGCAACCAAGGCGGTCGGTTCGGCTCGATCAGCTCCTCCAATGCAACACCACTGGGAACACGAGCCCCGTCACACGCGGCCACAAGGTATCAGTTCAAGTGAGTGCTTTTGCGCAGAACGCAGCAGCTGATCGCTAGTGAGGACTCGGTGAAGCTTGAGCTCGGTGCTGAGCGACCGCTCTGGGTGATCTCCTGCTTCGGCGCATCCAAGTATGAGCCAAACGTTCTACAGGGAGACATGTCTCCAGAGGAGCTCCGTTGGAAGGCTGTCCAAGCGCTTAAAACGGGGGGTGGTGCCGTGGACCAGTATGTCGCTGAGGAAAACAAACTCGTTGGCGAGGCCAAGTCAAAGCTCGATGAGGCCCTGTCAAACATTCCCCAGGTGGTACAGACAGCTCAGCGCCTCCATGACCTCCGCTTCAAGAACGGTGCCGTTCCTGGATCGGACAGACCAGCCGACTTCAACGAGGATGTAGCGCTGGCTGCGGCCAAGTCAGGCGGCCCCGCCCCAGTGGCGAGTGGATCTGCCTTTGGTCAGTCCTCGTTTGGGAGCAGCAGCAATACGGCAGGGAGTGCATTCGGGAAGTCCTCCTTCGGATCGACCACAGCAGGTAGCACATTCGGCCAGTCGGCGTTCGGACAGAAGGGGGCGTCAAGTGGCGGCAGCGCATTTGGACAAAGCAGCTTTGGCGCCAAACCCACAACGGGCGGAGCCGCGTTTGGACAGAGTGCATTCGGCACAGGATCCAGTAGCGGAGCGTTCGGTTCCTCCTCGACCGCAGGCAGTGCATTCGGCTCCAACACGGCGAGCACGGGCACGACAGGTGGAAGCGCTTTCGGCCAATCGTCCTTTGGGCAAAAGCCCGCTGGCTCTGCGTTCGGCCAGAGTGCGTTCGGCAGCACTGCGACTTCAACCCCAGCGACGGGAGCTCCAGCTACAGCAGGCTCTGCGTTTGGGCAAAGTGCGTTTGGCGCCAAGCCAGCTGGAAGCTCTGCGTTTGGCCAGTCCAGCTTCGGCCAGAGTTCCACCACCACGAGCACGACGGCGCCGCCCGCCGGCTCTGCGTTTGGCCAGTCCGCTTTCGGTGCCAAGCCCAGCGCCTTTGGCTCAACTTCCAGCACGACTACTCCAACTCAAGGGTCTGCGTTCGGTCAGTCCGCTTTCGGCCAGAATTCCGCCCCAGCCACAACCTCCGCGTTCGGTACTGGTGCGAGCGCGACCCCTGCGACTACCGCCGCGACTGGCGGCAGCGCATTTGGCAAAGCTGGTTTCGGCGCCTTCTCGTCTGGCGGCACTGGCGCGTTCGGGCAGCAGTCTGCTCCAGCCACAGGCTCCGCCTTTGGCCAGACTTCGACCCCCGCAGCCGGCAGTGCGTTCGGCAACACTTCGATCACGAGCGCGCCGGCGGCCACGAGCGCGTTCGGCAAGACTACGGCGCCAGCCACGGGCAGCGCATTTGGCCAGACATCGACGCCGGCGACCGGCAGCGCCTTTGGGCAGACTTCTACGCCAGGAACTGGCAGTGCCTTTGGCCAGAGTGCTTTCGGCAACCCCGCAGCTCCGGCCACCGGCAGTGCGTTCGGGCAGACCTCGACGCCGGCGTCAGGCAGTGCGTTCGGGCAGTCGTCGACGCCTACCGCGGGCAGCGCCTTTGGGCAGACCTCGACGCCCGCCTCGGGTAGCGCGTTCGGCAGCACCAGCGCATTCGGCAAGCCGGCGACGTCGGCATTCAGCGCCTTTTCGGCTTCGAGCACCCCAGCCGCACCCGCATCCTCCGCCTTTAGTAAGGGCGGCGGGTTTGGGCAGCCCTCAACGAACGCTTTCGGCAAGGCCACGTTCGGTGCCGACGTCGAGGTCCCCGACGGGTGGAGCTACGAGGACCCCTGGAGCTGTTTCCTCCCCAAGCCCGAGGAGCTTGAGGAGGAGGTGCGCAAGGCATTCGAGGCGGTCCAGTTCCAGCCGGACAAGATCCCCCTCCTTCCCCCGCCTGTTGCGCTGCGCTCCTAGCTATTCAGTCCACTTGTATCAATACTCTCATGCCATGTAACCATTGAGCTACTGCTGAGGATAGACGTTCATACATATTCTTCATTACGAGCCCGTGAGGGCAGTCTAGGCGCGCCCGGTCGAGCCAAAGCCGCCGGCGCCGCGCTGGGTAGAGTCGAGCTCGTCAACCTGGCGGATGGGCGCCATGGCGATCCGCTCAAGGATGAGCTGGGCGATACGGTCGCCCTGCGCGACTGTTCTGTCAGTTCAGCTCTTTCTGTTCAACTCACTCTTGAAGTCGGCGTCGTTGTGGTTGAAGAGGACGACCTTGACCTCGCCGCGGTAGTCGCAGTCGACGACGCCGGCGCCGACGTCGATGCCGTGCTTGGCGGCCAGGCCCGAGCGCGGCGCGATGCGTCCGTACGTCTCGTCGGGGATCGCAATCGAGATGCCGGCCGAGACTATTCCCTTGCCGCGCGCAGGGAGAACGGCGTCCTCGGCAGCGTACAGGTCGTAGCCGGCTGAGAGGGGCGAGCCGCGCGTGGGCACCTTGGCGTTCGGCGTGAGGAGCTTGACGAGCAGCTCGTTCGCCGTCGGCTTGGGCGTCGCCGCGTCCTTAGTGTCCTCCGGCGTCTCGGAGCCGTTCACGGGCGTGGAAGGCTTGGACGCAGAGGCAGACTTGAGCGAGGCGGCGACTCCGGACGCCAGACCGGTCGGCGCAGGCGCCTTGGGCGATGACGGCTCAGAGTCGCTCTCCGGCACCTCCTTCTCGAGGCTGCGGGCCGACTGCTGCGGCTCCTCCTTCTTCGGCTCGGGCTTGGGCTCCTCCTTCTTTGGGGCAGGCTTGGGCTCTTCCGGCTTCTTGACCTCCTCCTTCTTCGGCTCGGGCTTGGGCTCCTCTTTCTTGGCCGCAGCGGCGGGGGCGGGCGAGGAAGCGGTGCTGGTCTTAGTGGGCGTCGCGGTGATGGGGGTCTTGTTCGCCGACGTCGCCTTGGTCTCGAGGTCGACGAGGTTGGGACGCGCAGTCTTTCCGCCGAACCAGTCGGCAGCGGAAAGAGCGGGCTCGATCGAGTTGGCGGGAGGGTAGATGCTTCAGGTCAGCTCAAGGTGGTAACTGGACATACTCAGACTGGAAGCCCTCGGCCTTACGGGGAACAACGAAGGAGAGCGGGTCGATACCGCCACCCGAAAGCTTGAAGGCGCGGGCAATCTCGTTGTGTGCAACGTCGAGTCCGCGACGGGGGATGAAGCCGATACCACGCTGAGGGTCCGAAGACTTGTACTCGTTCAGGAAGTGGAACTGGTCGCCCTCGAGCTCGTAGTAGCGGATGTTTCCGTCACTGGTGTCAGCTTGCAGCTGTCGATGATAGCTTACCCCTTGCCGGCGAGGAAGAGGACGTCGTTGCCCTCTGCGAAGAAGGGAATAATGATACCGGCGCTCGAGTCGAGGCTCTGCGTGTCGAGGTTGGTCAGGCCGGCGGTGTCCCAGAGGGAGAGCTGACGGTCGGACATCTTGGAGAACTGCGAGGTCAGCTAGATCGCCAGCGGAGAGCTCACTCCGGTCGTGGCGATACGGTCACGGTCACCGAGCCAGACAACGCGCGAGCCCTTGATGCCTCCGTGGCCGTCGGTGACGTGAACAGCCTCAGTGCCAGCACGAGGGTCGAAAAGACGGAGCTTGCGGTCGCGACAGGTCGTGGCCAGGAGAGTGCCGATGGGGTTCCAGCACATGCTCTGGATGCTGTCCTTATGTCCGGTGAGGACAATGTTGGGCGAGTCCGGGCTCTCAATGTCCCAAATGCGGAGCTGGTGGTCACCCGAGGCGGAAGCGAGAACGTTGGCGGCAGCGGGGTGGAACTGCACCTGGCCAACCTTACGGCCACCAGCGTTCAGCAGGCCAACAGGCGAAAGGTCCTCCGGCTCCCAGTCATCCTCACCCCAACCGTTGAACATGCCGTCGTCAATCTTCCAGACAAAGACTGCGCGTCAGCTACAGAGAACAGTTTAGTAGCTCACTCTTGCCATCCTCGCCTCCAGAAACAACGAGGTTGTCGTCGAAAGGAGACCAGGCAGTGTCGAGACTGTCTCATCAGTAAAGTTGTGACGAGTTGCGACATACACAGGGGCGGTGTGACCACGAGCGAGGGGCAGTAAGTCTGGGAGCTTGGTGGGGAAGCCCTCGGGCTGAGGCAGCTCAAAGGGGGAGAACGACGGCAGAACGGCAAAGGCCTGGGACGTCAGTACTATCGTCTAGGCAGGCATGTACTCACACCACCTCCCGAGACCTGCCAGTTGACAGCAATGTATTTCTGCGACGATCAGTATTCGCTGCGTCGCTGGACCTACACCGCCGGCGGTCACGAGGTCAGTGTCCCAAGCGCTGCCGCTGATCTTGGCATTCTCGTAGTTGACCTTTGAGCGGTTCGCGTACGTGTGCCTGTACTTGCTCTGCGCCAGTTAGCTGTGTCCACTTGTTGAGCCTGCACACGACATCGGAGATGTTGTAGCCTGCGCGTTCCGGGATTCCCTGGTAGTTGAAGACTCACTGGTCGCACGAATCTTGACATGGTCAACCGCTGTTTGTCTCGGGGCGAAGCGAATGAGAGAACGAAAGGAAAGTTCAGCGGGTGATGTTGAGAGTGAATCTGGCTTGTGGTCGGATAGTCGGAATCACAGCACCGCGCTGTCACATTGCCTCCCCCGCAATTCAGCCACGTGGATCACCATCACTGCCGACCCCTACTGACTTGCACACTTCATCGGCAGACATGTTCATGCATCGATCGTACAACGAGATGCGCTATGGGTTTTACAGGCTAGATGTATAACGAATTTTGTGACGACTCGGGAACTAGAATTATAAAGGAGAGGTATAAGCCTAAAGCTGCAGTTCCTCGTTCCAACCAAATGTTCTAAGTGATGGTGATGATGTTGCCCTTGGCGTCCCGGAGCACGACGAGGTCACACGGGATCGTCTCGCCAGTGTCCATGTAGGTGAGGGCGGTGGGGTCAAGGGGGTCGACCCTGCTTGTCAGCGCCGTTCCATACACAAGGTACTCACTTGATGTTCATCTTCTCGATCCAAGAGCGGCCAAGCACGACATCGAAGTGCTGCTCCTCTGACAGCATGACAGGGTGAAGAGCCGTCTTCTCTCCGACGGTGATGGGGACATTTCCGAGCATGACCAGTCCACCGTAGCCGCCGAATCCAGGCCGCTCCTTACGGGAGATAAGGCCGTGGCGAACAGCGAAGGAACGCGAGACGTAAACACCACGGTAACCTTGCTTGAGGAGCATACGCACGCCCTGCACGTCGCCAACAGCACCCACAACCGTTCGCACACCGTTGTTTGCATGGAACTGCAACGTTAGTTGAGACCAACGCAAATGATACCTACGTCCTCGAACTGGCGACGCTTCACGTCACCCAGGGGCTCAGCGTCGTCGTCACCCCACTTGCTCTTGCGAGAGGTTGTGCTCCGCATCGACCTAACACTGCGAGCGCGGTTCTTGTCGCGGTTAGGGATGCATAGCGAGGTGGACGCAGTCAAGGGGTCGGTGCCGGATCGGATCACAATAGTGCTGTGGGTCGACGGGGCCACAGAGGCGCGAGAACCAGCTCGCGATCCCGCCCTCGACGACGGCCGTCCACCTGCCTGGCTTCCGTTGGCATTCAGCCTCGAGTTGCTCTTCTTCCTCTGAGACTTGCCCGCGTACTGCTGTTGCTGGCTGGACGAGCCGTAGGCCGGGGGAGGCGGAGCAAGGTAACCGTTGTTGGACTTGTTCGCGTTCGGCTGGACAATGTGGAGAGTGACGCTGGGCATAGCCTTGCCCTGGCGGTCCTCCGTCTTGAAGCGCTCGGTGACGATGGACAGGTCGTCGTCTGATGGTCAGCAGAGTTCTCACGATCGCGAATGGCCCGCGACAGTCCGGGGACTCACTGTCCTCCAAAGCCCAGCGGTCTCCGTCAAACTCGTACACGACACCGGCACCATCGCGGTTGCTTCGGACGGCATTCTCATCGTCGTCGTTCAGCTTGGCCTTTGCGAGAATGCGGGAAAGAAGAGCGTCGCAGTCCTCGGTCTCTGCGATGGAGGTCAGCTCGGTTTTCAGCGGGCAACGATGGGGTCACATTGCCCGGAGCGATGATTCACGTACCCTTTGCCTTGAGGGCGAAAGTCTTGTTGGGGGCGTGGACGTTGTATATAAACATGGCGGACAAAGACGAAGGGTGTGTAAGGTGAGTGTCGGGAGAAAAGAAGGAAGTTGAGGATCGAGATGAGGAAATAAGATGCCACCCATGTAAATAGGAGGGAGAGAACTCATATGATGTCGCGCGAATTGTTGGACGGGGCCGAGAAGGGCTGGGGGCCGGAGGGCGTGTCCTAATTCAGCCATGTAGCGCATGTAGCGCGGTGGGCGCGGTGGGCCTTGAGCCATGAGATCAGGGCAAGCGTGTCCTATGACGTAGCGCCCTCCTGGCTGGCTCGGCTGAGTGCACTGAATTAGCTCGGCCTGCGCAGAGCCTTAAAAAGGCACCACTGCACTACGGGTGCTGCTGCTGCCAACGGCAATGAGCCGATGAAGTCACCCTGAGATTGTTACTGCGTTGCTGCCGTCCACGCGTCCGCAACGCAATGTCATCATAGCTGCTTCCTCCAAGCAAGGCCTCCACAACCCCTCCTTCCTCTTTCGATTCGGGGGTCTTGTCTCGATGTCTGCATCGTTTCATTGGACAGTCTTCTGAATCTTCCGAGCATCCTGCAACCTTGCTTCCCGGCCGGCACACCTGAATGTCGATCATCCTTTGCACCTGAACTCGTTCAAACGCACGCACCTTAATCTCAACGTTCCCTCCTCCATGGCAATATGTCGCGTTCAGCTTTTCGGTCACGTGTTATTACGAAGCATCTGGACGGTCGTGTCTGCATAGACTCGGCGGCAGTGGGTGGTAATGGGTGGTAGTCCGGTAATGGGTGGTCAGCTCAGGTCTTGGAAAGTGACCGATTGCACTGATGAGTATTGTGATGAGTGAAGACAGCATCTTAACCAGCCGTGAACGTGTGCATGGTCATACTCTTCTGTCTCTTCTGTTCCAACCCCAGTTTACCCCAGTCCCACGACCAGGCAGCAGCTGGTGTTTGCCATCTCGCACCCTAGACGGGTAGGGAGAGTAACCCATCAGCAGGCGGACGGTCTCGGTTTGGATTGTCACCTGCCGCTTGTTGACATGTTGTCTTTTCCTCAGCGCATGGCACTTCCCCTCACGGACCCTAGCCAGGCTGACTGCCAAGATACGTCCGACTTGCAGTGCATGTGCACGATTCGTGTTGCTCTCAGCGGAGCCTGCTTTGTACACCCTTTGATTCGAAGACTTGGCCGTACACCAGAGGAGGACGGAAGCCCGGCATCTAAACTCGCTCGGTGTCTTGATGTGATGTACCCGAAACACTCGACACTCCCAACCTCGCCGCTCGTTCCGTGAACACCAACTCACCGACCGTCAACCTCCTCCCATCCCACGTTCCTCCCCAACTAACAAAAGCAATGAAAGTCCTCGTCCTCGGCGCAAGCGGTACGATCCCCTCCCATCCCCCGCTGACACCAGGGTTCGTCGGCTCCGCCGTCGCATCCGCCTTCACGCGCGCGGGACACATAGTCTACGGCCAGACCCGCAGCCAGGCCACAGGTGACAGTATGGCGGCGCAAGAGATCTTCCCCGTCGTCTGTGACCCGTTCAGCGACCGCGAGACCTGGGCCAAGATAGCGCGGGATGTAGATGTCGGTGAGCTATCCTCTTCTCTTGCGAGCTGACGCGGCAGTCGTGGACGCCCTCGCCTCGATTGGGCTGAAGGAGGCACAACTCGTGTTCCACGCCTTCCTCAAGGCCGTCAAGCATCGAGGCTCATGCCCCGTCCTCCCCACCTATGTCTATTGCTCGGGACACTATGTCATGGCCGCGGGACTGGAGTGGACGGACGAGAGACAGCCCGCCCTCGCACCATGTAACAAGGGCAGCGCCTGGCGCCGCGATATCGAGGACGAAGTCCTTACTTCATCACTCGTCAACGGTGTCGTCATTAGGCCAGTGTGTCTCTACGGCAAGGGCGGCAGTTATTTTGGCGCGTACCATTTCCGACCGGCCCTCGAGGCGCTCAAGAAGGGCAAGAAACGCTTCCAGTCCATCGTGGGCGAGAGCGGCAAGATCGCCACGGTGCACTGCGACGATGCCGCGGAGCTGTTCGTTGCGGTCGCCGAACGTGTGAGTCCGGCTAACCTAAAAGATTTGAAGCTGACTAGCGCAGGGTCCTGTGTGTCGAGGACAGGTGTTCGTTGCGTCGAACCGGTCGACGGACAATGTCAGAGACATTCTCGACGGAGTAGTGAGGATCACAGGGTTGGAAGGCTGGGACGCGCGGAAGCCAAGGGACGGTACGTCTTCTCTCAAAACTAGTGAGCGGTCGTGAAGCTGACAGCAGACGGGGAGAGGGCCTGGGTCACACCTGTTCTGCAGAAAGCGAGCCTCGGACACGCCGTCACGGGTTGGGCGCCGAGACGGATCGGCGTGTCGGACGGAATCGAGATGTACTGGGTAAGGCTAAGATACTGTTTCCAAAGCTGATGACAGAACTCGTTTGTGCATAACCAGCCGAAGAAAGACCAGGTCGAGTCCGAGTGGATCGTGCTCTGAGTTGTACTATTAGTTTGATGGCATGTTGCTTTGTTTGCCCAGAATGTCTGCCTACGCTCCAGCTCCGCTCGCACACTCGCGTACATGCTTACTCGCATACGGATACATAAAGTCTACATCTAGCCTAACAACTTTACTCGTACTCCTCCTCGCGGTCCAGCTTCACCTCGTCGAGGTACCGGCGCACAAACTTCTCCAACCCCTCGACCAACGGGGCACGGTCCCAGCTCTGTCGCGAACGCCACACGCGGTCCAGCAGCGCAGCGCGCAACTGCTCCAGCTCCTCGACCGTCAGCAGACCCGTGTCGTCGCGCAGCGCGGCACGGAGTGCCGACAGGTCGGGTACTTCGAGAGGCGGGTAAACTGGCGGCGGGGATGGCGAGTTGACCGGCGTCGGTTCCTTGGGTGCAGGAGTCGGCTCCTTTGGCGCGGGCGTGGGCTCCTTCGCTGGGCTACCGTTCGTAGCCGCGGGCTCCGCGCTGATCGCGACAGTAGGGTCCACGCCACCAATCGGCTCAACGGTCGCTGCGATCTCATTTGCAGTTTCGAGGGCCGCCTCGGTTGCGGGGTCGACGTCCATGGCGTCGTCGCGGGGCCGCTTTGCGGGTCCATTGTCGTCCTCGCCTTCCTCGCGAGGTCGCTTCAGGCTGGCTGCCTCTCCCTCGATCTGCGGGCCGGGGGCGGCTTCCCCATTCTCCCCAACAGCTTCGGCCTCGCCGTTCGCCTTCTCTTGCTCCTTGGCCTTCTCCGCCTCGCGCGCCGCCTTCGCCTTCGCGCGCTCGGCCTTGCGCTGGCGCATGCGCTCACCGTAATGCGCAAATTCGGGAATCCACTTCGGGTCGAAGCTCTGCACGTGCATGCGCGCGTGAGCGGCCATCTCGGAAATCTTGAGCTGGCGATCCGCATCCATCGTGTGGTTCGCATTGTCCTCAATCAGCGCAATGTCCGCGAGCACGTCGTCCGGCGTAAAGTACTTGTGCTTGACGAGCTTGCGCTGAATGATGTCGATGTCAATGTTGTGCGCTTCCCACGGCTTTGCGACTGTGGCCACAGCCTGCTCCTGTTGTAGGTCGCCAGCCTCAGTAGGCGCCGCTGTCGAAACGTCTCCGCATGCCGACGTGATCATGACAGCCGGGATCGTCGGCACCTCGGTGGTGGCGGCTTCTACGACGACAGTCCCGGCGGGTTGTGTCTCCGCGGCCGCGTTCTCGATCGTCGCCGGCTCCATCGTCACCTCGCCGTTGACCGCTTCGACGGGAGGGACGATCGGGGCAGCAGCAGGGGGCGGGGTCTGCGGCGGGTTGGCGTTGAGAGCTGCCTGCTCCGCTTGCCAAGCGGCGTGGGCAAAGGCCTCCTCCTTCACGATGGAGGCCGGCCGGCGGTACTTCCTCATGAACTCCGCGATGAGCGACGAGAAACTGACGAAGAGCATATTGCGGGCGGCAGCATCCCGCTCCAGTTCGCGCTGAACCTCCGCTTCCGTCGGTTTGCGGGGCGGCAGAGGCTCAGCCGGCGGGAGGATCTCTAACACACGCTTCTTACGAGGAACACCATCCGGGAACTCGTTCGGAGGTCGCTGCACAGAGTCCAAGAGCTCGGAGAAGAACTTTTCCCTCTGGTCCGCGCTCGGCTTGCCGATCTCGATGCGACTCTCATCGCCAATGCCGAACCACTTCCTGACGTCGGAGGGTATGGACGAGAGAGGGCCGTCGACGATAGCGAGAAGCAGCACCGGGTCAGACGGCGGGATGCTGTCGAGCAGTGCTCTTGTAGTCGACCGTGCGGCATCTGAGATCGTATGCGCCCACTGCGCAAGCGAAGGGATGAAGATGACGCTCGGCTGATGACGTTTGGCCTCCACAAAAAGTTGCACGACCGCCGCCTCGGGCGTGCGCGTCGAGTCACTCATGAGCGTCGCAATGTCGAACGACTGCACGTGGAAACCTTCCAGGTGGTGCAAGAGCGCCGGACCAAGATACGTCTGTCCCATACCCGCCTCGCCGTAGATCAAAAGTCGAGGGCGATAAGTTCGAAGCTTATCAAGAGCTGCCGTCAGTATCAGAGGACCTGTTCCAACATACACTGCAGCATGAGTTCCTTCTCGAACGTATCTCCATCATCGTCCTCGAATTCGGCCTCCTCAAGGGCCGTTCTCTTCTTAACAGGCGGGAGTGCAAGATCAACTGCCCGCTTGATCCCTTCGAGGCTCTCAGAGAGTAGAGGCACAAGCTGGGGCGGGAGCTGTGCGGCAGCTGAAGACGCTGAGCGTGCGCTAGATGCAACGATTTCTGTGGTCAGAATAAGCTGTGCGGTCATACTAACTGTTTACAGCCAACATGAAGTCCTTCGGCTGAACTCTAACAGATCCCGGCTGAACCTGTAGACGATCCGTCGACTTGTAGATCTGCGGGTAACGCCTCTGAATAGCGTTCAGCGCGGCTTCGGTACACAACGCTCGCAGGTCGGAACCACCGTAACCCTTCGTGAGGGTAGCCAGCTTGTCAAGCATCGGCTCTGGAAGCTGCGGGTCCCACTCGCGAGTGTTGATCTTGATGATCTGCTTGCGGGCTTCGATATTCGGAAGTGGGAAGTAGAATTCTCTGTCGAAACGGCCTGGACGTCGCAGAGCAGGGTCAACTGCATCGGGGCGGTTGGTGGCACCGATAACAATAACCTGTCCTCGTCCATCCATGCCATCCATCAACGCCAGTAGAGTGGACACTAGACTGGCGTGAATTTGATCTTGCTTGCTGCTTCGGACGGGCGCCAAACCATCGATCTCGTCAAAGAAGATGATGGAGGGTTGAGACGCCCTCGCTTCTTCAAAGAGCATACGGAGCTGGCGTTCCGCCTCGCCGACCCACTTCGACAGAACATCGGCACCTTTTCGCATGAAAAAGGAGATCTTCGTGTTGCCATTGCTGCAGGACGCAGCCAGAGCCCTTGCGAGAAGCGTTTTACCGGTACCAGGGGGACCGTGGAAAAGCACACCTCGGGGAGGAATGATGCCGAACTGCTGGAAGAGCTCCGGGTACAGAAGAGGCAGGGCGACCATCTCCTTGAGCTGGTTGATGTGGTTGTCAAGGCCTCCTACACGGTCGAAAGTAACGTTGACATCGACTCCGAGAGGATCGGCATCAGCCATGTTGGACTTCGGGTTCACACGTCCAAAGTTGGGAACATCGGACGGGCCGGCGGTTCGACCAGGCATACCAGACGGACCGCCGACGGCGCCGCCACCAGCAGCCGCTGCTGCACCACCGCCCGCACCCAAGGCGGGCAGATCCATGTCAGAATCAGACGAGTCCGGGTCTCCCATGGCCTGTGCAAAGTCCTTGCCCTTCAGCGACCAGGGTAAAGTCTTTCCGCTGACTGCCGCACCGAAATTGGCAGCGCCGGCACCCGGGAAACCACCCCCTCGACGAGCACCACCGGGTCTCGAGGCAGCGGCGATGGCGTTGTTCATGATCTCCGCAGCCTGGATTTCGGCGGAGATGTCCATCGGGGGCAGCTCATAGTTTGGACGCGAAGCCCGCTTGCGTAAGGTGCGCTTGGCCCCATACGAATCATCCGAATCCATAGCTCGAGTTGACCGGGTTGCTCTGACTGACGATCGAGTCGCTCGGCGAGTCGGGCGGCGGCGGGGTGGCGAGTCGTCCAGAAAGTTATCGTCATCGTCTTGCTCTTCATAATCGTCGACGACCTCGTCCGGGCTCTCAGGTTCCGAGGATTGGTCAGACTCTGTCGGAGCAAATGACTCTGCGTCCGCAGACGAGTGGCGCTGTCGTGACGGCTGCCTCTTCCTCTGAGGAACCGGGGTGTCATCAGGCGCTGTGTCGAGTACGGGTTCCTCCGTACCGTTGACTGGCGCATCCGCGTCTTCATCGTCAGGATCAACGATGCGACGGCGCGTTTTTCGAGTCGTGCCCACTTCCTGGATGACTGGGCTAGTGTCCAACATGTTATTCTCAAAGTCGTCATCGTCCGCGTATCGTTCGGGGACCTTGCTCGACCTCGAAGAGCGGCGAGTCGGCTCGGTGGCGGCAGGCGCAGGCGCGGGCGGTTCGAATTCGGCCTCGCCATCGGCGTCCTCATCCTCTTCCACGACTGTACGCCGTGTTGCTCGCCTACCTCCTCGCGCGGGTCGGCTCACGACGGGCGGTTCGGGTTCGTCTTCGGCATCATCGTCGTCTTCCTCCTCTTCCTCAGGCTCGTCCTGGAAGTCCCCGTCGTCCTCGTCCTCATTGTAGTTGACCTGCTTGGCCGCCCGGCCACGTCGAGGACGGTCTGCAACAGGCGTAGTGGCCTCTTCCTTGACTCCCCTTCGTGAACGCGAGGGCATGTCGCCGCTGGGCTTGTTGAGGCGTAGGATGATCTTGGGGTGGGACAGTGTCGCTGTGGATGGGGAGTCGGCCTCTAAATGAGGCTGCTCCGTCGGTACAGGATCTGAGGGAGGAGTGGGCACCAGAGGCTGAGGGGGAATCTGCTGTTGCTGTTGTTGTGGCTGCTGTTGGAACTGGGCGGAGTAGGCGGCCTGCGGTTGCCACGATTGAGCTTGTTGATCAAAGGTAGGCGGTAGTCCCGGGCCGGAAAACGAGTGAGGGGCGGTTTCGAAGGCAGGTGTAATGGGGTTACCGTAGCCGTCGACGCGAATGGGCTGCTGAACAGATTGCTGGTGGTTGGTGGCTTGATCGAAGTACGGAGGTTGGTTGGCTTGGTTCAGGTAAGGCACGGGAGCGGAGCCGGAGGGTAGCTGATGGCGATCAACGACGCCGTTAGGGACCTGGTATGACGCCGAAGGGTGGTAGCCGTGTTGGTAGGGATAACCGGCGAGGTTGGCAGGGAAGCCTTGGTGGGGATGAAAGTCGGGGTGATGTTGAGGAGAAGGGCCAGGGTAGTAAGTACCCGAGGGCTGACCACCGATGCCGATACTGTGAGGATGGTTCGGAGATGGATGCGAATGAGGGTGATGAGGGTGGTAATCAGGCTCGGGCGGACCCCGTGGAGTGCCCGACATGGAAGGGCGCCTTTAGGGGCGCGAGGGGACGAGAAGAGCGGCGACGGGGCGTGTGAGAGTGCAGTGTTCGTTGTTGTCGCGAGAGGAGGGGCGCTCTGTTGGTCGTGAGAGGGTGGATGCGCGTTTCAACTCGGACGTCGAGGTCGTTTCGGCAGTGGAAGCGGTCTACGAGCTGGTTACTGGTCGGGTCACCAACGGGCCAACGTGACGTGACTGACAAACCAGCCAGCCAGCTTCGACAGCCGTCCTACGCACATTTGCTCCCGCCTGTCGCAGCCACCCACCTATTTGCTGCGCCAGATTTGTTTCCGCGCCTGAGCTTCGTCCAGCTCGGACTGAGTAGTTGTGTTGGACGAAGACGTCCACTCAACCTGGTTGCACGACGGCCACGTCCAACGCAGGTCCTCGACCAACATACCTGTTTATGAGTTTCTCTGTCAATCGTCCACATTGCACGGTTGATTAGTGTCAACGTCAATAGGGAGCCGCGTAGTGACGCATCGCGATTCTTGAGCGGGAGGAGCGGGCGAGCATGGAAGTGATAACGAGCATGAGGAGGGTATGAGGAGCATGCGAAGTGGGCAATGAGAAGAGGAGTGAATGCAACATGGGACGAGCCATGGTGACTGGACACTGGGCGGTGAGGGTTGAGGGTCGAGGGAAGGCGGTATCGGGGAGCTGGGCGGGGGAGGATTGACAAGCCAGAGTTTAGTTGGCCGCCTGGCCTTGACCGACTGACCGACTTTCGGACTAGGGAACGCAAACTGCGATGCAGGCAAGCATGACGCATGGGCTGGACAATCTCATCGAACCGGTACGATCGCGTACTTGTACTCTGGACCACCCCAGGAGGGTAGAGCACTGCTGAGAGCCTCGGGGCATTATGTCGGTCAGACCTGCACGGCAATGTCCTCCCGTTTGCTCTGCTGCTGAGTCTTGTGCCTGTGCAATTGCCAAGCTTGACCGAAGTCTGATGGGCAGGCGAGGTAGACAGGTGGAGGAGGATAGGCAGGCCAGCGCGTGATTTGACGCACACCTGCGTCACGGCGGGTTGTGTACCTCGTTAGGTGGTCCACCTTGGAGGGATGCCCGCCAGCTGGCTGTGAGCAACTATCCGGGGAGCTAATCCAACTCAGACGCTGCGAGTAAGGTCAGACGCTGACAACTCGCAGGCCGAGAGCATGTCGTTCTTAAAAGGAGCGATAGGGAATGGGCCATGTCTACTCGTTGCCACTGGCAATGCCGATGCCACTTCTGAGGAGCGAGAGCTGACTAGCTGAGAGTGCATCTGTACGTCCAAGAATGCAGAATCGCGGCTCGTCCGCACCCGAGCCTATCGACCTTTTTACCCTTGGACCTTGATCTCGCAAAGCTCAAAGCCCTGTCAGGTCCCTGCCCTTAGCCATGCGACCCCTTTGACTCATCGCTCATGCTCACGCTCGCTTCCCCCGGTCCCCTGCATGCCATGCCTTGAGACCCTGCACCCCTCAATCCGAGCCTTACGCCGTATCGCCATCCCACACTCATCCACCTTCCTCCACCCGGGGCGCACTCACCACCAAGATAGCGTGATTTCTACCACCCACAGACTCATCACCTCACTCACTCGCCACCTTTTGACATCCTAAGCCGCTTTCATCACAGTACACCCCTTCTTCCCCTAAACACTCCATGTCGGCGCCAGCGCAAGACGACCTGCCTGCGCGCCGCACACATAGCAACGTCGATCCCGGGCCCAGCAACCCCTCCCACTCGGGGCCGACTAACCCTCCCGCCACCGACGATGCCTGGACGGCTGAAGACGTCGACATACCCGACGGCCTGAGCGAACTGTTCACAACGCTTCCTCCCCCTTTCTCAACCTCCCGGTCCGGTTCCTCGTCTCGCAGAGAGCTCGCCGCCCCAGGGAACGACGGTGGCGCCACGTCTGTCCTTGCGTCCTCTTCCTCCACCCCTATCGCTACACCAGCAACCCCTTCGGAGCAGCAGCTCACCCTTGATGCTCTTCTCGGTCCGCCAGCTCGCCTACCACATCGACGAACCCCTTCTCAATCTCAGCGCACGTCCGCATGGCGCGATTCGAACGCTTCATCGGCTTTAGGTATGAGCTTCCCGAACGGTAGAATCGGCGATCAGCCCCAGACCTCAAGCGACCGCGAGTACACTCGAGATCGCGACGAGTCGGCCTGGAACGGCTTGGCAACAGCACGTGCCTATTACGATTCTAGGTCGAGAATGAGTGCGGGCCAATTCGCTCGTTTGGAAACACTTACCGACCTCATAGATCGTAACCGCCACCAGCCTGGACGATCCTCCGGGGAGCGCGCACCCGTCCGCGCACGCCTACCACCCGGGCCTCGCTCTGAGTCACAATCCGGACCCAGTAGCACACTATTCAACTCTCTCGTACGCCCAGTTCCGACAACCTCGACTTCGGCTGCTACAGCGACGGCCACTTCGAGCGGTTCTGGCACGGGCAACACGAACGAACGCATGGCGACCACCGTGCTGCGGCGCCGCAACGGCGACGGCATGCGCTGGGCGAACCGCGCTGCCTACAGTTTTGACCCGTCGGACATTGCGCCTCCAGGAGGAGCCGACGATCACATTTGGGACATTCTCGGGGACCCCGACTCGGACGACGACATGTGGGGCATCTATCGCATGGGAGAAGGTGACGACGTAGACGGCTGGGGAGACCCGCCTGAAGGTGGAGCGTCGCTGAGCCGTGGACGAAACAACAGACGCAGGTCGAGACATGAGGATGATTCAATGAGCATCGACTTCACTCCGGGCCGATTCCAGCCTACGAACAACTCGACAGAGGGTTCGCCCATCGTAGTTGGGCGACGGCGGCGGCGGTCCGCGGGTACCACGCCACTCAAGGACGCGAACGACATGGCGAGCAAGAAGCGAAAGTGCACCACGCCGATATTGCCCCCAGCGAGGCCCGCTTATCTGCGCTACACCAGTCTGTCTGAGACAAGCGAACTTCCGAACGACTTTATGGAACCTCCCCGCAGCTCACATCTCGAAGTTTCCTACGATGGAGACCGGCCTATCGTTACCTTTGGCGAGCAGCACCGGGACCAGTTGCAGGACAGCGAGAGCGACGCTTGCGCACTGCGCGCCAACCGCAGCATACCCACTGGGATCGGTGTCCACTACTATGAAGTGGAGGTCCTCGATGCGGGACGCCTGCGATATGTCTCGGTCGGCTGGATGTCAGCCACGTCTACGCTTAACAGGCTGGTAGGCTGGGACCGAGGGACGTGGGGGTTCCACTGTGATGATGGAAACTCGTTCGCGGGGCAGAACCACGGAAACGAGTTCACAGAGCCCTGGGGCTCCGGCGACATTGTTGGTGTCGGTATCGACTTTTCGACGGGCCGCGCATTCTTCACGCGAAACGGCTCACTCGTCGGCAACGCCTTCGCGGATCTCCCTCAGCACCTGTTCCCCGCTGTTGGCATGCGGAGCCCGCGGGAGAGCGTGCGCGTCAACTTCGCCGGCCCCTTCAAGTACGACATCAACAAGCACGTTGCGGAGATCGCGGAGCGCGTGCATGCGCAGCATGTGCCGAAGCGGTGGCGGTTCAGCGTACCGGCGCCCGAGACCCGCATCCCGAAGCTCGCTGGCGTGTCCCCACCACCACCACCACCAGCGGACGGCACGATCTTCCCGCGCGGCGCGAGCGGGGACAGTGTCCTCGGCGGCGGGTCCGGCAGCGTGCACCTTGCGATGCACGGCAAGGCCAAGGGCAAAGCGTCAGTCTCAGCTGTAAACGGCCTGCCACAAGACAGTCCGCTGCGTGACCCCGCCTTCCGCGCCGAGACGGCCTTCGTGCTCGACCACCTGCAGCAGAACGGCCACGGGCGTGCCCTGTCACTGCTGAAGGACGCCATGGCGAAACGCGGCTGGATGCGCCCCTCGCCCTCCTCCGACGGCAAGGGCGCACAGGACCTCGCGACCTTCCTGGCCGCGTTCCGCGAGGGACGAGTCGAGCGTAACCTCATCCCGCGGCTCTTCGGCAAGCTCGAGCAGCGCCTCGCGGTACACGAACTGGCGCAGGCTGCGGCCGCGGCCGCAGCGGCAGAGGAGGGCGAGATGGCCGACGAAGCGGACACGCGGGCGATAGAGCTCGGGCGCGAGCTGCGTGCGCGCCAGAAGAAGGAGCGCTGGGACGAGGCAGAGGTCGAGCTGCTGGGCCACGCCGCCGCGCTGCTCGCCGGCCGCAACGCTGTCGCCGAGGCGGCTCTTGCGGCTGCTCGCGCAGAGGACGCCGCCGAGATCGATCGCACCGTCCGCGCCGAGCTCGGACTCCGTCCCCGGTCTGCTCTGTCCTTGGCTGTTACGCAGATGCGCCTCATCACGGACAAGCTCGGCGAGGCAGGCGACGGGGAGGCGCCCTTCCTCGGCGTCGACCGACTGCTCCCCAGTTCCTCCGCGGATACAAATGCTGGCGAGTCCGCCGACCCCAAGACAATCGCCACCGGCTAGCCACTCTGTATATCCTACCCTGTTCTTGTACATATGTATGATACTGTCACCTATTGCAGCATGTGCCAAGGAGAAAGAACAAGTTACATGCGGACAATCCAAACTCATCTATAGGGGAACCAGGGGCGGAGCGGCGCGCGCTCGACGCTGAGAGAAGCGAAAGAAGGTGACACATGATGGTCCGTGGGAAGTCTAGATCTACAAGCTGGGGGTACCGCCCCGCTGGCGGTAGTGGATGGGGCGGCGGGCGTGAGGATTCGTGAGCGTCATAATCTATATGATTCTCAAGTCTGTCGGCCGAGGGCCATTTGGTCAGGACTGTGCAGTCTCGGCGAATGCTCGCTGGGCTCAGCGAGCTGTCGTCCGCGAAACTCGAGTCGCGATCGAGGTAGGGGTGTGGGTCGAGGCGCAACGACTGGTCGCTTCAACCTCTTGTCGCATCCTTAATGCCTCATCGGCTCATACGTCGCATACTTCGGGGGCTCGTACGTCGGCTCGAACTTTGTCTGGTCGTACTCATACGGTGTCGGGGTGGGGTGCATGTCGTTCATGGGGAGGTAGGCGTTGCGCGTGCCGCCGGGGACGTCGTGGTAGTGGTGGACCTCCCTCGTGCGGCTTCCGCCACCACAGCCGGAACAGCAGCACGAGCAGCAGTTGCACGTCGCGCACTTGAGGCATCCGACGCAGCACGAGATCAGGCCAATGATGACCAGGCCGAGCACGACGGCAACGACAATGATGGTGATCTTGGCCCACTTGGGCAGCTTGTCCCACCCCTTCTTGTAGTCGCCGTTCTTGATGTCCTTCGATCCGTCAGAGATTGCGTTGTAGTCGTCCACGACGCCGTCGACTGTGGAGCCCACGTCGCGGGGGATGGCGAGCGCCAGCGCCGTCTCGGCGAATACGATGGCCCAGACAAGAGTCGAAGCCATGGCAGAGCTTCGTCGGGTCATGGTGCGTAGAGGATGGAGGCGGTGCTTTGCTACTTTGGTGCGAGGGGTTGCGTTGAGTGCGAGGAAGGTGGCAAGAGGTTGTCGCGAGGCCCGAGTGATATGTGAGAGTCGTTGGTGGCGAGAGCGCGAGAGTGAGTGTTGACCGTGACGAAGCCGGAGTGGAGTCGATAACGCAGTGAACAGAGGTGGTAAGATCGAGATGAGAGAGAAGGATCAAACGGGGCCATGTCACGGTCCATGCAGATTATAACGCGTTAGGAGTGAGCCCCGTTCCCCTCACGTTTCCCTCACGCACATCAGATGCGGAGGGTTCTTGGCGCTAGCACTGCCTAGCGCCTGCACCGCAGTTATGAGCTGCTGTGCGCGTCCTCGCTCGCGATAGGCCGGGGACAGGGACTGGCGCCCCGTTCCATATCTCGGATCGGGGGTGCTCACGCGTCGTCTGGATGCCTGGCTAGCCTGCTGGCTAGTGCACGGCCGCACGGGCGAATGAGAAGGAGAAGGAGGACCCAGGACCAGGTCGCGCGAGAACTTCTTTGCAAAGGGACGAGAGACAGAACAAGAGGACGCAGGGGGGATCGGATCAGGGGCGCCCCGCCCAATGTACCGGTTGTCTCTTGATCGTGTAGCGGGCACTCGGCACTCGAGCGCGGGGCCGCAGCGAGCGTCTCACACACTCTCACATTTCCACGCGCTGGCGCGCTGGGTGGCCACAGTGGGTATGCACCGTACGGCGGTGAGTGGGTGCACAGCCCTGACGTGCCTGCCATCCAAGGATGCTGCGCTGCAGCGCATCGGCATCTCAACCCTGAACCCAGCCCTGAGCTTCGCGGGGCCGACAGAGCGTCGCCCTTGGCTCCCGTGCCCAGATCTACCACCAGCAGCACAGCGTGCCGAGCGAAAGAACGCTTGGCCCCTTGATCCTGCATCTTTGCGCGTCGTTTGCAGCCTGAACTCCTTCAGCATGCTTAAGAGCGTCAAGAATGGCTGGGGTTGAGGGAACCCACCGAACACATGTCCACCAGACCGAGACCACGCGCTTGCTTGGATCGAGGTATGGCAATGCTTAGCGGGGCTGCGTTTGGATCTGAAGTGGAAGTAGATTCTCTGCGTTAGAGTTTTGCCGTTGCCAGACAACGACACGGGAAAAGGTGCTAAGGCCGCTGCCCGCTGTCTCTGCCATCGGGGTGGTTGCATAACTCTGTCTGGCGGCAGCAGGCCCGGAACAGCGGGCTTGGTCGGACGCGTTCCATTCATGTCGAGGCACGCCGTCCGGAAACCAAGCCAGCAGTAAACTTGAGGTCACTTCCGGAGCAGCGTTTGTGGCAGTTTGCCGACTTCTGTTTTACTGCTCTCCCGTATCCGTCCGTTCCAGTCCCGGATGTGCATGCGTTTCGTTCCGCAAAACGAACACCGCTCCTGTATTCATGGAAACAAGCCTGACGTTTTGTTGGCTCTGTAGCAAGGGAATATGCGGATCCGGTGCTCGAAGACCCCTCCGACACCGTGTGCAGCCGTTTCCGACATAGGTACACGGCTTTCCGCTTGGTTGAACGGCTCATCGGGACCACTTCCGTCAGACTTCGGAGCTCGGGACACATACTTGTCAATGGGTTGAGCGATGGCGGGGCTAAGAGGGTCATCTTCTGCCTTGCTTTTCTCCTCCTCAGCCTTTCGTTATACCGCAACTATCGGTGCCCGAACCACCATGACAGCTGGCTTGGGCACGCGGGGCGGTACAGCAGCTCTGGGGACATCGAAACAGACGGCGCCGGAGCTAGCATGACGGCTGACCTGGACACATTGGGTAGGACGGCTGTTCTCGGACCTGCGCAGACATGCGCCGCAGGTTGCATGTGCCCAGTCCTGGAAGGTTGGGCCAGATTGTGGCAAACCGCAGCGCTAATTTCGTGCGCGGTCAGAACACCCTGCCTGTCCAGAAGGGAACCGCCCATCCTGCTTGCGGGATACCTGTCGCAGCGCCTCTCCTCGGCGTGACTGACCTTGTGCTTCACTGCTATTGCGGATGAAGCTCCATGTTGAGCGGACTTGGTGAAATGATAATGTTGATATTGTGTGGCACTAGTACGAGGATCCCCATGGGGCTATGCCGAGGCCATCGGCGCGTTCATAGGAGACTGTACATTGAGCAGACGAGCGCGACAAGTGTAGTAGCTATCTCGTCGTTTGGCTGTAAAGGGAGTCGTGCTGCAGGTGGCGAGCTCATCGGCGGAGGCGATTGAGGTTCACGACATGAGGGCGTTGTCGCCATCTTCGACCACATGCGATCATGTACACAAGGACAGCAACTCTGACAACACCATCAACTGCATCTCACACACAACACATAGCACCGTTTAGGCACTACGTCACTGGCGAAGCACTTATCAAAGAGTCCGACAGGATAGCGGGAAGTGGCGCAGCAGCTGCTGATTTGGTACATGCACGTGCAAGAACCACAGTACGCTGCAAACATTACTCTATCGGAATTATCATCGGAGTGTATGGAGTAATGAGGAAGCACTCAAGAGGCTCAGGAGGTGCCACTTTGTGCCCGGCCTGTGGACGATGAGGACGATGGAGGCGTTCCCGGAGTGCGACAACCACGGCCGGGCGGGCGAGAGGGGGAGGTCTCGGTGCTGTCCGAGGCCAGGCTAGGCGTGTCGTCTTCGACCAGCACCGATGCCCCAATGCTCGGATCATACATGAAAGTCGCGACGAACCTTTCAGCCTCCTCTTCCAGCAGCTCCCGATGCATGATCCTCGGGTCGTACCGTCCCAGCTCATCGGGATTCCACGGCCACGCCGGTCGTGCGGGCTTCATGCCCACAACGGGGACGGCGAGTTTATCCATCGCCGCTCGGCAAAAGATCATGACCTCGACAGGCTCGGGAACCTGCCCCTCCCGGCCGAGTCTAGCCAGACTCCTTCCTGCCAGAAAGTAGGCAAAGTAGATCAGCTTGTCCGTCTCGTCTTGCCGCTCCTCTGCCGACGGCGAGCGGCGGCGGAGGCGCCACTGCGCTTCGTTTCTACAAATCAGCGTCTTTATTCGAGTTTGCGAAGAGAAGAGAAGAGGGGCCGGGCCTAACTTACAGCTCGTGAGATCTGTCGAGGACAGCGAGTCGGAACGTCTGGTAGTCGATCGCGTCCCAGTCCTGGGCGTCGACGGCACGGATCCACTCGCGCCTCGCGTCTCGTGCTGCCCAGAGGATGCGCGCGGTCTCACGGTGCTTCGGGCCGGCGTAGAAGTCCAACTTCTTGTACCCCGTTCGAGGGAAGTGCTCTGTGAGGACGGGCTCGTAGTTATTGTATCGAAGCATGGGTGTGATGTGAATGCGAATTACGAGAGATGGGGCCCATGGCAATCGTCTGGACGAAAACAGCTTGTTTAGTGGCACTGACACTCGGAACCGAACGGCACGCAACAGGAGTCTGCAACAGCGAGAGACCGATAACCCGCCACACGCAGGGCACTGCTGGTCCCAGCTAGTCTGGGAGAACCGCAACGAGCTTCGCATCTTAGCCGCGGAACTGCCGATTGGAGCGACACCAAAATGGTCTTGTCAGATCCCCACGTTACGCGAAGCAAGGTGTGAGGTGATGGTAGTGGCGGAGAGAGTGCGAGCTGCGGGGCTCGGTCGTCGAGCACACGTGAATTTACAATGATCAAAGTGTGCCGCGCACGCCGTGCATGAGTCGGAATCATCGACCCCGGAGTAGGCTCTAGCGTCATTGGTGATCGACGAGGTGTTCAGACGTCCGAAGAGAAAGTGTGACTGCTGAGACCCAAGAGGCTGGACCTTACAAAGATCCGCAGTCGATATGGCTTGCCAATCCTTGAGAACGGGCGCGACGCACCGGGCACTGGTGACCACTGAAAGCTGCGACGGCCATGTGTGTGGCACAACCGTCACTGCTGCTGTGAAGCGGGGAATCAGTCTGCAGCAGTCCACGCGGTTCCGGGCCGCCATCCCACTGTCAGCAGGTCCAGCTCGATCCCTCAGCCGCTCCGGAACTGACAGCTTGACTCTGTCACTCACTCCGAGCACGGGCACGCCCTCGCGCCATCGCCAGCTCGCCTATCCTTGTCCGATCCCCTCCCAGCGTTCTCCCACCGTCCTGCCAGCGTCTTCCTCCAACGTCCTCCTCCAGCGTCTTCGTTCAGCGTCATCCCATCCCGTCCCAGCGCCCTCCAGTGTCGTCTCAGCCACATCGCGAGCCCCCGGACCCGTCCAAGAACAAGCGCACAAGCATCAGGCAAGTCACGCCCAGCACACTCCTAACACCGCAAGTACCGCATACCGCAATCTACCACAGCCCACGGACTTGACGTTCCTGGTGCCGATGACCCGCTCACCCGCCCCGCGGAGGTGAGTGCTCGGCACCATGGGCTCCCGCGGTGAGCGGGGCGGCAGGCCGGGCTGATAGCACGACCAAGACTCTCGCTCCGTTGCGCCGTGCTCCGCGCGCTGAGAGGGCTGCTCAGCCGAAAGATCGGGACAACGTCCTCCCAACCTCGTCGCACTGCGTGTTGGCTGTCTACGCCAGAAGACCATAAGCACGACGACCGCGGCAGCACGTTGTGTTAGATCGAGCCAAGAGCCCGTGAGAAAACATCAGTTAGTGTCAGTAGATAGGTCAGTCACTAGCCGAGCAGCCGGGCTCCCGACCGGCGGCCGCTCGCGACGCGCTACGGTGGCGAAACGTGCGAGTAAAATGCTACTGGTACATAATGCAATTGTCGGGGAGGCCACCTACGGTCATACGGTCAGGACTCAGACGAACCCTCTGATGCCGAGAATGCGCCGGACGTCCGTCACAAAGCGCAGACTGTCGAGCACGGGGATGCTGTGCAAGAGCGCCTCGTCGTTCGGGTCCGATGTCCAGCCCTCAATCGGGAGGGCGTTGGCTGCGAGTCAGTTACGAGTCTCTCACTGCAGCTCGACGGCAGCGGAGGCCGCTGCGCCGTCCGAATAGCGGACTCACCCTTGTTCCAACTGTACGAGATGGGCGAGTTGTCCATGAAACACACGCGGCTCAGGTCCGGATCGACGAGGCTCAGGTCCTTGACGTAGCTCCCGCTCGGTTGCAGGTGGCACGCGTCGCGGTACAGACGCTTTGCGAACAGGCCGCGCCCGTTGTCGAGCCAGTCGATCACCGGGTCGGCGTACTCGGGCATGGACGCCGTGTAAATGACGAGCGTGTACCAAGACGCAACCTGTCATGTCAGCTACCAAGGTCATTTGCACAGCTTACCCTCTTCAGGAAGAAGTCGACGTAGGGGCGCTTGTACACGTGGTACGTCGTTGAGCGGCCGTTGAGCACGACCTCGATCGTGTGCCCCTCGCGGCGCCGGCGCTTGCCCCCAAACAGCCCCGAGCCGAGGCCCAGCATACCGGTGCCCGAGTGGGACGCGCCCATGGGGCGGCTCGTCGAGTGAATGAGTGTTTCGTCAAGGTCGAGAATTAGCGTCTTCTGGAGGTGGAACGGCGTGTGCTGTGGGCGGACGGACGGCGCGTTCGTCGGCGACACGCTGCGGTGTGGGACCGCGGGGACAGAGGGGTCGAGCAGGCTGGTCTGCATCGGGTTCGGGAGAAGGCGAGGCGTGCGCCGCGGCGTCGGGGCCGTCACTGTCGTCACAAACTTGGGCTGCTTCGTGTCCAGCTTGCTGTCGAGGCCCGACTTGCGTAACGAGCTCTGCAGCTGGATCGACATTGTCTCTGGCACGCGCGGGCGGCCAAACTCGACCTCCGAGTCAGAGTCCACCGGGGTGCCATTGTCGACGGGTGCGCGCGTCACCGGGTCGACCCAGCCCTCGTGCTCGCTCGCAGACTCGTCAGAACTGGCGGGGCTCGCTGCAGGATGCCCCAGGCCCAGGACTGGCTTGCCCTTTGACGCGGCAGCAGGTGACTCTGCTAACCGGTCCGGGGCAGCCCCTGCACCGACCGGCACAGCAGCGACTGTGACTGTGCGCTTCTTGTGTCGAAGTACACGGACGGCGCGGGTATCTCCCACGAGGCTGCGCCAGAACGAGAGCAGAATCGACCATATCGCGAGCGCGACGCGGAGCAGCAGCGGCGTCGTCGGGGGCGGGACCTTGATGCTGCTGCTGGTTGGGTGACGTCTCCTACGACGTCGAGTAGTGGTGGGAAATCGCCGCCGGACGGTCGCATTGGACGGGGCGGGCGAGGGAGAGGGCGAAACATTCACAGACGAGCTGTTGGACGCGGGCTCATTGGAAGTCGGAAAAGTGAACGTGGGGGCGGGCTCCGGTTGTATGCTGGACAGCGCCGCCGGGGCGGGTGGCGGGTGTGAGCTCACCAGGCTGAATAGGTACGAGTCAACCCTGCTGAGCGTGTTCATTCTTGCCGATGGGTGCTATCGCATCGCTAGGTCGAACGGCGAAGGTGCGGGTGTGCGTGTGAGAGAGAGGTAAGGTCAGGTGGAGGGAAGACGCAGTCAAGTTTGTTGGAGGGAAGGGTCCGCGGATGTGTGTTGCTGAGGTGACGCGGGGGGGATGTGCTGATTACTTCGGGGGTCGGGAGTCGCTTAGAAACTGTTATCGATGCAATGAAATGATTGGAATGCCTTTGGAATGCGAGTCGGAGTCGGAAGCGGGCGCTGGAATGCTTTATGCAAAGTAGGAAATGAGACTGGAGACTGGAGTAGAGAGTTGCAGTTCAAGACAGGCTTTAGATAGAAAGATAGAGTGGGGCGACAAGCGGCGGGCGGGCGGCGGATCGGAAGAAGGCAAACGGTGGAACTGGTCGGGTTGAATCCAAAAAAGCGACCGGGGCTAAGGAATAGATAAGGGAGGGGATAAACAATGACGAGGGGTGTAGTGCAGTCGGAGGATGGGGTCGATGCGAGCGAGGCTGAGGGTTGAGAGGATGGAAGACCTTGAAGTGAGGATGCAAAAGGATGCAATCAAAGGAAGAATGCAGTGCGGCGGAGGATGCAGGATGTCTGACGGAGGCCGGTCGGTCGGTCGGGGAGGGGGAGGGGGGGTTGCCAGGTGGCCGTGTGTGATGAATGGACCTGGCTGGGGCTGGGCGTGCGCTCTGCTGCGGTGCCGGATGTTCTTGGTCCTTGGCTGTGGATTGATTGATGGGATGCGACGATACATGCATGAGACCATGATTCCATATGCACGACTAGGGTTTACCCGGGCGAGACCGTTGATGCATGAGCAGGCTGGTCGCTGCTCGCCGTTGGCTGAACGAGTGCAGTGCCGGGTACGCGGGGGGCAGTCAATGTCAAGAATGGGCACCTGTGACGTCGTTCACCCCCGCCTCCTGTGCGCCCCTTACTGCCCGCCGACCCTTCTGTCATCAAAGTGTCTGCTCCGAGCTCCTACCTACCTACCTACCCTTACTCTGAGCCCCATCCCCACCGATTTCATCGTTTGATGGGGCAACTCGCATCGAGCTTCACTCCTCCAACTCTCGCACCCCCGCACTTCCTCTGTAGGTCTGGCAGAGTGGTGATGGAACGTGCTTTGTGGGCAGAAACGTAGTTTGTCGGCGACCTCGCGAAATATCCTGTCCCACCATCCCACATCCCCCGTCTCTCTGCACATCCCCCGATCCCATAGCCGAAAAGACCCTTATCCCACGTTCGGTGTGCTCATTTTTGGCCACCCACCCCTGGCACACAAGGCACATCACTCTCCCACCCAGTGATCATCCTCGCCGTTGCAGTGAGCCTCGAGCCTGCCGTGTCCCGGCCACCGGCTCCGGTCCCACTCCTCCGCTGCCATCCCTTGCTCACTGCTTGTTTCCTCACCTCGGCGGACCCTCGGACCGGACTGGCCAGGCCTGCTCTGTTCACAGCCATGAACCTCGGATCCAGCCATCCCCCCTCTCAGTTCCTGCAACCCTCTCATCCCGCTGACGACGCCATTGTCACGACAACGGGACCTCCGGACCTGCAACACTGCAACCTCTTTCCACATCGTGCACATGCCTCTTTCGGACTATGCCGAACTCCATGTTGTCGTCATAAAGCCGAATCTAATGTCTATTTTTTCTAATGCCAAAAGGTTATGCATGTCTGCTAGATGCTGTAATGTTCACAACGGTCTGCGTCTCCCCCACTCCAGTCCGACACCCGGTCTAACGGCCCCGGGGGCCCACATCAGAGACCAGGCCCAATTCCATCGCCTCGATCTCGATCTCAATCCCCCTCCAAGTCGCCGAACTCGCCGCCCCAACTCGACCGTTTAGGTCGCTTACGTTGCGCACCAGCCGCTCTCGTGAGCGATCGATCTGTATTCCAATCCGCAAATATCTGGGATATTACAGATGTTACAGCTGAGGCCAGTGCGGCTCCAACACTCGGACTCCACAACTAACCCTTACGCTCCTTACGCGTCGTCCTCGTCCGAGTACATGCGCACGGTCACGTTCATCGCCTGGAGCTCCTGGAAAAGAAGCTGGGGAAGTTAGCGCCACCACCCCCACAAATGTGTTTCGATCCGGATCATGTGATGACTCACCTTGGCAGCGTAGGGAATGTAGATTTGACTGATCTGCGTGCTGTTACGGCACACCGAGCAGTGGAACTCTTGCTTCTTCAGGTTGGCCACAGCCATGAGACCGCACTGGTCGCAGACGTGCAGTCGGAACGCGTCAGACGACTCGTACATCCTCTCCTTGAGGAAACCGGCGATACCGTGAGAGATCATACTACTCGTCAGCACTGTTTCGAGACAGGTCATGTCATGACTTACCAGTTGTGCACTTGGATGGAGTTGGCGAGGAAGCTGTTGGATCCCGGGACAGAGATGTCGTACGTGAGGTGAGAGCCCGCATCCTCGCTGCCCATAAAAGTCGCATTCCACACGGGGAAGCCATTGAGATCGCGGGACGCAGAGTACGCGGAGTCGGTCGAGGACTGGAAGAAGCCCTCCGCGCCGTGGTCCTTCAGCCACTTCGGAACGTCCGTCTCAAACTCCTTACCCGCCTCGTCCGGGTTTGACACACCCTTGAAGGCATCCTCCACGGCTTGGCAGGACGGGGTGGCGAGTAAGCGATCAATGAACAGTTCGTCCTTGAACTCCTTGGAAACGGCGGCAACAGCCTGGTCCACAGTCATCTTCAGTTTGCCACCCTTCTTGCCTTCCGCCTCGGTCGCAGACTTGTAGCCCGTGAGGGTTTCGACGCGCTGGATGTAGCGGCGGCGCTGCTCCAAGCTGTACTCGCGCGAACGGTAGTAGCTGGCGGCGACAGAGATCCGCTGCTGCTTGTCACAGCAGAGACGGAATCCAATCTTCTCAGCAAAGGCGCAGATCTGCGTCATAGGAATGGTCAAAAGGCCATCAAGAACAAGCACACCCTTGTTGGTGCAATCTGTAAGTTTCTGGCGGACTGCACCAGAAACGCCGCAACGAGCGAGAAGCATGGCCAGATCGTCGAAGCTCTGGATAAGCGACTCGCGATGGGCGTCGACCTTGCTAGACGTGAAGGCAACGGAATGCCAGGAATCATCGCGAGGGAGCGGCGCAATGCCGTCGCCGCCGAAGAGGCCACCGAGGAATTCACGGAGCACGGAGACTGGGCAGTTGGAGTCCATGATGAAGGAGGGCCACGACGCGGGCTGGCAGACGCGCTCCCCAGGCTCCAAGCCGACGACCATGTGGTAATCGCGAAGGAGATCCGTAGGAAGATCGACCAGATAGCAGTCATAGTCTGCAGACGGCGGTCGGATCTTGCACTTGTAGCCGATCGCAGCTTCCAAATCAGCAACACCCTGTTCAGCGTCCACGATGTGGTTGAACATGATAGAGCCAGAGTAACGGTTTTCCTCCTCGTTGAAGCTCATGGAGCCCTTAGCCAAGAAGTAGCCGAGGATGCGCGCGAAGGCATGCACGGCGGCAATATTCTCGGTCGAGTCCATCTCAAGGGTGCGGTTGACGCTTGGAAGCGACAGCTTGAAGGCAGCCACATGCGCCGGGCTGTCGTCCTCGGGCAGGTAGAGCGGTGCGTCAGGGCCCCTCTTGACCTTGGTCTTCCCAGGCACAAGATCCTTCGCTGCCATCCACTGCCCGTCGCCAGTCATGATCTGGTGCTCAGGTGTGCACACGATGCTTGACGCATCGCTGAAGAGCAGACGGATGCACTCCTTGAGCTCGGGACGCGGGAGATGCGCAGTCGGTTGCACAGGGACGTAAGACTCTCGGTCGGTGGTGGTCGAAACCTTGTGCGACAGCACCTCCGGCAAGCTCGCCAGGTCCTTGATACGCATCGAGACGCCCGATGCCAGCGTAACGCGCGTGTCGCCATGAAGACAATCGCGCTCCATCTCACCGAAACGGAGACCACCGTCACGCGAACGACCCTCGACGGGCTGACGCGTCAGAATCTGCAGCGGTCCACGGGCACGGGCGTGAATCTTGTCGTCGACCATATGCTTGAGACGCTGGTAGTACGTGGGGCCAAAGTAGACCTGGGCACGGAGCTTCTTGCCCGTGTGTCCATGGTACATGACCTCGAGACCGCGCGACTGGTAGCCTCGCTGGCGCAGGAGCTTGGACACGGACTCGACAGTCAGCTCCGTGAACGGCGTGGCGTCACCCTCGCGACCCGTCAGCGTCGCGAGCTTGGACAGCAGACACTCGACCAAGTGTCCGATTGTCATACGCGACGGAATGGCGTGCGGGTTGATAATAATGTCGGGCGTGATGCCCTCGGCCGTGAACGGCATGTCCTCCTGGCGGTACGTGATACCGATCGTACCCTTCTGACCGTGACGAGACGCAAACTTGTCACCAATCTGCGGCACACGCGTCGAGCGGATACGGATCTTGACGAACTTGAGGCCGTCAGCGTTTGTGGTGATCATGACCTGATCGACGACACCCTGCTCGGTGCTCTTCATCGGCGTCGAGACGTCACGCTTGGTGTGGGTCGCTGATCGCTGACCCAGCTCCTCGCTGTCAGGGGGGATGGGCGCCGTCTTTCCAATGATAATGTCGTCACCGTTGACGTTGGTCGCGGGGGTGATGAGACCGTCATTGTCGAGCTTGGCGTAGCGGTCGCTCGAGCCGTGCTTCATGCGCAGCGTCTCGTTGCGGTCCGGCTTCTCGAACGACTCGACCTTCTGCATACCGACCATCTTCTCCGTGTCGGTGTAGGCACGGTAGTAGAGCGAGCGGAAGAGACCTCGGTCAATTGAGGACTGGTTCATAATAACCGAGTCTTCCTGGTTGTAACCCGAGTAACACAGAATAGCGACAATGGCATTCTGTCCGGCAGGCAGGTCGCTGAACTTGAGGTACTTCATCGACTGCGTAGTCGCGAGAGGAGACTGCGGGTAGTAGAGGATGTTCGCCATCGTGTCCATTCGCAGCTGGTAGTTCGTGAGGTGAATGCCCATGGCTTGCTTACCCATCGCCGACTGGTAGGTGTTACGCGGCGACTGGTTGTGGTCGGGGAACGGAACGATCGAGGCACAGACACCGAGAATCATACTTGGGTGAATCTCCATATGCGTGTAGTTCTGCGACCAGCTGGAACTCTTGACACGCGCCGTCGGGTCGAACGCCTCAAGCGTGTGCGCGGCCTGGGCACGCGCAACTTCTTGCGGCGACTCGTACATGCGCGCGTTCTCCAGGTCCTCCGACGTCATCGCAATCAGGATCGTCTCCTCCTCCTCGGCATCGACGTACTCGATCACACCCTGGTAGAGCAGCTCGTCCCAGGCGGATCCGTCCACAGCCTCCTCCAGACCGTCGGCAATGTTCTCGAGGCGGTCAATGTGCTCACGCTTGAGGCGCAGCGTCTGCGTTGGCCGGTCGACAATGAACAGCGGGCGACAGACACGACCAGCGTCGGTGTACAAGCGGAGTTCTCGCTCACGAATGTCGCGCACAATCGACACCTCGTGCTTTAGCTGTCCTCCACGACGCATCTCCAGGAGGTTCTCGTGCAGCTTGACGGCATCACGGTGGATACCCATCCAGACACCGTTCACGAACACCTTGGTCGCGTTCGGCGCGCTGCCGTACTCGTCTTGCGGCTCCAGACCCCACTCCTCGAGGAACTCCATGACGGGCGCCGAGTACGATCCGACGGAGATGTAAGACATGAGCGCCAGGTTCTTGACGAGACCACACGCCTGTCCTTCGGGCGTCTCGGCGGGACAGATAAGACCCCAGTGCGTGTTGTGCAGCTGTCGCGGCTTGGCGATCTTTCCGTCACGACCGATCGGGGTGTTTGTTCGTCGAAGATGGGAGAGGGTGGATGCGAAGGTGTAGCGGTTAAGCACCTGCGACACACCAGCACGCGCCTGCATGGCCTTGGCCTGGTCACCCCAGTTACCCGTCGCGAGCGAGTACTTGAGACCGTTCGTGATGATTCCGGGCTTGATGGCGTTGACCAGCGTAAACTCCTTGTGCGTCTCAACACACTTCTGCAGGTGACGGTACACATCCCTCGTAAGCTTCTTGAACAAAATGCGGAACAGGTTGGCGAGCAGCGGGCCGGCGAGGTCGAGACGCTTCTTTCCAAAGTGGTCACGGTCGTCGAGCTCTCTTCGTCCCAGAGCAGCGGAACACAGTCGGTGAATCATGTATCCGAGGAAGAACGCCTTCCTGGACTCGAATCCTTCCGAAACGGAACGTGCGGCAGGAACTCCTTCTGCAAAATGTCGAACGCCGCACGCTGACGAACCGCCCTCGTTCCCTTCTCCTGCTGTCCACGACGACCGATGAAGTCGAGCGCAGTGTCGCGGTCTTGGATCGAGAACGCCTCCTCGATACATGGTCGGAGCATCTCAAGCATGGCCGTGTCGTTCGGGTTGAAACAGATGTGCGACAGCACGTCGCGGTCGGGAACAATACCGAGCGCACGGAAAACGATGACAATGGGAATGTCGGTCTTGGTGTAGGGGAGCTGAACACGGATGACCGATCCCGTCGTCGCCTTGTCCTGGGCACGCAGGTACATCTTGACGACCGTCTTCGAGGGCGTCTTGCCTCCCTTCTCCATCTGCGACGTGACCTCGGAGAGATAGATGACGGGTGACGGGTCCGCCTTCTTGAAGACGTACACCGTATTGGCTGCCATGCGCTCCTGGGCGATGAGCACCTTCTCGGAACCGTTGATGATAAAGTATCCTCCCTGGTCGTAGGGGCACTCGTTCAGGGCGTAGAAGTGGTCGTCCGGCAGGCCATGAAGAAGACAGAAGTTGGAGCGGACCATGACGGGCACCTTTCCAATCCAGATCTTGTCCTCCTCCGCTCCTTGCATGACACCGTTAGCGTCGACCGCCGGCTTCCAGTCGGCCTCGATCGGGTCGTCGACGTCGCCGGCGGACAACGTCGACTTCTTCATGTCGACGTAGAGCGGGGCGGCATAGGTGAGATTACGCAAGCGGGCCTCTTGCGGGAACAGTCCGACCGTCTGACCGTCCATCTCCGTCATGGCGACCTTGGCGAGGTAGATCTGACCAAAGGTGATCTCGTACCGACGCTGCGGTCTGTGAGCATGGATGCACATGGACATGAGCAGGGTGACTCACCGTCTCATCTCCCATGACGCCAGTGTGCTGGGTGTGCTGATCCAGCGTCAACCGCTGATTCTCATCGACGAGCTCCTGCATCGTGTTCTCGACGAACTCGTTGAAGGACTCGAGCTGCTGCCGGACAAGACCCTTCTCGTCGAAGAAGGAGTTGATCACCTTCCAGTAGTCCTCCTGGGAGATGGGCTCCTCCTCCCCGACGCCGTTCTCGCCATTTTGCTCCTCATCGTACTGGTAGTCGGGTTTATACTCGAAGCCGTCACCTGTGCAGTGTTATAGTCATGATCTTTCGCATAGCAGGGGGCAGCAAGAGAAGAATATTCACCTCCATCCATCTTGGGCAATGATGACCAAGGACAAAGACGACCGCGATTCTAGATTCTAGGTGGCAAAACAAGCGGGATGCCGGTTCGCCGTTTGTGTAAGCACCGCAAGCAAGAGGAAGCGGAAAAGCGAGAGTCGTCGCGCAGTCGGTAGCCAGAGGTCAGCAGTAAAGTGATCTGGTCGAGTCGGTCGCGCGGGTAGCTTGCTTGTCCTCCGCAGGCTGTGGTGGATGCAACAATGATGGTGCGAGTAATGATCGCGACGGCCGTCTCGTCTCGTGCACCGTAGTGCGTTCGATGACTGCAGCCATCAACATGCCGCCCAGGGTCGGGACCTTTTGCGGGATTACACCCGTGTGGCACCCAGTTAATTTCAGTGAGGGACCTCCACCTTTGATTCAAGATTTTGGTTACCGACCCTACTCAGCTGTATCGCCTGCTGCTAGCATCACTCAAAACAAACGCATCCGGCAATGGCCAACCTCAGCAAGAAGAAGGCCGCCAAGCCCGCCGTCAAGCCCAGCCCCAAGGGCAAGGGCAAGCAGAAGGACGTCGCCAAGAAGCCCGCCAAGGTCCCGTCCCCCGAGCCCGAGTCCGACGAGGAGGAGGTTGATGACGATGAGGTCGACGAGGAGGATGAGGAGGTCGAGATCGGCGAGGACGGCGAGGAGAGCAGCGAGTACGACTCGGACGAGGACTCGGAGAACGGCGGCGTCAGCGAGCGCGGAATGGCTCGGCTGATGGAGCTTGTTGGACCGGAAGACCTTGAGGAGTACGAGCTCGCTCAGCTCGCTGGCGAGGAGGGTGAGGAGGAGGACGATGACGAGGAGGATGAGGACGAGGAGGATGAGGATGAGGAGGAGGAGGATGACGAGGAGGAGGTCGTGAGTGTTTACATGCTGCCTCGAAGTGTGCTGTCAAGCTAACGGCCCAGGCCGACGAGTCGATTGTTATGGATGTTGCCGACCCCGACACTCTTGCCGTCGACGAGCTCGGCTCCGACGTCTCTGTTGACGAGGATGCCGTGCCGATGCGCAAGGTTACGATGAACAACCCCGCCGCCATGCGCATTCTCACCGACAACATCAAGATGTCGAACATGCCCTTTGTCGAGCACCTCATCATTCAGTCGAAGGAGATCCTGGACGTTGACCCCTCGGACGGTAAGCTAAAAGAAAAGGTGCATCAGCTAACATGTGCAGACCTGAAGCGTGAGACTGCGTTCTACAAGCTCGCCCTCGACGCTGTGCCGCAGGCGCGCAAGCTGTGCGCCAAGTTTGACATTCCGTTTTCGCGCCCGAACGACTACTACGCCGAGATGGTGAAGAGCGACGAGCACATGGAGCGTGTGCGCAGCAAGCTAGTGGAGGAGGCGCAGGGCATCAAGAAGTCGGAGGACGCGAAGCGCCAGCGCGACCTGAAGAAGTACGGCAAGCAGATCCAGATCGAGAAGCTCAAGGCGCGCGAGCAGGACAAGAAGGCGTTCGCGGACCGCGTGCAGGGCCTGAAGCGCAAGCGCAAGGAGGGCATGGAGCTTGGCGACGAGGACGACTTTGACATTGAGCTCGACGACGACTCGTCCGCCCGCCCCGGCAAGAAGGGCAAGGGACAGGGCAAGGACGGCAAGCCCAAGATGCCCCGCCACGCCCGTGACGCCAAGTACTCGCTCGGAGGCGGCGGCCGCCGCTCAAAGCAGAACGACAAGGACAGCACCAACGACTTTGGAAGCGAGCACAGGAAGACCAAGGCCGGAAAGGCCAAGCGTCCCGGCAAGTCGCGCCGCCACTCGCGCCGCAAGTAGAAGTCCCCTCATTCCATAGATCTGTCAGTACCTCATGTGCACCCATGTATTCTAGTTCATTTGCACGATGTGAGACAGCGCGCGCACATGCGTGTGTCGGTCGGTGCGTCCAGATCGCTCATGGCCGTGCAGTCACGTGCCGTTGTGGCGCCGCAGTCGGGTCCGTCTCAAAAAGTCGGGAATGTCAGATCCTTTCCTCTCGCCAGATCCTGCTCAGTCACGATGCATATGCGGTAGTGATACTAGATTTTTAAAGGTTCTTGAGGATAGCCTCGGTGACCTCGTTGGTGGTGGACTTGCCGCCGAGGTCGGGGGTGGCGACCTTGTTCTCGAGGATGACCTGGTCGACGGCGGCGTTGATCTTGGCGGCGGCGTCGGTGTAGCCCATGGACGAGAGCATGAGGGCGGCCGAGCGGACGGACGCGATGGGGTTGGCAATGCCCTTGCCGGCAATGTCGGGGGCGGAGCCGTGGACGGGCTCGCCCATGACAAAGTTGTCACCGGCGTTCACCGAGGGGACGAGGCCGAGCGAGCCGACGAGCGCGGCGGCACCGTCCGAGATGATGTCGCCGTAGAGGTTGGGAGCGACAGCGACGTCAAAGACCTCGGGCTCACGGAACATCCTGTAGACCATGCTGTCGACGAGCTGCTCCTCCATGTCGACGCCGTCGTAGCGGCCGCCAGAGTTCTCCTTGACGGAGCGGACCGACTCGCGGAAGAGACCGTCGGTGACGGAGAGAACGTTCGACTTGTGGACAATGGTGACCTTGGGGGGACCCTGCCAGAAGGTCTTGGCGGCGCCGGGGGCGGCACGCTCGGCACCGCGGCGGAGGGCGAGCTCGAAAGCCATGCGGCCGACGCGCTCGGAGGCGTTCGAGGTGATCTGGCGGTAGGCGATGGCGGTCTTGGAACCGTCGGGGTTCTCATGGAGCTCCTCCTTCTTGATGTAGAGACACTCAGAGTTCTCACGGACAATGACCATGTTCACGTCCTTGCCGGGGGTGCCGGGGACGGAGGAGACGGGACGAATGTTGGCGTACAGGTCGAGGTGCTTGCGGAGAGCGACGATCGGCGACGAGTAGCCAGGCACCTTGTGCGAGGGGGACTGGACCGAGCCGAACATGGCGGCGTCACACTCCTCCTTGAGCACACGCACAGTCTCGTCAGGAAGGGCCTTGCCGTTGCGCTGGAACTCCTCCCAGCCAGCAAGCAGGGGCACGAACTCGGACTTGGGGATCAGCGAGCCGAGCGACTCGAGCACGCGCTGGGCGGCCTGGGATTGTCAGTACTACTAACCTCGGCAGAGAGTGACATACGGGAAGGACCTCCTTGCCGACACCGTCGGCGGGGATCATACCGATCCGGAGGGCAGAGCGAGCAGCAGGGGCGGCCATTTTTGTTTTTGTTTGTGGAGGGGGTAGAGTGGTGATGTTCTCGGAAAAGAGAGAGCAAAGTAATGCGGAGTCGAGTCTGAATTAATCGAGGTCCCAACTTGTAACCAGAGCCTCATACGCCCCGTGCCTGAAAGTATCGGCCGAACAATACCGCCGCCCTGCTGTGTCGCTCCCTCCGATCTGCTCCTGTGTGGCCAGCCGAGAAATAACCGGGCGGTCGGGCGAGCATTAGCTCTAACCCTTAATCGCCCCATTAGAAACTGGATAGACACTCCGATTAGATCGGATTAGCACGGAATCGTAATCCGAATCTAATCAGGAAGGCCAAGATGGAAGACCGGCGTGCCTGAGACAATCCCGAAGCCCAAAGTCTGTCTAGCTTGGCCTTCCATCGGCGAGCTGAACAAAAGTCGACCGACACCCACCCTTCTTCCCACCCGTCACCGACACCGCCGTCCATGTCGACCAGCTCGCGGCCGCTCCGGCCCCTCCGGCAGTTAGCGGAGGGGTCTCTCCGCCGCGTCTCCGCCCCTCCCCCGCGGCCACCGCCGTCGCGCTTACTCCACTCCTCGCGCGCCAGTGCCGTCGCGGCCTCGACCAAGGCGTCCGAGATCGTGCAGCTGCCGCACTCGCACGGTGCCTTTGCCGAGCTCGCAAACACGCTCTCGAGCACACAGCCCTGCTTCGCGACGCACGGCGACGAGGTCGCGCTCCTCCCGTCTCCGACTGCGTTTCACTCCGAGCTCCTCTCCATGGTCGCGAATGCGAAGCGGCGGATCCTGATCTCGACACTGTACATCGGCACGGAGGAGGCGTCGCTCGTGGACGCGGTCGCGACTGCGCTGCGCGCCAACAGCCAGCTCAAGTGCACCTTCATGCTGGACTACAACCGCTCGACGCGGCTGGGCAAGGACGAGCCAAAGAGCACGGTACACATGCTCCTCCCGCTGATTCGGGAGTTCGGGGACCGCGCCGAGGTCTGGCTCTACCGCAGCCCGAAGCTGCGTGGCCCGCTGGAGAGAATAGTGCCGCCGCGATACAACGAGGGCTTCGGAACATGGCACGCAAAGTACTACTGCGCCGACAGCGACGTGCTCATCTCGGGAGCCAACCTCGCCAAGTCCTACTTCACAAACAGGCAGGATCGGTACGTGCGTCTCTCGGGCGCGCCGATCGTGTCGTACCTCGGCTCCCTGACGAGACTGTTGACCGACTACGCGTACCGCGTCACGCTGTCGCGCGCGGCGGAGGATCCGCAACTCGTCGTCAAGCTGCCCGAGGATAGCGAGGACGTGCGCCTCGTGTGGCGACAGAGGAGCCTGCCTCCGAGGGGATGGGGGGCGCACGCGCACGCGACGCTGACCGCATTCCAGCAGGCGTGGAAGGCGAGCAATGCCGTGCGTACCGCCTCTGGGGCCGAGAACGGCGCCGACACATTCTTCTGGCCCGTCCTGCAGGCCGGCTACCTGGGGTTGAGGGAGGAGGAGCGCGCCATGGCCGCGGCATGGGGTGCGATCAACGCGGCGCGCGACGTCGATGTCGACCTGACGTCTGGCTATTTCGGCCTCTATGCCGCGTACAAGCGTGCCGTGCTCGAGTCGAATGCGCCCGTGAGCGTCATCGCCGCTGCGCCAGAGTCAAACGGATTCTACAAGTCCAAAGGACCCAGCGGCCTGATTCCGGAGGGATACACGCTGCTCGAGAGGCGGTTCTGGGCCGAGGCGGAACGGAAGGGACGAGCGAGCCGGGAACAGGAAGGAGGGCGACACGAGGGCATCGTGCTCAAGGAGTGGAAGAAACAGGGCTGGACGTACCATGCCAAGGGCCTTTGGGTGTCGCCCGAACACGACGCGCCGTTCCTCTCCTTCATTGGCAGCTCGAATTTGTCCACGCGCTCGCTCAACCTCGACACGGAGCTGAGCTTGTTCCTTGGCACACGGAACGAGAGCCTGCGCAGGGCGCTCGGAAATGAGGTAGCACACCTGAACGCCAACTCGCACGTCGTTGATGCGAAGACCTTTGCCCTGCCAGAGCGGAGGGTCAGCTTGGCGGCCAAGGTGCTCGTGGCGCTTGGAGTTGAGGGGATGCTGTAACCATAGATATTATAGACTGGGACGATGCTACTGCTCATTACCACTTGCACTACGCGGCCAGAGAATCTAAAGTGCATGTAACACCTAATCTATAATACTACACGGCGTACCCAGCAAATGCCGGGTCAGCCTCGGAAGGCGGGCGGTTTGCCCACTGGGTATCTTTCGTAAAGTCGCCAGCAGCGGTAGAGGGCGGGCGATAGTCCGGCCCCGGCTGCTGGTGACTGTTGCCATCGTCCATGACCTCGGACAGATCCTCGCGCTGCTGGTGGTTCTTGCGCTGTCGCGTCGTCGGTGCTGGCGACGTGCTGTTCCACCCGTACTGTTGCGGGAAGGAGGAGGGCGGCGCGCGCGTTGGCCGCGGCTCCTGCACGGCGCCGTTGGCGAAGAAGTCGGGACTGCCGCCGCCCCGGCTGTACGGCGAGTCCGCGCCCGTGTAGTTGTACTCGTACGGCGGGGCGTGGACGTCGGGCGGGTCGTGCACGGGCGCGCGCGGCGGTCGTACAGGCCCTGTGCGGCGCGGCTCGGGCGAGTTGGGCAGCGATGGGACCTCTGTCGGCGAGCGTAACGACCCCGAGTTCGAGTCCAGTAACGGATCGACTGCGCTGCTAACCTGCGTCATCTCGAGCGCCGTCGGCTGATACGTGTCCAGCCCCTCGGTACGCTTGTGGTACCGCGCCTCCTCCAGGTCCCGGTGCTTCCTATGCTTCCGATTCTTGCGGTGCGGAATACCCAGCTCGTCCTTGAGTGTGCCGCCCACCCACGCCTCGCGCACAATGTCCTTGTCGATGTACAGGTACGACTGGCGGAACGCGCGCAGCAGCCAGTGCGGACCGACCGCAAGGGCGACCGTGATGAGGATCGTGAACCAGAAGTTGAAAGTCGGCACGACAATGTTGACGACACCGTAGTAGTCCTGTGGAGCCCAGACCGAGTACAGCGCAATCCACACGAACACAGTGATCGTGGAGAGCGGGATGATGATGCCGGGGATGATCGTCCAGTAGCGCGTGTTGATACCGACGTACAGGTTCGCGGTGATGACGGCGGCAGCGGCGATGGTCGACGAGAGGTCGTACATGTCGTTCGTGTCCCAGCCGTTCGCGGACCACGTCGCGCCGTCCCAATACACGAGCAGCGGGATGAAGAATACGACAGCAGACTGGTAAAGGCCGTCCAGCATGTAGAGCCAGAAGCGGAAACGGGTGTACTCGAGGCCGAGGATGCCGCGCTTGTACAGCTGCGGGAACGCCATAGAGGCGCGCGCGTTCGTGTCCTGGTCGAACGCACCCAAGATACCGACGGGGAGCGAAGTGAAAACGAGATTGTACAACATGATGAAGGTGTACTGGAACATGTACGTCGCGTCGAAACTGCTGTAGATCAGGAACCAGAACATGGTGATTGTCCAGACAACGTTCTTGTAGAAGAAACTGGATGTCAGCTAGATCCCCAGGCTGCGACAGCTAGATCACTCACTTCGCGTGCATGTCGGCGATGCGCACATACGACCAGCGGCCGTGAACGAGGAGGAGGCGGGTGAGGAAGCGGAACTGGCCGAAGGCATAATCGGCGGACATGGCGGCCTGCGAGCCCTCGAGACCGAACAGGCCGACGCCGATGTTCGCCTCCTGGATCATGGCGACATCGTTGGCACCGTCGCCAATCGAGAGCGTCATCGCGTTGCACCCATCCTTGACGAGCTTGACAGTTTGCGCCTTCTGCGCTGGCGAGACACGACAACAGATGACGGCAGAGCACTGCGTGCCGAGCGAGAGGAAGAGCGGCTTGAGCTCCGGGCTGAGCGCGTAGCGGAGCGATTCGCCGTCGATGACAACCGCGAAGGTGGCACTGGGGTCCATGCCAGCGACCTTGCCACCGCCCTTGGTCGCGGGTGGGCCCTGGATCGAAGCAATCTTATTCAACCCGGCTTCGATTTGCGCTCGGGCGCCTTCTGGCGAGTCCGTCGAGATGATCATGACCTCCATGTCGTTCGTGAGCAGGTTGCACGAGTATCCGATTTCGATGGCCGTCTGCAGCTTGTCCCCCGTCAAGATCCAGAGCTTGATTCCAGCCTTGTGCAGCATCTCGATCGCGTCCGGCACGCCCTGCTGGAGCTTGTCCTCGAGCGCGGTCGCGCCGAGGATCTGCAAGCTGTGCTCAACAATCTCGCACGCCTCGTCGATTTTGCCCTCGCGGTCCTCGACAGCGGCGCATGCAGCGTCGTACTGCTTGGACCACGTGTTGAACTCCTCCTCGGACATGTTGCGGTAGGCAATGCAAAGCGTACGCAGACCGCCGTTCGCAAACGTCTCCAGGTCCTTCAGCGTCGCCTGCTTCAGAGCCTCGTCGTGGTCCTTCGCCAGGCGCTCGTAGATGACACTGTCGGCACCCTTGCAGAAGAGGACGACTTGACCGTCCGGGCTGCGCATGACGGTGCTCATACGCTTTCGGGTCGAGTTGAACTCGAGCACGCGGAGGGGGATCCAGCGCTCAGGCTGGCCGAGGACCTCGATGTCGACCTTGTTCGAGTTGCGAGTGACGAATGGGAAGCCGACGTCGCGCGCAGCAGCGACAAGTGCCTCCTCATCGGGACTCTCGGCCTTGTAGTCGAGCACGAAGGGCTTGTCTTCGGGCTCCGGCTTGTCGGACAGGACAGTGTGGCAAAGAGCGAGGGCGCGGAAGAAAGAGATAACCTGGGCGCGGAGCGGATCCCCCTTGTCGCCGAGGTGCTTCGGGAGCTCGGGAGCGATGAGGGTGAGCTTGTCGTCGCGCAGATAGCGGTTCTTATAGAGACGCTTCATCTGGTCGACCATGACTTCCTTCTTTTGCTTGAGCTCTTCCTCCTGGTCCTCCATCGTGTGACTGACGTCCTTGCCCTCGCGCTTCATGGCGCCGAGCGACGCTTCCGTGATTCCTTCTCCGAAAGTGATACCGCCGATGGAGCACTTTTTGAACTCCATGACGTTCTGCGTGAGGGTGCCGGTCTTGTCCGAGAAGACGTACTCGATCTGGCCGAGGTCATCCGAAATGTTCCACGTCTTGGGCACGCAGGGCGTGTCGTATGGCGCGTAGTACATTTCGATATCCTGATAGATGAAGTACGCCTGGATCGTCTTGACGATTTCGACCGTGATGTAGAGCGAAATCGGCACAATGTTCTGGAACACGATTAAGGACGAGACGAAGATGACGACCGAGTCGAGGTAGATGTTGTCCGAAGCCTGCGCGTGTTGTTCGTACGAATTGGCACTCTCATTGTCCAGTGAGCGGTAGTACCCGTGGAGCAACGCCGTCACTAAACACAGCAGCAGCAGGATGATGAAGTTCATGATGACGTTGAAGTTGGTCTCCTTCTCGATCTTGGAGCGCTTCGACGGCGTGTCGCCTCCGTTCATCATGATCTTCGTGTCGGCACCGGTGAAGACAACGAGGCCGATGACCCACTTCGTGTTGCGCAGCGTGCAGCCACGGAGGAGGATCTCGTTGATCGTAACCGCCTCAATCTCCTCCGCCACGTCGACCTTTGTGCTTCCCGCGGCGGGACGGTACTTCAGGACACCATTGTAGGAGTAGAGATTGGCGTGTGGCGGTTCAGAGTCCAGAACGAAACGGGCGTGCTCAATGTCTTCCTCCGAGCCGATCGAAGATGTTGCCTTCACCGCCTTCCGGACCTTCAGATTCGTCTCGCCGTCGAGATTCTTTGTCTCAACAAAACAAAGGTTGTCAGGGTCCGACGTCGAGAGCACCATGAGATCGGCAGGTACCTGCTCGTCGCCGCGGAGGAGCACAATGTCTCCGACCTCGAGCTTCTTCCACAGCGTGCGTTCCCACTGCGCCGTGCCCGGAGCCGACTTGCTGTAGTCGATTACGCCAGTGCTGCGACGGGACCATGTACTCGGAGCCGATGACGCGTTGGAGATGGCTCTTCCGCGGCTGGGGTTGACACCCATGATAGAATCAGACTGCGGTTGTCAGCGTAGCAACAGGGCGCAGCACGTACCGATGGAACCCCCTTGAGGGCGTGGAATGGGGGACTGGCGTTAGGCGGCTGCAGGTGAGAGGTGTCAGCCGTCTCGTTGGGGTCAACTCCGTTGCCATAGAGATGCTCCATGGCGGCCTGCTCCGACTCCTCGGCGTGGCGCTCAAAGACAACCTGTTTTCCCTCCTTGGCCTCCTTCTCTCGAAGTTTGCGGACACCTTTTGATGGCTTATGCGGGTCTGATAGAGGTTAGCATTCGTCGACCCTTAAACCTCACCAGGACCAAGGTGGAACAACCGCTCAAACCAGTTGCGCGGATCTGTCGGCTGGTTGTAGTTCTTCCAGTTGCCGAGTTTCGTTGCTGCGGAGGTGTTCACCTCCTCGTCCAGCTTTGCACGGCGCCAGTCCTCGATACCGTCCTTGATCGCCGTCATGCCGAGAATGGCCACGAGAGGCAGCATTGCAATTTCCGGTGTCGTTGCGCCAAAGATCGAGAACAGCTGCAGGATAACCAAAGCCAGGAAGTAAATGTTTGCGACGCGGTGGAACTGTTCAAAAAGGTTGCGCGGGAGGAAGGTGACGAGCGTGTACTTGGACGTGCGCACCTTGTTGCGCGCATAGCTGACCGTCGGCTCGCCTTTGGCGTTGAGCTGGTCGGCCGGCAATGGCATGTTGACGTAGATCGATCTTCGTGTCAGAGGCTTTTTCTTCTTCTTCAGGCCCAGGCCCTCTGCGGCATGGTCGACAGCACTGCCACTGCCGCCACTCCCATCGTTTCCCGCTGATTGTGGGGGCTTTGATGGCGGCTCGCCGGCGTCGCTGTCGATAATGCTCGGTAACCCGTCAAGGCCTCCATCCTGGTCGTCGCCATGATGTTTCCGCCCTCGCCGCGACTTGGCACTCCGTAACCGTGTCGTGCCGTGACGCTTGAGGTGTTTCAGGAGTCGCGAACGTCTCCGTTGTACTCGCTCGCCCTCGGATCTGATGGACTCGGCAATGACCGAGTGCGCCGTCTTCGTCGTGCGCAGCCTCAGCGCCGGATCGATCTGGTTGATGTCGAACGGCTCAATGTCGTCCTCCGGATACTGAGCATACTTGGAGTACTCTGACTCCTCGCGGTACAATGGCGGCTGCTGTGACGGCATGGAGCCCGAGGCATAGTTATTGTCAAACGGGTGGCCATAGTTGTCATAGGCGTAGTTGTAGCTGCCGTGTGGGGGCGAGGAAGATGACGAGTACGGGTCTTGTCCTGGTCGGCTCATGGCGGGCTAGTGATGGTGCAGCCCGAGTCTTGGCCACAGGTGCGCCGGGGGCTCAACGAGGTGGTGCGGCTGTTTCGTGAGCTCGACGTGTCACCGAAAGGATGTGAAAGGTGAAGGGTGAAGGGAATGATGTAGAGTGGAGGGGTCGTGCACGTTGCTGGCGTTTATGAGTTACAGTAGATCTGACAATGGAATCGAACAGGCGAGCAGGCGATGCGAGGCGAGCTGGACAGTCCGGGCGCAGGTGGCGATCAGCTGCTCGAAGCGTGCGGGGGAGGGGTGACGAGCGTGTGTGAGATCGTCCTGACACCAGTCTCGTGTCCGTTCCGTCGGGTCGAGTTCGAGTTCGTAGCCGTATGCGCAGTCGCAGAGCGCAGGCGAGGTCGCAGTGTGCGTGGCCTGCTGGAGGGTATGTTGTGTTACAGTACAGGTGTCGTGTGCAGTGTCATGAAACGAGTGTCGAGCGTGTGTGCGGGAGTAGGTGGCAATGAGGTCGGAAGGAGGGAGGACGAGAGGTATTGTGTGCGGAGTGCACAATCAAAGCGACAATGAGAAGCGTGTGTAGTGTGTTGCGGTGGAGAGCAAGGTCAGGCGCCAAGATGTGCAGTCTCAGGAGCCAGACGGTGGTCGTGGTCCAGGTCTCAGGTCTGGGTCTTGGAATGCGCTCAAGCAGGAGCAGTGCAAGTCCAAACGTCGAGTGCACACACGTCAGGCGCCCGGCACTCAGGAAGCAGGTGGTGTCGGGGCGCCAGGCGTCAGACGTTACCACGTCCCAAAGTCTTCCCGGGTCCGAGAAGACAGGATCAAACGTATGTGCCAGGTCCACGAGACCAAGCTTTCAAGTTGAGGTTCCAAACTTTCGTTCAAGGTTGATGTACGTGGGTCCGCCTGAGCTTGAGTGGCCGATGTTAGCTTGTGATAGTGATCGAGAGTGGTACGTGTCGGGTCGCGAATGTGATCAGAGCAAGTGCAAGCAGAGTCGTGTTGAGTGTTCACGAGGCTGACTGATGCTGACAAGTGCAAGATGCATTGCCCGCTGCGCGCTGCGCCGGCTGCGAGCCAAGGGCCAGCCGCGGTGTCCTTGGTTCGGCACCGATCCTCAATCCTCCAAGCCTCTGTACATGAGCGCGAGTCGGGCTGGCGGCCGGCAGCCGGTACCATTTGGCGTGGCTGATGGCTTGGGGGACCCACGTCGCCTACGCCTTTGTCTGCAGCTGGGCAGTGAATTAAGGACTTTCCGGGCCGCCGGCGGCCAGTATCCAGGACTCGAGGAACATGGCGGGGAGGCATGCATGGCAGTTGGACTGACTGGGCAGTGCTCGAGATATCAGATGAGTGGGTGAGCGTACCAGGGATTGCGAGGAACACAGGGATTTCTGTTCAGGGTTCCGGGGCGGCCGTTGGCTTCACGCGTCAAGGAGGCGCTGCTTCGCGTCGCGGCTTCGGCAAGCCGACGGGCGCGCGCGGCCACGCCCGGACGCGCCCCGCCGCGCCTCCGCCCTCCGGCCTGCCTTGCCAAGTCTCCGTCCACTCTGCCGCTCCTTTGCCTCTAGGCGATCTCACATGGTCTCGCTACCACACTACATGCACTACTGCCCACGACAGCCTGTGTCTGACAGCAGAGGACAATGATGCAACAGACTGATGCATGCATCGCTATGTGAGTCATTCCTTACCTCATATCCCTCGCGGGGTCCGCAATGTCTACCAGGTGTGCAATGTGCCGCCCAAAGATTTTCCATGCCCAAGGAAGGGCACATGAAAAAGAAATCAGGGGCGAGGGAGGGAGGAGGGAGGGATAGGGAGATGGACGCACGACTAGCGCGCAACTTCATAGGGAGCGCAGGGTAGGACAGAGGGGAGCGGGTGCCGCGGGACTGCCCGTTCATCCTTCCTCCCCTTGGTCCACTCGACGCTCATGCACTCATGGCTGCAACGCACAGTCAGCGCACGAGCGTCCTGTCAATGGGATGACTGATGGATCGCTCTTTGCGCATGACTCGAGCTGTGCACTCCCTCCTGCCTCCGATGCTAAAACGTCTCTGCACTGAGGTTCCCCTTTCGACTGTTCCTGACGCGCTGACGCTCGCCCCCTTGACATGCTGCTCGCGCAGATGAGTGTCCATGCCCAACATGAAACGGACAGGCTAAAGGTGCCAGGCACAGGGGCACTTTATCAAAGAGAATTGAACACCGTGCAAAGCCACGGATAACTCTGCGAATCTGATCTGTGTGCTGACGCAATCTCTGCCCAGACATTGAACTGTTGTGATGCATGCAAGAATGTTGCGTCTATGCCTAATGCTGATGGTTAATGCTGCTTGTGCTATAGATGTGTTGTTCCCGGAATTTTACTTTTGCTTCTTCCTTCTCTCTGCTACGTCCCATGCAACCCCCGTCATTCCCCTAGTCATTCACCAGCACATGAACCTCACGTCACCACCTGTCCCGTGGTGACTGGCTGCACTGTCCTCTCCATCTTGTCTAAATGGTCTTCGTGTCGCGAGTCTTGGCTCGCCTGCCTTTGGGTCTCGACAGGGCTGTATGCCGGCGCTCCTGATGGCGTGTGCTTCGACCGGCGGTTCCGGCGCCCGCAGCTTCCTCAGGAAATTGAGGTAGTGTCTGTTCGGCCTGTATCCGGCGTGCTCCTTCGTGCCCCCGTCGTCACAGGTGTACACGTCAAGATCAACGTCGCGGCCAGCCTTGATGTCGACGAGCAGGCGTGCACCGCGCACGGCCTTGTCGTTCGCTTTTTCGTCTGTAAGCGCGCGCCACGTACGCTCAACTTCGTACGCGTCGTCGCACCGCCCGGCCTGCGCGAGGTTGACCATTAACTGACCCACTGCGCGAGAGCTTAGGGCGATGTTCTTCGAAACAGCCGCCCTGAACGTAGCCATGCCAGCATCCACTTGCCCGTTCTTCAGCAGCGCAGAGATGATCAGCGAGCTGGTCTTCTCAGCCGCAGGAATGCCGCGCTCGAACATGTCGTGCACGACCGCGAGCACTGGCTCGAGCCCCGCAGCTCGTGAATTCTTCACGAGGGCAGACAGGACGCGCTCGTAACCTGTTCGCGCTTGGTCTGTTGGTAGTTCCTTCAGCAGCGCGAAAGCCAGCGCACGTCGACCGCGATGACTGGACGCCGCGAGAACCGGAAGTGCAGCTTCGATGGCAGCAACGGGCAGCTGGTCGGGAGAGATGCGCTTCGCGAGTCGAAGTCCCTCTACAGCGGATCGCGATCCCGTCGAAGACATTCCCCGCACCAGAGCCGTGATGAGGTCGCTGGGAGGCGCCTCGTCCCAGAGGTAATCCTTCACATGCCTGTCGAGCAGAATCGCGCGAGAGACCGTCTCGGTGGCAGCGATGCGCTCGATCAGCCGCAGGAGCTGCTGCTTCGGGACAGTCAAGCCATCAGACTGAAAGTCGGCGTAAAGTCGGGAGGCAAAGAAGATCTGGCCACGCGAAACGGCCGCGGCGAACAGGCGGTTCCACGTGGGGGCGGTCGAGTGCAACCAGCGATGCTGCTCGGGCGGATCAGCAGCACGCACGAGAGGGTACAGTCGATAAGCAGCTCGGTACGAGTTGTCGGAGATAGGGCAGGCAAGAACGAGGTCGAATATGCGAGTGAGCAGTGGAGGCGAAAGGCGCCCGCCGTTCCTGCTAAACGACCAAACGTCGTCAGCGAGCTTGAAGACAAGGTGGTCGAGTTCGGCCGGGCGGGACGCGAGCTGCTTCACCGTTCGCCGGATGAGGGGCTCAGCATTGCCCTCTTTGGCCATGGCAAGATGGCAGAGCTTCACGAGTGCCTCGAGGTCAGCAGCACTCGTGTTGTCCTTGCTCAAAATGCCCGAAGCCACTTTATAGACGTCGTCGGTCGTCGACGCTGTGTCCGCGAGCATCCGCACACGACCCTCCACGGGCAGCATTTTACGAACGATGCCTTGGACAACACCCTCAAACACGGCAGCAGCGGCGTCCGCGCCACCTTCCCGGAGCTCAGCCGCGAGGGCCATTGCTGTCGATTGTGAGCGCTCGGCGCCGTCCTCTCCTTGCGCTTTCCAGGCTTGACGAAGATGACCAATCGTGCGCGAGATCAGGAGCGGACGAATGTTGATGTTGCGGGCGAGACACCAGGCTGCGAGACGAAGGGAAGACTCGAGGAGATCGATAGACTTGTGCTTCGCCATAGACACGATGCGACCAGCCTGCTCGTCGAGACCTTCCCCGCCGCCCAGCTCGATGAGCTCTTCCAGTTTCTGGTGGACGAGCGGAATGTTGTTGCGATGGCGGAAGGCCGATACGACGAGCCATTCACGTCGGATGACAAGCGAGACGTGAGAGAGATCGTCCCCGACCAGGTTCTTCAAAGAGCCCCAAAGCCAGTCCATCGTCTTGTAGTCGATCGCTCGCTTTACACCGCCCGGACCGCGAATCTGGCGGGCCGCAGAGGTGAGAGCGGATTCAAGAGCTTCTTCGACGAGTGAGAGTCCGAGGGCACCGGCGTCCATGTCGCACTGAGCCGCTAGTGATAACAGATCCCCTAGCCTTCCCCCCTTTACACTATCATCGGCTTGCAGCTGATGATTGAGTAGAGCCGAAAAGACATCGTCTGGTACGTCTTTCAACATGTCAGGATGAAGAGCTGTGTAAATCTCCCAGGACTGGTCGGGGGACTCGGAAAGAATCGCGATAGAGAGCTTGTGCATGTGTCGCAGAAATGGTTGAGAGTCGGGAGACCATGGTAGTGGCGGTGGAAGAGGAAGGTTGGGCATTTGCATTTGCTGCAAGATCGCGATCGGAGGCACCGGTGCTCGAGGGTGCACAACACTCTTCCGTCGGAGTCGGGAGTCATTAGCACAGCAAGTGCAGGAGAACCATCTTGAGCAGCTTGGCCCTGGGGGAGGCCGCGCTGAAGCTATTCGCCTCTCCGAAACGAAGACAGCGCGAGCCAGTCCGTTGAGCGGTCGCATTGTCGAAAGGAGGAGGGTGGTGAGGGGGAGAGGAGCAAGCTGAAAGATGAGCTACCGTTCACTGGAGAAACGCACCTATTCTGCTGCTTTGCTCTTTCCCCCTGGTTCTCGTGATATTCGGTAGCTTGAAGAAGTAGTAGTTGCTAGCTGAGAGATGTTGACAAGGGCTTTCCGTAGGTGACTCGCCCTCGTCGTATGAGCGTCAGGTGATTTTTGAACGAAGACTAAATTTCCACGTGGCTAATCGTGCCTGAGAGTGGCCACCGTAGATGACGCCCATGTTAGGTGGTGAGGTCTTCCTCGTATCTGACAAGTTGTCTTGTCTTCCTCGCGCCTCAAGCCTTAAGCCTTCCTTCCTCGATGCGCATATGCGCAGACATGGAAGGGTTATGTCCCAACGTTGTTGTTTTTCTTCTACCTTCATCTTCATCAAGCTCTCATTCAGCAACGAATCACTTCGAACCACGTACTAGGGCATTCCACTGGCTCCGCTGAAGCAGTGGTACGGCCGGTACGGACACCATCCACGCACAGCACACCTCGCAGAATGAGTCACCTTCCCGCCCAAAGCAAAGAAGCCGCAGGCCGTGCCCCTCTAAACGTGAATTAATCACAACCTTGGGCGGAGCCATATGCTGACTTGACAGGGCGGAGGCGGAGCGGACAGGAAGCGTCGAGCAAGACCCGCTTGCTGATGACGCACTGCGCAAGAGCACGACGTCGGGACTTCCTTCTAAGAAACCATCTTACACACATTCAGTCCACTCGCCAACACCACACAGTGCTACAACTACCTTCCCTGCAGCTCTTTTGCGACGCAGCCACACGCCAGGACCTTCTCGCCCCTCAGCTGATCATGCAGGCGGGAATGGCTTCCCTCTGGGTGGTGGTGTGAGCTCAATCGCTGCAGACCAAAGGATCGAGTTCATGCCCTATGACACCCCATCGCGCTCGGTGAGCTAGAAATGGGAACACCCGCTGACGGAAGAACATAACGCGCCATCAATTCGACAGATCTGCCAGGCGGGCGAAGACACCGGGTCCGGGTCCCCTATCTGCATTCGAACGAGAACCCCTTCAGCCAGAACGCCAAATTCAGCCTTCTTGGATGGACATCGGAAACGAGGCTCAGGATCCTTTTGCACAGCAGACGCTCCCCGCTGCCGTTCCAGACCACTTAGCCAATGCGGCCCCGACCCTCAACCATCAGTCCGCGCGCGGAGAAAGTGCCCGAGTCAACAGCCACCATACGCCTCATGCCGGTGATAACCGTGCACTGGTTCAGGTTGATAGGCAGCAAGCCTTCCGTAGGAGCGACAACACTGACGGAGGTGTGGAATCATTCGACGATATTATCGGCGGCATCGGAAAGGGTCGCCAGGGCAATGCCCACCTCAGCGAACAGGTAAGTGTGCTGCGCGGCGTTGCTGATGCCGTGGACCTTCATCGCCTTCTCCGATCGTTGGACCGCTCTCGGCAGTCAGTCGCTTCAAGACATCTGGAGCAGCGTGCAGGAGCAGTGCAAGTACAACGAGTTCTTCCCCCTTAACGATGTCAATGAGATACTTGATTCTCATCGATGTGCGTACACCCATCAGTGCTAGCTCACACCTCAGCTTCCATGGAAAAGTCACTGCAGGATATGAAGACGTTCACCGAACACTCCGCTGCAGGTTCGTTCCTGCCAGGCTTAAACAAGCTGACCCCTCAGAGAGACAGCAGCTCGTTGAAAAAGCTCAAAGTGTACTCAAGAAGATGAGGAAGAAGACTGAGAAGTACGACGATGCTCGCCAGAAGGTGATCTCGTCGGTCGCACAGCGGCCGCCTAAGCGCAAATTCTGTCCACTCCTGTGATCCTGTATCACCACGCCACGCAACTGTTGTAAGATTTGCTGTAAGATAGAATTAGTGGCATGCTGTACGTATCTGCTGTAAGTATCGATGATCCGTGCTTCACAGACGTCATGATTTACATTTTACGTACACTACGAGCTTCTACGCATGTTCCCACTCTTAGTTAGCCTTCACGGGCTGCATCTGCGAGTCGAGCTGGGTCTGGCCCTTCTGGGGGTGAACGGTGGAGGGAATGGCCTTGTCAACGAAGAGCTCCATCTTGAGGTCGACGCTGTGGGGGTCCTCGAGGGTGCCGACCTTGAGGTAGCGGACGCCCGGGGTGGCCGAGGGGTCGCTCCAGAGAGGAGTGCCGCAGTCGCCGCAGAACGAGCGGGTCATGGGCTTTCCGCTGCGGGTGGAGTTGTCCTGGTAGACCTTGGGGGTTCCCTTGGTGACCTTGACGTCGTCTGGGGAGACCTTCAGGTTGAAGGAGCTGGGATGTTAGAGAGGGATGGCTGCGGTGACTTACCCATCCGTGGCCGTCTTCTGGCAGTTGTAGCAGTAGCAGGCGATGCCGTCCTTGGTGTCGTTGGCCAGGTCGAACTGGACGTTTCCTGAACTGTCAGACACCCATCCTCGTTGCTCTGGACGCTGTGGACTCACCGCAAAGGCAGGATCCGTGGCGAGTCATGGTGATGGGTTTGGTTGGCTTGGTGGGCTGTCGGATGCAGATGCGGGGAACACTCTCGATCGTGGGGACGAACGCTGCCCGCTCTTATATGGAAGGCGATGGGCGACCTGGACGTTGCTCGGTTGTGACCGATGACGATACGGATAAACCATGGCGAGGTTACCGATCTGCCGGCGCAGTGGCTTGCCTGAACCCCAGTCCTCAGCCAACATGCCGAGAGCCTGGGTCTGGTGGAGGCCGCCTTGACCCGGTTCCGTGGCTTGGGTAACCCCATCCAAGGCAAAGTGATCGCGCGAACGGAGACTAGCGAGGCATCACCTGATCAGTATCGAGTGGAAGAGCACCGCTAGTTCGAGTAGGGACGAAGCGAGTCATGGTGGGTGGGGTGAGGAGGCCTGTGGCTGACGTGGGTGGTGGATGACCGACGGTTAGGCAGCAAAGGTGGGCGTCGACGGCGGAAGTGAAGTGTCCACGACAGCTTGGCAGCGGGAGCGGAGTGTTAACAGTCGACCATGAAGAAGGATTAAGTGGGAACTAAGAAATGGAGAGACAGTTTGTGTTATATATCCATCTGATCACCGGCGAGGTCCTCGTTCACTTTCCACCACTGTCGCAGATGGTGACGCAGGTTCGCACGCCGCACACAAGCCCAAATTCCTCGAGCTCGTGTGCCCGTCAGCACTGCCACAGCTGAACAGATCAGGGCACAGACACGCTCGACCCAGCCAGGCTGCCCCAGAAGGCGACCACAATGCAAGGAGTGTCGTCAGAAGCAGTCGTGCGACGAGGTTTCATCTGGTCTGATGGTGGAGAATGCATGACGGATAGCGTTTCAGAAACAATCGGTGACCATCAGGGCGGCGCCATTGAACGGACGCAAATGAGCAAACTAGGCGTGGCCCCGGAGACGCGCCTATATTTGTTAGGCCGCGGTGCTTGTTGTTCGTTCCTGGCGGCCAGGCTGACCGGCGCTCATACTTCCAAGTCTTCTCGCCAACCACATCGCCGACTCCGTCACACAACCACTCCTCCGACCACACTTTCTTTCGTAGTCTGGCCCCACATCATCGGCCTGAAAACCGGCGACGAACTGGCTGTCAGGGCACAAGGCGCGCATCTCTGCTGCCTTTTCTCCTCGTGATCCACCCCCACCCCCTCTCGTCGACGCGTCACGCCACCGGACCAGATGATCTAAATGCCTGCAGCGAATGGCCTTCAAAATGGCCAGGAGGCGAACAAAGCCGGTTCCTCCTCTGCGCTGGCCAAGAACAGCTTCGAGCGCCCGACTGTCTCCATCACGTTGCCCAGCGCGCCGGCTCTACCAGCGCCAATAAGTCTGGAATCCAAGCCGACTCTCAAGTCTCGGATTCCCCCCGGAACACTGCCGCCGAAGCCGGCAACGGCAGTTGCTAGCAATGGTGACAGGGACTGGGATGCGCGACCGATGGCGGGTCCGTCGCGCCCACGGTCGAGGTCGCGCGAGCCTCTGCGTGAGCGCGACCGTGACCGCGAACGCGATCGGGACCGAGGCAGGGAAAGGAGGCGATCGCCGTCACCTCCACCGCGGCGGCGGTCGCGGACCAGGTCGCGGGATCGCGACCGCGAATGGGAAAGGTATCGCGACCGTGAACGCGATCGCGATCGCGATAGGTACCTCCGAGACCGACGCGACTGGGACGACCGAAGAGACGACCGCGATCGCTACGACCGCTACCGACGCGGGTACTCGCCCGAGCGGCGGCGATCGCCTGACCGCCGCTACTACTCGCCGGAGAGGAGGCATTCGAACGAGAACCCC